CACCGCCTCCTCCCCTCCCTCCTCCTCCATCAGAGCTGTCGTGCGCGAGGAAGGACTGGGCTGCAACGTGACGGTGCGCCCACCGCCATCGCTGCATGGCGCGGCATCCGGCATTCCTGCCGCTCCCGCAGCCGCCGCATCTCCTGGGTCGCGCTGCTGCTGCTTCGTCCTGGGTACCCCACGCAGGCGGCCAACACCGCTGTCGGGACCCTCCAGGGGCCGGCTGCGCCCTGACGGCGCCGCAAACGTCCCACTGTACGGCACCTGCTCAAAGGTCATTGACGCGGCCGCCAGATCGGCGGAGGTAGGTGGCGGCGCTGCCGTTCCGGCGGACCTCGGGGTGCCGCAAACCCACATCTCCGCTGAGCTAGCAAGCTCGATGCGCCGCGGCAGGACCTCACGACCAGGACCGCGCCCCACGGCAACCGCCGCGATGCAGCCGGCGTCGCGTTCCGCAGCGGCGGCGGCGGTGGTGGCGGCGGCGGCGGTAGCGGCAGTATCGCTGGATGCGTTGCTATAACTTGCCGGGGCAGCTTCGTAAGGAAATTCCGTCGCCCGACGGCTGCCGTCACCCGGCATAGAAGACAGATCCATCGTGTCGTACTTGTACGACGTGCAGCTGGCACCTCCGTCGACGCCGACGCTTCCAGACGCGGGCTGCAGTCCCCAACGATGTGCCCGGAAGAGGCGTACGGCAGACAGCCCACCACCGGCGTCACCGGCTGGCGGTGCCGCAACAGCCATCTGGCGATCTGAGGCCAGGCACGGAGCCCCCGTCGCAGCTCTTCTTGAGGCGGCGGCCGATGTGCCGTATCCGCTGCCGCTGGCGGAACCGCAAATATGAGCCCCAGCGCCGGCCTGCCGGCCTGCCGGCGACAGCTGAGCTGGCGGCGGCGCCGCTACCTGCATGCTGCCGCCACCAACACCACCTCCACCTCCATCTCCATCGCCGCCAACACCCCGCCGGCCTTCAACGCGAGCTCCAGGGGGCGGCGCCCGACGCACGGACCAACACGTGCCGCAATTCCACCAGCCCGCTGCCCCGGCCATGGGTGCGACGGGCGACATGGTCACGTCGACCTCCTCGCCAACGCCAAGAACGCATACCTCAGACGCCGCCGCTGCCGCCGCCGTCGGCGCATTTGCGGCGGCGCCGCCGCCGCGCCTGATGTCCGTATCCGCGTCAAGGACGTCCGGAATGCCGCGCACGTGCATGGGCTCTGTTGTAAAGTTGCCTACACCCGTATAGCCAGACAGGAAACCCAGCGGCACCTTAGCGGACGCCGCCATCGCCACTGCCGCCGGCGCCACCGCGGCGATCTCGGAGCGAGCTGCATCGAGAGAGCAACACCTCACCGCCACCAGCGGCGACGGCGGCGGCGACGGCGGCGGCTGTTGCGGCGGCGGCACGGATGGCGCTCTCGTGAGCGTGATATCATGCGGCTTCGTGTACGACAGCTCGCGGCTGCGGTGACGGACCAGCAGTACTGTTGCCAGCGCCGCTGCCGTAGAGAACACTGCGATGACGGCCCCCACTACTGCCCCCACCAGCAGGCCCGTCGACGATCTGCCGTGAGGGTAATACAGCGCAGTAGCCGCTGGCGGCGGCGCCGCGACCCCTGCTGCCGGGGCTTCGGAGCCCGCTACAGGAACGAGGAGGGTCGCCGCTGACGGCGACGGCGGCGACGGCGGCGGCGGCACCTTCGTCACATGTGACCGTACGGTCACCTCCACCAAGAGCCTCGCGTTGTAGCAGCTGTAGCCGGCTACATTTGTGGCGGACAAAGTAACCACGTCGCTCAGGCTGTGGAGCGGTACCGCGTACATGATCAACTGGCTGGTTACTAGGCCGCTCGCCTTGGGCGCCGGCATACGCCACTTGTACGACAACGCGCTGCCGTCGGCGCGTTGTACGGCAAAGTCTATGGTGCCGTACACATCGTTACCGACCGCAGCAGCTGGCGGTGGCAGCGCAACCGTACTTGTCAGGGTGAGGGTTACCAGGACGACGGCGCCGCATGACGACGGCGCTACCCCGGTGGCTGTTGCAGTTCCGGATCTGGTTTCGGATCCAGAACCAGATCCAAGATCTGGTCCGGCGGACGCTGCCGAGCAGTCCATCAGCTCGGCCGCGGTGGACAGATTCAAACGCACAGCACCCCCGGTGCCTCCGAAGCTGCTGCTGCTGCTGCTGCTGCTGCTGCTGCTGCTGCTGAAATTCAGAAACGCGGTCGAAGATGAGCTGAATTCCTGTTGCGGAAGTTTAACCGTATCGTACATGCCTGCATGCGGTGGATAGAGAGAGGCGTCAAGGATGCATATACAGAGAGAACAGACTTCGCCATTACAGCGACTACTACTGCGAGGGGATGGAATCATCATCCGAACGGACTACGAGCTACACACACGCACGCGACTACACACACACAATCACGCACACCGCCAAAACCCTAGGTAGCGGGATTGGCGGTGGAGGGTGGGGGGCGGGGGGTTCAGGACACAAACTGTGTGAGGGAAGCGCAGTAGGGGGGCACTGCCCAGGTCAATCACCACCCGGCTCATCGTTAATTCATTCATCTTTCCGCTCCCAAAGAACAGAGAGCCAGCAGGCGTAACGCACATGCACACACGCACACACGCACTGCCCTCGGTCCCCGGTAAAGTTTTACACACGTGCGAGTTTTTGAACCCATCTTTAACCTGTATGTATATATGTATGTACGTCTATATGTACATCTCGCGGGCCAGTTCGTTTATAATACACATGCTAGCACCCGTGGGTGTGCCCGAGTGCACATGTACCACAGGAGAAAAGAGATACTCCTTCCTCCTCGCCGCTGCCGCCGCTGCCGCCGCGGGTGCGCCGCCGCCGCCGCCGCAGCAGCAGCAGCAGATGCCGGGGTCTGACGGCACTTACGCCATGCTCTCTGCAAAGCACTGCCGCCGCCGCCGGGGCGATGTAGCCCCGAAGCAGGACAGCCAGCAGGACATACATACAGCACGGACACCTCGAAGTAACGCAGCACTCACCGGACTTGAAGTCCTGAAGGTACGGCGGTAAACGTACGTATGTGCCCATGCAAGATCCCGCCGGCGCCGGCGGCATGTCGTACACCATGGCCGCCGCCGGCGGCTCCAGCAACAGTTGCATCTCCGGGTACTGCACGGCGGCGCAGTGAGCTCCAGTGTCCGACCCGCATGCGTCCAGAAGCTCGTCCAACGTCGTGCCGCTCGACAACGTGTCGTACACACGACCGGAGGAGTACCGGCCCGGGTACAACGCAAAGTCCGTACGCGATGTACAGCCTGGGAGGGCGCCCCGGAGGGGTAAATATGAAAATGGGTAAAATATAATATTTTAAATCCACGAAACTGGTTCCAACGAAACTCATTGGATCCGGATATTATTGGATCCATGCAAGTCGCATCCCCCGATGAGAGCCAAGTCCTCTGACAGGAAACACAGGAAACACACACACGCACACACAGACACACCATACACCCCCACCCAGGAGTTAATGTTGTCAACGGGGTCCAGCGGGCCATAGACGTAAAGTTAGCCACACTGACCAGTGGCCAGCCCGCCAGCCACCCACCCAGCCACCCCACCTGATAAGCCGGACGTGACCCGCAGAAAGGTGCCGCCGCACACACCCCGCTGTCGCACGTCGTTCGGCTTCCACATCGCGCTTTGGGCCCCTAGCAGGTCCGCGTACTGCGACAGCTTGGTCTGACCTCAGACCAGTGAGCCCGGAGGCCGGGACAAGGGGGCAGGGCAGGGTAGGACAGGGAGCAGGGTAGGGCAGGCAAGGCAGGGTACGGGTCCCGGGGGAAAGGGTGGGGAAATAAGTGCAAACAGCAAGTATCAGCTGCCGACTGCGCGGAGAATGACGGGGAGGCGGACGGGCACAGGAGAACGCAAGCAAAACGTCAACTGTGCCGATGTCCATGCCCATGACAAGCAGCCGGGAGGCCCGGGCGGGGTCAGCCACAGCCATTGCGGAGGGATACGATGGTGGCCAGGTCTGTCTGCGTGTGTATATGTGCGTGTGTCTGTGTATATGTGCGTGTGTCTGGTATATGTGCGTGTGTCTGTGTATATGTGTGTGTGTGCGCGCGCACATGCGACGGTTCATTGTTAATAATGCAGGCAGGGATCTGAATCATCCGGGGGTGCCGCTCTCCTTAGAGTTGCATGTGGTGGTTCCCATGACTGGCTGCTGCTGCTGCTGCTGCCGCTGCTGCGGGGATTACATCCGGGGATGCTGGTTTGGCACGACACGTCTCATCCCGGGTGGTATCTCCGCCCGGGGGATGAGACGAACTACTGGGATATCTCCGCCGGGGGAACGTGCAGGGACGTGCAGCCACCCATTCGCACCGAATTGCACCCTTTTTTGCACACATACATACATACATACATACATGCATACACACGCACCAAATCTCCCCAGATCCGTCCTGTCGTGTCGAACGCATAGCACCAAGAGTACTGGACACAAGCCGCAGCAACTAGCTGCAGCTTTACGACCATCATATCGTCCAGTACGACAGCCGTCATGTCGTACAAGAGAGGTGCGTTATCTATGAACCGATTGGGGTAAAACTGAAAGCCCGGTATTAGGTTAGCAGAGTCATTGCATGCCGCTGTCAAGGCAGCTGACGCTGGCTCGCCAGGGCTGCTACGGACATCCATGATCTCAATCCCGCCGCTGCTGCTGCCACCGCCGCTGCTGCTGCTGCCGCCGCTGCCACCGCCGCTGCTGCTACTGCTGCTGCCGCCGCCGTCGTCATCGCCGTCGTCCGTGCGGCCAGACCCTCCTGTTTCAATGTTAGTGTTGGCTGCTGACGTGCCTTCCGTAGTGTTGCTGTTTCCGCCGCGGGCTGGAGCTGGCGGCGGCAGGATGCCGAATGGTCCTACCGGCCACGCAGAAGCTGATGCCCCCGCCGGCGACGTCTCCATCGCCGCAAGCGCCGCGGCTCTGGCCTTGGCGGCCGCCCGCGCGGAGATGTTCGCCGAGACTGCGCTTTTGATGTACGTGCCCAAGCAGAGTGAAGGATCGTCGTCTGCGTGTGTGGCGAATGACCAGTTTGGGTGATGTCAATTTAAAACGTTGGTAGGATGGGCCGTCTGTTCTCCCCTTGATTCGGTTTATAAAGCAGCTGAAGGGAGTTAGGGAGTTAGGGAGGTCAACAGCCTGCTGCTGCTGCTGCTGCTTACAGTAAGTCCGTGGGGGCATCCACAACGATGCCAATCTCCCCCACTTACCTGTAGGCGGTGCCCAAGCCCAGCCGCTGGCAGGCCGCAAGAAGCCCTTAAGGTCCCCAGGATCGCTGAATGCAACGCAAGATGTCAGCGCGTTGCAAATTTCCATGAGGCGTTGTCGCCCGCCCACAGACCACGTGCCAGGCCAGCTGCTGAGGGTCCCCTGGGGTGAGTAAGCGCCTGCCCAGAACACGTAACCAGGCATCTGGCATCCTGCGCCAGCCGCCTGGCCCACAACGCGACCATTGATTGCATGGAAGAATACTGTACACATGGGGAGCGACGAGACTTGATTAGTTGTGCGTTGAGCGGCTCCCGCTCCTCACGCCTCAAAGGTTATTTTATATGCACTTACCAAAGGCTATAAAGACAGCCAGCGCCATGCCTTGGAACCTAAAGATTCGGCTGTCTAAAAGGTGCCGGAGCAGGAGCGCTCCGCTGGAAGGCGGCCCAGAAGCACGCCCAGCGTCTCATTTTCCTCAACGTAACACATCGCATGAAATAAGCTGACTGTTACCGGCCATAACTGTTTGTCGAGGCCAATGCCTCGTACTTTTGCATCAAGCGAGCGTAACGTTGTTTCTAAGGTCCTTTCATCCAATTTACCACAAAACGCCTTGTCTTCAAGTTTCAGGTACCGGTTTCTTGTGCTTACTCACCAAGATGCCCGTACTTCACCGTAGTAACGACGTATTCTATTTTGGACACGCAACTTGCAACCACTTTACAAGTTACCCTTCGTGCAACAAGCAGTGCCAACATGCTGCAGCCTGAACCTCTGCTGCAGCCTGAACCTCAAGATTCATAGGACTGCCAGCGGAAGCCAACCAGGCAGCTGGTCAGGAGCATACATAGCATTGGATGACTTTAACAGCCCCTGGATGGTGCCTAATGTGTAGTATTTGAAAGGACCAGAGTGAAGTAACTCACGGAATAGCACCGTAATTTGGCCATACGACGCCCTCGACCACCTGCACAGGTTGCATGCACTGCTGCTGTTATGTGCTAAAATCAACACCCTTCTTCACACATGCAACACGAAGTGCCGGAGTCGTAGCTCTAGTAACCTACCCCTAGCTATCGCACCGAGAGCTACACTCTGGAATTATTGTATTATATACCGTGAATTCTCACGGATTTTCGGGCCATTGGCGCAAACTCATGAGTTCAAGTCCTCCCCAACTATCTCGGTATCGTGTCGTAGTCCAAGTCCAGACAGGATATCCAGACTCGCTTTTTGTACCTGACCACTGTGCATGTGGTTTTCGTTGTGTCGTTTTTCTTCCCGCCCTGCCTCGTTGTCAGACAACGCACGCACATCAGGCAACATGAATTATGCTGGCTCCCTGACTCACTGAGTCCGTCACAGGTGCACCTGCAGGCATCCATTCCCGCAGCGACCTCGATGAATTCGTTGGCTTTGTCTCTGGCTTCGGTGTTCCTGAAAACTTCATGATCCGAAAACCAGTTGAAATAGTTTTCAGCGCTCAATATCTCAACCCATTTGCTATCCGTATTGCCTTTAGCGCACTCCGCTAGCTGACCCGAAAGCTAAGCGCAGCAAGTCCAGCAACGAAGCACGACTGGGTCTTCTCTACTCGCAGCCTCTTCGTTAAGCATCTGGATTGCCCCGATGTTGCAACGCGCAAGCTTGCGCGAAATGTAACCCATTCCATAGCCCGTTATTACAGCCAAAGTAAGGCAGGGATAGAGCCAGCGCTAATACCTACAAGTGCACACTCATGCAGACACACACGCGCGCGAGCGCGCCCCGTGCGTCGCTTCGCGCGTGGCTTACCCACCTAGCTGGTAGCCGCTTGCCATTGCCTGATAAGGCAACTGTTGCTGTCAAGCCCAGTTCTGAGGCGATCATTGCTGCAAAATGCAGTTCCCCATTGCGACAGCCGCAGAGGTTTAGCTCGTCATCGGTTCTGTTCTGCCCGGCCATAGCGGGCTGATGAGCTCACACTAGCCCACACAGGCGGGTGGGACAGCAGGAGCTGCAATGCATGAAAAGATCCCAAACGTATGCACCGCTTGTGATTGCTAACCCAATCCCAGAGCCGTTCCCCTAACCACAGGGGAACCCTTGCCATCTTGCACATCACCACATCCCTTATCGTACGTTCTCCGTAAGCCCTGCGCGCATGCTTGTGGAACTAGCAGGTGCATGGAACTTGTCATAGATTGACTTCCCCACGGTGCATGACAACGCCTCCAAAAAACGTCCAAACGCATATCTGCGTGCTGATAAGTCAAACCACTCGGCACACAACCTTGTGGATAGTAATCCAGATAGTCATGGAAATGGATGAATGTGTGGGAGCTCGTTTAGCCTCACCCCCTCAGCCACACCCACACGGAACAGCAGCAGAACCGACAGACCGACCCCGATGTCCGCATTGACTGACTCAGCCGAATCTATCTCGAGTCAGCAGCATTTCGTACTTTCGTCGTGCAATCCGGCGACGTCATCGATGCCGACAGATCGGGTGCCACTGCCTACCTACCTGCCTACCTACCTACCTACCTACATACATACCTACCTACATACATACCTGCCTACCTACCTACCTACCTACCTACACACCTACCTACCTACACACCTACCTACCTACACACCTACCTACCTACACACCTACCTACCTACACACCTACCTACCTACACACCTACCTACCTACACACCTACACAACTACACATCTACACACCTGCCTCGGGAAAGGGGCCCGCTGGTGAAGCTTAACCACCCTGTAACGACATACATACCCGACATTTTATCGCGGATAAGTTCGCGAGAGCACAGCCGCCTTCACTGCAAAGAAAGCATGCATGTGACTGCTTGGATGCGCCCATGCATACCGCTGTCATTGCTATTAAATCTCCGCCGCCATGGCCATGTCGTGCAACGACGTTTCGCTCATATTGCCACTTGACTTCTGCTTTCGGACGCTACCCCCGCCCATATTAATCATAGAGGTGGGGTGTACGACACCAGCCGAGCCGCCGACAATCCCGCCCCATAAGGTCGAGTGTACGAATATCCTACATGAGCTGAAGATCGCGAGGATAAGGCCCAGGATACCAAAGCAAATCCCCGTAATTGCAATGATCTGCAGTACGGCAATTTGTCTATCCATACGTTGAAGCTGATCCTTTAGGTTTGCGGGAATGTACGACAGCAGCGCGCTCGCATTGATGGACGTGGCGGACGTCGCGGAGGCGTTCGCGGCTCGCGCGGTTGCTTTGTTCTGCAGAAGGTAGTAGGCCTTGTAGAAGTCTGCAAAGGCGGCGGCGTTCGTGTTCTCGAAGCTTCCCGCGAAGGAGCTTATCACGTAGTCAGCGCTGCCCTTGCCTGCATGCGCATGTGTGCATATACATCAACGTTACTCTTAGGAGCTGAGCCTCGAATACGAGCTGGTGAAGATGCCGTGTAATGTACGTGTGGCAGGACAGGGCAGAGCATGAGGGATGGACAGAAGGCGCATCCTTGCTTGTCCACATAACTTAAGACGTGACTGTTTCACAAGCCTGGCGAATACGTCATATCCTGGAAGAAAATTTAGACCGGACCCTCATCCGCCATTCAGCCAATACTCCGCCTTGCTGCTGACCAATCAACTCCGGCGTGTCGCGCCACACACCCAACCACACACCTCCTCGTGGGCGGCATGGCGCGGCCCACACACCCAGCCACCCACCTGCCGGCAACACGCTGCCGCTTTCAAATGTCCACATCTTGGCCCGCGTGTCAATTTGCAGCAACGGCAGCGCCCGCTCTGTCGTGTATTGCCGTACTTCCGCTGGCAGTGGGCTAAAGCCCGCCGCCGGTGCAATCACGTGTTGTGCCCAGTCGCCCAACAGAAACGTCAGGAAGCTCTGAAGCAGCGCGCCAGCGTCCCCACGGTTTGTGAGGTCGGTGCGCACGAACATAAAGGGCATCGCGACAATGGGAAAGGTGGTCGCCCCCGGCTGGTTCAGCACTGAAACCGCGGAGAAGGACTGGAGGGGATCCTTGGGCCAGGCATCGGACTTGAACAGCGCGGAGGCGGCGCCGGGCACATCTCCAGTCTGCAGTTGGGCTCGTTAGCTAGTTAGTTTTGTGGGTTAATTTAACGGGGTCGTTCGCACTAGTAAAACTGATGCTGTACAGCATGTCCTGTGCCACCACGACCGTGCTTACATTACCCTTGGCTCTTAAGCATATATGGCGACAACCCAAAACTCGTAAACCACCACGCTTACAAGCACCTGAGCACCCAAGAAATACATACATGTGTATGTATTCTGTACATACATACATACCTGGGTGGTGACGAAGTTCCCCTCTTTGTTTTGGATGGCGACCTCCACCAGGTTCAGGTCCAGCCCGTTGGCGGCATCCATGTAGCCAATGGACCAAGGAGTGGAGAAGACGCTGGTGGACATGTTCAGTGCATTGGCCGCGGGCTTGAAGGTGGCCGGCCAGATGGACAGCAAGCTGCCAGAACCCAGGCGCCACGCTGCGTGCGTGAAGAAGGACGTGTTGGAAAGGACGTGTGTTTTTTCAGTGCGGCGACGCGAGTTGGGATTGCACGTACGTTGCGGCAGGGATGACGCGGAGCGAGGTGGTTAAGAGACATGTAGGTGACATACAGACGCCAATGACCAGTGTGCATGCACGAATGTACGTGTGAATGTACGTGTGAATGTACGTGTGAATGTACGTGTGAATGTACGTGTGAATGTACGTGATGCGCATGAGCGCGTGCAGCTGCAGGCATGCAGGGCTCCTAAGGCGTGGGGCCTATCTATCTGCTTGATTGGTAGCCAATATGCTACATGCAGCCGCGTGCTTACTTGGGCATGTGGCTGTGAGGTAGGCGGTGATGACGGCTGTGGTTCCGGAGCTGAACTGCCGGTAGAACACGGTGATGAGCTGGTCGGGGAGTGTGAAGCCGTTGTTGTCAGCTGCTATGTCAGTATGGCTCCAGCTCAGGATATCGGCCTGGTGCTCCGGGGCAGGGATGTAGGGAAGGGGTGATCAGTAAGTAGGGAAAAGGGGCGGGGCATAGATGCCGGGTGAAAGAAGGTGCTAAGGGAGCATGAAATGCGAGGGGAAGAGACGTCCACGCATGCGCACGGGACGAACGGACTGCACTGCAGCAGGGCTGGGGCTCGCCAGCTACTGACGTCCGCTGATAACTTCCACCATTACCCGCCACCGTCCTAAGCGCTTACGTAACACATTCGACATAGTTCGGGCTGGGGACAGGTAGATGTTTTGGTAAGGCAGCCTATGAAGTGTCGGTAGGTAGGGTTTTAGGACACCGCCGACAACGTTAGTGTGTGTCAGCGGAGCTATACGCGCACCGCCTCATAAAACCAGCTCTGCTTCCTTTCATACCTGGGCCCCCTACTGCTCGCATACATGATCCTTTCGGCTGGCTCAGTGTAAGGATTTTCTTTTCAGCCAGCTAAGCCCACAAGCCACTACGCGCTCGCGGGCTTAGCCGGCACCTCCCGCATACAGCCCTTACCTGCATAATCTTGGCGAGGGTACAAGGGCTGAGCCTGAGCTGCCGCGAGGGCAGTACGCTCTCCGGAATGTTGACGAAAAAGTTCATGGGCTAAGGGTTGGGACCAGAAGCAACCAAGTGGTGGGCCGCGTCCCCGTCGTACAATACATTTATGTACGACAACGAGACGAAGAACGCGTATCAGTAAGGTGCGCGGACGGAAAAATAAGAGATGTACGGATTGATCTGCATTTTTGCACGCGGGCTGAAGTGGGCCCATGCTAGGTCGCTGGAGGACGTACTTAGCATGGTGAAGTGCTGCGCCCTTCCGCGGTCTAGTACTTGCTTACCATACAAAACAGAAGGTGCGTAATGATAAGTAATACATGAGTATTACAGCTTGCCAGGATGGCGTCGCCAGGTTTGCCGTACAGTGCCTAGCTGCCGTACATCGGTTCTCAGACCCACACACTGCTCATCACGCATCACTCACCGCCAGCAGGACAGGAATGTGCACCATCGCGACTTTGCCATTTGCGGTTAGGTCTGTGTACAGCGCATCCGGCATGGGCGTATCGGAGATCCCGAAATCCACGATTGCCTGGTACCCGTTGGCCTTGGCCACCACTTCGTTCTGACCCGAGCCCGACCCGGTGGCTCTATACACGAGGTGCATGGGGCTGGTGGACCTGGCCCTCATCTCTGAGAAGCAGCGCCAAATGAAGAGCGACGCGGCAGAGCTGCCTGCACCTCGCATCACCCGCGCGGTGCCGCTGTCCACCGTCGTGCGAAGAGCTCCTAGCTATGTATGTGTGGCAGATGAGATGCAAGGAATATAGTTGGCATGTATCGCATGGGAGGAAAGAGACTTTCGGGTGGGAGGGGGGAATCCTAGCTGGGGCATCAAGTTGGGCAGTACAATTGTTGTTGAGGTATCGTATGTTTGAAGTAGAGTTCTCGGCTCCTCCAATTCTCTGGGGAAAAAAGATGGGATGCACGTATAGGACGGAGAGGCAGTGGATAGGCCGCGCAGAGGAGAGCGGCAAGCTTCTCTAATACCACTGCATTCGTTGCAGCAACAACAGACTCCAGAAGACAACAAGATCGGACCCATGTACATCGCCGATGCCTCTGTCAGCACGCACGTGGATGGCGTCACCGGACCTTTTCTTATGCAAACAGGTTGAATGGCTGGCTGGGCCTCAGAGGCATGGATAGATGGATACATTGTGATGGACGTTCACGCGATGTTATGTTACAAGTGGGGCGACAGAAGGAAAAGCCGAGCCCAAGGGGAGCCGGGTATGGCGTGTCGAGACCGCATCACCATCCACCAGCATTATTACGTTGCCGTTCACAGCTGCTCTATTTCGTCGGGCTAGTAAGCCGTTCACACGTTCACAGTGGTGTTATCGTTAGTTGGTGATGGTGTCTGACGTTAGGCAGACGCCCAACAGTCCAGTCCACGTGCCCATCCATTTCTTTCCTCCCCCCGGGTGAATGCATTCACCGACCCATCCATGACCTGCCTGGGAAAGCAGATCCATGTAGATGGCCACATCAAAGGAGGAGCGTGTTGAGCTGAGGACTGCAACCGCAAGCAGAAGGGGGAGTAACATTTTTACGCACTATGCACATCTGAAAAATACGACACAAGGTGTACGGCGGGCTGGTAGAGATGTGCTTGAGGGGGCATGTAGGAATAGCGGTGTACAGTATGGTGACGAGGACGAGAATGAAGGTATAATAAGGATGAGGGTGAGGGATATTGCGCGGCACTGGTGCAGTCTTCCGTGGTGCAGTCTTGGACAACCCAATGCGCCATGCAACCGAAGCGTGCCCGGGAACGGGCACACCACGATGCTGCTGGGTGTGCGCACAGCTCAGATGTGCCGCGACTGACCAGCGTAGCTGGAGGGAATGGGCCCCCCTCGTCCCCATCACTGCATGCTCCTTGGTTCGTGCAAGAGTCCTACCATGGACAGCAACATATTTTTTGAATTCGGAGCCTAAATGGCCCAGAAGCCTCCCACCCTGTAACAATTCAACAAGACTTATCATTGGCTATTGAGGTCAGCACCTGCATGTCATCCTGTGACTAGTTAATAGGACCTATCAGTTTCCAGGGCCGTCCCCAGGATTGGGAACGGAGCAGCGCCCTGCCACGCGAGCTCCTCCAGCTTTCCCTGCTGGATTGCGTGTGTGTGGCGGTCAGTGTACACGTGCACATTCGCCTTACTAGATGCCTCACCGTTGGGCCCATTGCTGTCCGCGAAGACGTACGGCACTGCACCTCTCCCTGTGATGAAAGCGCCGGAAGAGGCGGCTCTGCAAGCATAGGTACACACCACAACAATGAATGGGAAGTCTTCCCCTTTCGTTCTTCCCCTGGGACAACACACGTGGGGGTGCACCAGGGGGGTATCATTACGTGCGAAGGGTTGCATCATGCACCGTCCACGCCGCATACCGCATACCTTATCGCAGCTGTGACAGTGCTCCCGAGCGACAACAGCCCGAACTGCGACAACATACCCTCGCCGCCGCCGCTGCTGCTGCTGCTGCTGCTGCTGCTGCCGGCGCCAGTCGCTCCCGTGACGGCGACAGTATGGAAGAAGATGGCCAGGGCCTTGACTGCCTCACCACGCTGGGCTTCTGCTGGGGAGTAGCTCCAGTTGCTGCGGGTGATGAGGTAGGTGAGGGTGAGGATGGGGGCCACCCCGCTGGCAGGCAGGGCAGACACCGACACAGAGCTGTAGTCCCCCGTCAGGGCTTCATATGTTGCATGGGTACGTGGTTGCGCAGCGCAGCGCAGGGAGAGGAGGGAGAGAAAAAAGAGGGTGTGGACGGAAGATTGTTGGCGGAAGAGTGTTGGTACAAATCCAGCAACAAGCAGTCAGCTTAAGATATGGACGAACTAAGTCAGTTGCAGTAAGCCCGCTGCCAGACAGGCAAACAGGCAGGCAGGCAGGCAGGCAGGCAAACTTGCAGGAAGGCAGACAGACAGACAGACAGGCAGACAGACAGACAGACAGAAGGCAGGCAGATAGGCAGATAGGCAGGCAAGCACACATTCAGGCAGGCAGGCAAACTGGCAGGCAGGCAGGCAGGCAAACTGGCAGGAAGGCAGACAGACAGACGACAGGCAGATAGGCAGGCAAGCACACAGGCAGGCAGGCAGGCAAACTGGCAGGCAGGCAGGCAGGCAAACTGGCAGGAAGGCAGACAGACAGACGGACAGGCAGATAGGCAGGCAAGCACACAGGCAGGCAGGCAGGCAAACTGGCAGGCAGGCAGGCAGGCAGGCAAACTGGCAGGAAGGCAGACAGACAGACAGACAGACAAGCAGATAGGCAGGCAAGCACACAGGCAGGCAGGCAGGCAAACTGGCAGGCAGGCAGGCAGGCAAACTGGCAGGAAGGCAGACAGACAGACAGACAGGCAGATAGGCAGGCAAGCACACAGGCAGGCAGGCAGACAGATAGACAGACAGGCCGAGGCTCACTCACTTGTGGGTACCACCGCGACCAATGCATCCCATAAGGCGGTGGTGTTGGAGGCGCCACAAACCACGAACTGCCCGGGAGTAGACGTTTCCAAGGCGAACTCGGGCAGGGAGGCGGCTCGACCCGCAGATGCCGGCATCCACCCGAACGAAAACGGCGTGGACAGGAGCTTGTGGATCATGTCGGCGCCCACGAGTACGACATCTGTACGAATGCTGTCGTACGTCACGGGTAGGGACGGGCATGCTGTGGCGAGCCAGCCGAGGACTGCCGAGGTGGCCCCTGAAGTGGCTGACTCCACCAGGATTGTAATCTTGGAGACGGAAGCAGCCTTGGAGAGAGGGATCAAGGGAGGACGGGGCCGAGCAGGGGATGCTGATGCTGATGCTGGAATGGATAGTCGCGCATCTCAACCACGGAGGCGGGTCACTGGAGGAGGAGCCTCATTGATACGGCGCTTGATCAAGCAAGGGTGAGCAGAACGGAAGCTTCAACATGCGCGACGCGACTGCTATCAAGTTCTCATACGTACAGTCGTTCAACTTGGTTGCGGCAAGCGGGGAGGGCGACGGAAGAAAGGCAAGAGCATACGACAGTCTTGTCCTACGTAAGCTTCGTACACTTACCAGTGCCTTCCGCAGGTTCGCTGCTGAAGCAGCGTTGCCCGATTACTAAGGAAGGAGCTCGCTATTATTCCACGCACTCTTATTACCTTGACGAAAGCGGGATTCTCGTCCAGGAAGTCTGGGTGCGTCCATTCAGAAATGTCCTGTGTGCTTGAACGGGCGTTCCGCGCGTTTCACCAGTTTCACCCAGCAACGGCGAAGGTAAAGGCGTTGTTTGTGTGTGGAGAGGTAAGCAAGCGTGAGCAAGCAGTGGGGCGGTTATAGATATAAGCCCTATAGACATTTCCCGTAGTACTCAGTCTGTAACGTGCAAGAGCAGTTACATATCTCTGAATGACTCTCTTCAAAGGGGTTCACGTAGCTATTCTCAAGACTCTCCCTTTTACGACGTCGTACATTAGTACGTGTCGTACACTGGATGGCTACATCTTCGCTGGTGTATCGCATCCGGTGTCTTTAGACACCACCTTGACTGGTTGTGATAAGGATAAACGTAACACAGTCGACGACTTAGAGCAAGGGCCATGGCCTAGTAGGTCACACCGTAGATCCTACGAAGGACATCATCACCGGAGTTTGACTTCTTAAATGGGATAGATGCCTGAAGTTAGTGGCCTTTGAGCGGTTGCCGACATGCGCGCTTCATCGAGCACGGTCCGCCGTTGGTAGAGAACTTCGTTGCTCCACCCACCATACGCATGTACGAGCAAAGAGCATCCTGCTGCTATGCGAAATATATAACAAAAAATAAGGTATAAAAAACGTCCGTACAGTACCGCCGCCGTGCACAACATGAACCGCTGCGCTGCCTTTTGTCGTACTTAGCTAGTACAGGCTAAGCATAGCTGCAAAACCCGGACTGCAGATAAATACACTTTTTTAAAGTCCCCAACATCCTAACCACCAGGTGATGCCAGGAACCGTCCTGCCTGAGTCTATGGAAGGCGCCCCCTGGGCCCCCTGCGCCCCCTGCGGCCCTGCAATCAATGCGCCCTACACTACCAATTTACCCTACTAACGAACTGTTCAGCCCTTGTTACCCTACGTAACCTGTTAGCGCTCTGCCGCTTTACGTACCCCTTTGAGTATTCTCGCCGCGAGGCAAGCTGTCATATTCAGGGATGTGGCCTGATTCCCTGCAACGGCAAACACAACACCGCGGAGGAGCACTCTCAAGTGTGGTGTGGGGCAGATGTCCCCAGCGAATTCCGTTTCGCGGCCTCGACAGCGCCCTAGTGGACATACGCCCGTGGTCCGTACTTAAGCGGCAAATTCAGATATCAGCCACATAAACACACATGCACGCATACATATACACACATACATACACTCACATTCATTCATACGCTCTCATACACACATGCTTACTACCTGTTGCCATTGAGCCACAGCAGCTCAGCAGCATAGCTCCCGCACACCCAGCAGGCTTTCCCCGTTTATTTTCCTTCTACCGGATCATTATTGGTCACCCACCTGGAATATTATAGAAGAGGCCGTAACTGTTGATGAACAGCGGGATGTGCAGCGAATCCCCCGTCACACCGGTGGATGAGAAGTTGGAGCGCTGCGCGGATGTCAGAGGTTGTTCCGAGATTGCGAACTGCCGGTGCCCGGACGCGGACGGGGACGAGTGCCCAAAGGACGACGTCAGAGTTAAAAGACTTGGAGCATTCGCAACAACAACAGCCAACCGGAGAACCATAAACATAGAAATTGCAAACACACCGTACGCATGCCACGTCACAGCACCATCTACATACAGATTGGATGGAGCTTGGGGGACAGACGGACCGCCAGGCGTAACTACCGAGAAAACTGGATGTGGCTCACCAGCAGCCCAGGAAATACGGAACGTTGTTATACTGGCCTAGCCAGAGCCGGCAGGGCAGCAACTAACATTGCTGTCAACATGGCCAGTCCATGGGCGCGGGGGTGAAATCGCAGGCGTCATATTATATTTAAATACACAACTAACTGAGATATGAGGGAGCCACTCTTATCATTTGCTGTCCGCAGAAACCCCGCCGAGCCGAACAGCCAAAGGAGGGTCAGGTAACCCGGACATTACCTCCCGTAGCAGCGCGCAGCTACCACATTCATACGAGCGAGTTGTGAATCATAGCGAGGGTGTAAGCCCGTTGCGCGGGAACAAGGGTGTTCGCGACATATTGCTTTTCCCTGGCATAGAAAAGAAGAAACGTCCCCGGGTTCCCCCCCAATCCTTGCCCAGAACCCACTTGCAAGCCGTCGGTGAATCTTTGCGCGCGGGTATCCGCGGCGATGCTGGACGTGGCTGAAGACGAGGAAGTGTTGCGGTAGAAGACCCGGAGCGGCACGCCCATATACGTCTCAAAAGTCCGGAACGCCTGCGTGCGCCCGCAACGGTGTGTGTGTGTGTGTGTGTGTGTGTGTGCGTGTGCGTGTATATGTGTGTATATATATATGTGTGTGTATGTGTGTGTGTGTGTGTGTGTGTGTGTGTGTGCGTTGTGCAGCCGAGGCCAATAAATTCATGGGGCCAGTAGGGGTGAATCCGCCGCAGCTGTGCACCGCCCCACACAATAACCAGCGTGTGATTATCGGCGAATTGGTGATGAATCGCTGTGAGCCACAGCCGTGCGTATGACGGTGGGTTCGACGGTCTCGTAACCTCAGTTGGCGGGTGGACACTGAACGCAACTGAAAGACACTGAACGCAACTGAAAGACACTGAACGCAACTGAAAGACACTGAACGCACACCAGCAGGGTTTTGTAACGCACGGATGCAGAGCAGGTGCCCGTGCTCACATCTCGCGTGTGGGATCCAGATTACGTTCCAGATGTAGAAATTAGCAAGCGCTATCCAAATTGAGGCTGGAGTAGAAGCTGATTTACGTATGAGCTGTGATGGCGTCTTTATTTTGCAATGTGAGCAAGACCCGGACGTGCCGGAGGGTTTGCGGCACCGATAGATGACCATCCAATGTGCACATCCTAAGGATTATCGGCAGGAGCAATATATGGACGTACTCTGAGCATGGGAATCGCGGTTTCTGCCGGTCCTTCGCCGCTCAATGTCAGCACGCCGACGTCGCCCTCCTGGCAATTAACGAGCAGTGCAGCAGTGGACAGCAAGCTCCACGCCAACCAGCCGCAGCGAAGATTGAATAGTTCTGACACAACGGCTCTGCTGCTGCGTCGCCTTTGCATCTGTCATGTGAATGAAATTCGTTCCGGTTCTCCATGGGCGAACTCGTACGTCAAAAGTCCATCCTTGGCATACCTACAGCTACCTACCTTACCTACCTTTCGTCTTGCTTGGCCCTTCCGTCCTTGTGCTGGAGAAAACGTGGGGTGAAAGCGGTGTAGTTGCCAGCTGTTAACAATCCGCCAACATTCTCCCATTTGGTGTTAGTGTCTGCTTTAAAGGGAACGTGCAGTTTGGTGCAATGACTTCTGTGCACGTCATTTCAGTTAAAACTTAGTTGTAGGAGTTTATTTGGCCAAGCGAACAGCACAGTCCATGCCGAAGGCAGGCGAAGGCAAGAAAGGATTTATGAGGAATAAGCCTTCAACAGCTTTAATCATATGGCCCAAAGCATTACGATACAATTAAGCGGAATGGAAGGCGGAATCCGGCTTCTGAAGGCAAAGCTTTGGAGGCATGCGCATGTCTTGAGGATTTGGTGTAAAGTTTAACTTATGCCTAACGATGCCGTCCGTAACCAGTGATTCCACTGAAGGCCCGTACCGATGCGGATGCTCTATCCATTCCTAACCGAAGTCAGTTTTCTTATCTTAGGACAAATGGATAGATGGGACATATGAGACATGAACAGTATTCATACAAGGGATAAATATTGTGGCAGCACTTTTATATCAATTACACCCAAAAAACCGCATCTTCTCCATTACTGCATTCTTACCTACAGGCCGTCGGGCCGGAAGGGACGCTGCCTACGGCATTACAACTTTTACCAATGTACACAATTTTTTTACCTCATCCAAATGAAGTAACACTAGCTGAAACTAAACGTTCCAGGCACCCATGTTGGAAAAATGACCAACATTCGTATACAGACAGAATTTCAAGGCATAGACCCTAGGCGGCGATCCCTCCGTCGGAATTTCTAATGCTGGATGATCCTAGAGGATTCTAGTGGGTGTCAGCCCCGGTAGACTACTCCTTGACATCTGAACCTTCACGATGGCGCAGCAGTTACCCTGCCTTCCGTTTACGACAAATTAGTCAAGCCTCGATTATCTGAGCAATACGGTTACGAAGAGAGTCACAAGCATTGGATTAAAGGAAAAGATTGGTTACCTGAAATCCTTGATCCTCATATGTAATCCCGCTGTCGCACCTTTGGGCCTGTACGGCTGTTAGGAAAGAATAAGAACCGAAGCGATACAGCATCAGATGAAATACCTTTTCTAATGTAGTCGTCCGCATCTAAGCGTGCCTCAGCTGCAACAAATTATAATCTGCTGCGTTACCTCGTGCCTCGTTGTGGAACAGCAAACGCAGGTGCCTTCCTGATAACTTATCATGTATCTTTTGCGTTAGGTAAAAGTTTTACCTTACCGTCAATGCTTGCTACCCGGTTCATCGGCCAATTGCAGCTGGAGTTCTGCGGTTGGTTGTACCAGTACGCGATAAAAGTTACAACGGCATGTATGGCGCAGATGGCGGTCACAATGGAGCCCAGCCGCGTCAATTATACCACGGAACAGTGAGCACCAGTCCATTTACGCTCATGGGAAAGTGAATCCACTTGCCTTCATCCAAGCCGGACACATCATTATTGTTGCTGCGCTGCTGCAACTGCATGAGGTGCAGCAGCTTAAACTTGACGTGGGCGTCTCCTAATCAAGGCTTGCTCACCAGCAGCAGCATGGGAAGCCAGAAGCTCAAAAATTTAATGAAAACGCTCCTGTACGGCTCGCAAATGGCCGTCCTTGTGCTGCTGCTGGTTTTTCGCCTTCTACCCAACGTCCAAAGCGCTGCTCGGAGTGGAGGGACCTTCAAGGTAGCTAAGTTCAGAGGCCAGCAGGCATCCACAAGCGGGGAGGAAGGAATGGGGCACATAATGCAATGACGATGCATGACGGCTGACGGCAACTAGCAAGTGTATTCGAGGACCATTAACACAGTCATGTATCATTAAGCAGACCAGCAGCGATGCCAGGGTTGGAAGTTGCTATCGGTCACCAGTGTTCTTCCATCTCCCAGAAATACCTCCGCCTATCCGTGACCCCATCCAGCCCATGCCAGCCTCCCAAAACTGTCGACTGGCTCTTATGGTTGGATGTTCTACTAACGTGCCCTCCGGCACACCGTTCCAGATGCCATCTGTCGCACGCCTTGGAGTGCGCACCTCACCGTGGTGCAAGATGACTAAGCAGCCGGCGGATAATTCAGCTGTTCTATTAGCTGCTAACCAGGCTGACAGATCTGTTCTACACATGCACCCACATAGATTCGTACCAGCAATCTTAAGATTTTGAGTGTACTTCCACAAGAAGCGGCCATTCTGGCGGCCGGCTGTTTCCATACATGAAAATACGATATACCTCGCTGCCGCGCATGCAAGCCTCAAGGAACTCTGTTGTTCCCTCCCCCTGCCCCCAATACCTGCCCTGCCCTGCACCACCTCTCACGTAGGCTGGTGTGGCAGCCAGTCTTACGGGAAAGTTCTCTGAATGGCGGGACGCAGTGAACGGTAAGACTGCACATGATGAGGCTCCCGGGTGCCTTGCAGCAGCTCATCCTGCAATCATGACGACAATTGCAGCTTACCGCAAAACTAAAATCAAAAAAATATTGTTGCCGCGGATCCATAAGAATCATCGGTGCACCTCACACATAACATAACGCAAGAAGAGTTCGGGCGGTGAGCAAGAAAAATATGCCTTTTCAACACACACAAGGACTGTCTGGCAGCAGACAGCGTTCTAGATCGACCGGCCCATTGAGCGATGTCCCTGGTTTGGGGCCGTGTCCGAGCCGTGCCATCGATCACAACCCCCCCAATCGCGCCCTAACCAGGGGAATAACTTTCCAAACCGAACCCAGGCTACACGCCTTGCTGACCACCAAATTTATTTGCAGGTTACAAATTATGGGCCGATGCTGTGGCGGCTGCTGGAGGGATCGCCGTGCGGGACAAAAACGGCACGACCTACACGTACGGCATTGATTTGGTAGTACTTGACGACAACAGTACGGCACAGGGCCATGTTGCCGCGGTGGACGCGCTGCTCAACATCCACAAGGTGCATTTCGTCCTGGGGGCGTCCCTGATCTTCACGGAGGTCGAGACGGAGCGGGCGAACAAAGTCGGGCGGCTCAGCATCCAGTGCTGCGCTGGCACCTCCAGCATCTACTCACGGGACCAGAAGAACGTGTTCGGTGGGTAGTAATGCGCACATGAATGGACCTGGTCCAAGAATTTGCATTTGCTTTTGCCACAGATTAAGACCCGGCCGTGCTGCCAGGTACACACGTACCGGGTACATACGTACGCATGCTCGCATGCGAGCAACAGCTGACACTTGCTAACCTAGATGCCGACGCCGCCGCGCGGGCTGGCCAATTTGGAACTCCAGTTGCACTGTTGCCCGCGCTGTTGTAATTGTAGTGGGTCCAGGATCGCCCCATGGTGCGTGTGTTAGCTTCATTCTGTTTGTTAATCTGCTTCGATGTGGGTAGCAAGTTGTAGCAGGTAATACGCAGCAGCGCAGTAGGGCTCTTCCTTCCGCACGCAGCCGCGCGACCAAGCGTCCTACGAAGTTTTTACTTGCCACCCAATATGTAGTAGCTGGCCGCTGAAAAGGCCTCTTCAGATGCTGGCAGAGCACTGCAGCGCGTATTGATAGACGATATCTGTGCGGTACTATCTACTCTCTACAGCTGCCACACAACAATACCAAGAAGGATAGCGTCTCGGCACTGCCAGCTCTTCCAGCCCCTCCCTTGCAGTATTGCGAACCAGTGCCTGCGCGTCGTGTATGTCGGAACTGGAGGGAATTGGCATGCGCGATTTTGCAAATCGAATGTGTGTCAGCTGCGTGATATATCTGCGTGTAACTCTCATCATAATGCGATGCTCGTGCGCAGGAATATCGGTTGACAATGCCCTCTACACGTCGGAGCTAATCACTGGTGAGCCAATCGTTACTAGCGAGTACACCGAACGTTGTTAGCCAGCCAACGCATCCTAGGTAGCAACGAATAGCTGTATAAACTGATCGACCCATAGGTAAGAACGAAGTACGACCTTGCTGCATGTACCCTAAGTTTGATCTCCCGACTACACACGTCCCTGCATGTTCATGTTTGTCCGTCTGTCCATCTGTCCGTTGGATCTCGGGCAAGCTAAAATCAACCCCTTCCCCTCCAACACCGACGCACGGCTGGGAAGCACCACTAGGTCAGGAAAGGCACTCTGGCGAGACTCGAAGTTCAGTTCTACTTCTTTCCCAAACGCATGCGCACAGCAGGAAGCCCACTGGCCGGCTAAAGTTCGCAAAAGGCCGGTACCAAACCAACTCGCACTGCTACCGGTTCGCTGCACCAAAACATCTGTCTGTCTGTCTGTCCGTCTGTCTGTCTGCGTGTCTGTCTATGAAACCATTTATCAGAATTCCGCTCCAAAGATCTCTACAAGCTGGCTGTCATCTACCGAGACGACGTGTTAGAGCTTCGGAGCGCCTGCGAGGGGGTAGTGTCGCAGGCCCAAACACAGCTGCTTACCGTGGTCTTGGAGCTGCATTACTCCGATAGCAGTGGCGGCAGCAACACCACCACCTCCCCCGACCAGCAGCTGGCGGCCCTCATGGACACGCTGGCAGATTCCTCCGCAGAGGCGCTCATCATGTGTGCACTGCAGGATGAGAGCAACACCGCGGCCACGATGATCGACCAGAGACGCAAGCCGCTGAAGGCGATCGTGTTTATGGGCGGTGCGTACAACAGGTATGTCATAACAAGAGTTACCCGCCGTGTAAACCTTTTGTTCATCCATAAATCACGACCTGATTTAGGTCAGGTAGGGACCGTCCCTACCTATTATACCTTCTATCCAAAAGCGATATTGGACACAAGGAAACAGCAGCAAGCTGCTTCTACGCATTAACTCAATCTCACCTGATTACGTGCCATTCGTATGCAAACGGCGGAGATAGATGTGAATGTTTAGGGGCGGTAGTTTGGCTTGCGACTATATATTCACCGCGATGTGTGGGCGCTCGGACGGCTCGTGCGAGGATCAAGCACTTGCAACTTCTGGCTAGCTGGCCTAATTCAAGCAGCAGCATGCTATGTCGCGTTAAAGCCTCAAACAAGGATCTATCTGAATTGTATACCAGTAGCCAGTACCAGTGGCAAGCAAGCAACTAGATAGCTTCGATAGGGGCATGCCTTCCGTGCACTCATCATGTTATCATGTCGTACCTTCTTGCCTGTATGTGCCAACACTTGCCAACGTATCACACATGCATGCATGGATGGATGGATGCATGGATGGATGGATGCAGGCGCTGGAATGACCGCCTGGGCAACCTCTCGGTGGGCGTGCTGTCCTTTGCTCATTGGGCACCTGATCTCATCAACCGCAAAGACAACTTTTGGGGCGATTCAAAGTCGTACGCGGGGAAATATCAGAACGCATTCAACGACACTGCTACGCACATCGCAGCAGGTCGGTAAATATGTCACGTACGTACGGTACGTACGACAGCCATGCACACATATGATGCATATTCGGCACCCGGCGTATGCGTGGTACGCATTTTGTTCAGTGCAAATAGTGGCAAGCCCGGTCTTTTGCACACATACTTGCTAACTCTATGCGCACTGCAACATCAAGCGTTATACCTGCGGTGGGAGTGGGGCACGCACGGTGCTGGACCGTTTGGTGGGCTTGCTTTGGAACGGGCGGGAGACAAGAGTAGCGAAGAAGCGAAGTTGCGAAGCGAGTTGCGAAAAAACAACTAAAGAAACGATGGCACAACGATGGCGTTGCTGCATGCGCAGCCGCCTCTGCCACTGGGTACGTGCTGCAAACGGTGCTCTCGGAAGTGTTTCGGAGCTGCGACTTGAGCCCCGAGGCCCTGGCGGATCCCTCCGTGCTGCTCTTCACCCCGGGTGCTATCGCTTGCTCTGACACCAACAACCGGGGGCACGACCGGCTGCTGGCGGCTCTGTCCACTGCCAACATGGACACGTTTTATGGCGCTGTCAACTTTGACAGGTGGGTAGGCACGTATGAAGCTTGAGCAGATACCTTGTTTGCACTATATGTGCGCTTCAACGGAAGTTCTACTGCTGCTACTACGGGTTGGAAGACATCTGGCAATGCAGGCGAGACCAATGCCGGCGGGATACAGCAGGCGGGGAAAGACGCACTGATGCTCAGTCCACATTGTGCAAAGGCTTGTGGACTCCACAAGCCTTTGGCCGGCGGGCCGTGAGTTGTGCACCTTCCTGGGTCAGGTCTATACACATTCCGTCGTCCTCCTGACGCCCGTCCGCCGCGCATCCAGCTACCCGGCGCGCGTGTGTGTTCGGATGTCTGTACCTGCTGGATTCGCGCGTGTTATTATGTACGTACTGTTCGTTCAGGTAGAAGATAGAACTACTGCTGTTGCGTGCGTTCCCGTAAGTATGACAGCATAGGAGTTAGTTGCCTCGCCTGAACAGTTCCAGCCGTGCTGTTGCCAGTGCGTGTAATAATTTTCGCTGTTGTGGGCCGACCCTGCTTCCTGACTCCTTACGCCTAATCGCAGATTTCGGCAGAACCATGGATACAGTCCCGTCATACTGCAGACGTATGAGATTTCGGAGAGCCTTATGCGAGCGTACAAGCCCTCTGTGGTGCTCCCTCTTTCTGCGGCCACTCGACCGCTGCTTCTGCCGCAGCCCAACCGCTACGCTCTGACGTGCCAGCCAGGAACCCATAGAGGAGAGGACGACTTCCAGCCTTGCATCGAGTGCAGGCCCGGTCAGTGGGGTTGGTTTATGTTTGGTACTTGCGTGCTCACTTGCGTACGTGGGAACCGAAAGGGGTGACGACCTGGGCGATAGATGTATGCTGGTTTATGCACTGCACCAAATGCGTTAAGGATGATGGGAAACGTGATGGTTTGTATCTAAGGATGAGGTAACTTTTTGCTGCTACCTACCTGCCTGCCTACCTGCCTACCTAACTACCTACCTAACTACCTACCTACCTGCCTACCTACCTACCTACCTACCTACCTACCTACCTGCCTACCTACCTACCTACCTACCTGCCTACCTACCTACCTACCTACCTACCTACCTACCTACCTACCTACCTACCTACCTACCCACCTGCCTACCTACCTACTATTCACCTGCTGCTGTCTATCAAAGCATGGGCGCGTGTGCATTTTCCTGCTCACATGCATTGTTATATTTGGCGTGTGAGTGCTTGCTTGGGGACTGCAATTCCCACTACTGATTTGCAATGGATTGAAATACAAATCCGCGTGACCAACTGCTTGCCGAACTGCATGCGTAACCGCCTAACCGCCTAACCGTCATAACTGCAGGTCAGTTCCAAGAGTTCCCCGGGCGAACCAGCTGTGAGCTGTGCCCCAAGGACCATTTCGCTAACGCCTCCGCCATGCCCGTGTGCCTGGCTTGCCCGTACAACACGTTGACCATTCAGCGAGGGTCCACAAACCTCACTGAGTGCCTCTGCAAGGTGTGTATACACATACGTATGTGTGCATGTATGTATGTATGCGGGGAGCGAAGAAAAGAAAGCTGCTCAGTCGTACGCAGTTATACGCAAGCAGCTGACTGTTGTAGAGTTCGGACGACACAACCATATAATGGGGGCATCGAAAGATACCGATTGAGACAAGTGTCTTGAATTATAGTCATCAGTGACTCCACTTGGCCTCACGCCGATAAGAATCCCCAGTACGACTGGGCGGCGCCGTATCCAGAAGCCATAGTTCGCAGGAACTACTCTCGCTCGGTCAGACGAAACTGGGACGCAGGTCCCAGCTTTACGTAGGTAAAACCCCCGCCCATACGCAGGTATGGACTTCCGCAGCAGTGCGGCATTAAGGTGGCGGACGACTAACAGTAGTCGCTTTAGCCGCCGCAGCTAACAGTAGCCGCAATTAAACTAGTAGCAGTATTAGTTAAAACCTGTAATCACCGACCGCGGAATTGGCGGGTGTTAGTTAGTAATATTGAAGTTCGGTAAATCGGAGTGGACGAGATAACCACCGACAGTTAGGATTCGGCGCCCAAACCGTTGCAGAAAACCTTTACAGGATACAACACTGACATGAGGCTGTGCATTTTCCTGCCGTGTCCTGGTGTTGCCGTACGATTCGCTTTACTTTAGTCGCTATGCACCATTCTTCGAGGTTCTTCAACAGCAAACTAGCGGTCAAGTCAAGCAGCCCGTAACATGTCCTGACCACAGGGCGTAGCCAGCCTTTCACTCCGTAGCCTTTCACTCCTCCCACCCACCCAACCCGAACCCCCGAAACAGCTGTAGACCTGCAGCTCAGTCGTGCGTGGCAGATCTCCATGCAACGCGCCTCAATTAACCGCAATTTCGCACTTAACGCACTTTCGCTAAGCACGTCACCCATTACATCAGTTACCTACTAGAAACGCACGGCAAGCCAGTTTACCAGACCAGCCCAATAACTCGGCACTGTGCGCCCCCACAGTAAGCAATACAGCCGGGCAGTACAACGAAGAAACATGCAAGATGTATGCTCCTGGGATAAGTAGTTATGCCGTATTTACAGTGGTAGGAATCCATCGTCCACTCGCACAACAGCAACATATAGCAACATATATATGTTACTACACAGGGCACACATCGTCGTAGGTCACATGCATCCAAGCAGATCACCCTTCCACGCGAGCCAAACTGCAAATGAACATACCCACGCAGCCTACCGTGTCTGTCTGCCATGCTCTCGCTGTTTCCCTCCTTTGCGACTCGCTTGCAGCTGGGCTACTACAACAGTGCGGGCCTTCCGGGCCTGCCTTGCGAGCCCTGTCCAGCAAATGCGCTGTGCGAGGGAGGTACGAGCCTGCCCGTACCCCTGCCTGGCTTCTACGCGGATCGCCGGGCTCCCTTTCAGATGTATCGCTGCAACCCTGCTAGCGTTTGCACGGGAAACTTCACTTGCCAGACGGGATACCGGGGCCGGATGTGCTACGCATGCGGCAAGGGCTACTTCCGGTGCGTGTGCTTGCACGTTTGGCCGTTGGGTTTGGAACATGAATAGGGAATAACACGGTTTGGCACGCACGGTCGCCTGTATGGGTGCGTCGTACGCCTGTAATAAGTAGCGGGCGTTCAGCCCATTTCATGCATGAAGCTAACTAACCCATCCCCACATGTTGGAACTGCCGCCGTACCTGCCTTTCTTCCGATGCCATGTACGCAGGTTCCTAGGGAACTGCGTACCCTGCCCGCGCAACAAATCAAATGTGCTGGGCTATCTGATTATTCTTGCCTCCTTGTGGATCTTGATCAACGTGTGGTTTGCGCGGGCTGTGGAGAACCTCATGGTCATCGTGAACTTCTGCCAGTTGATGTCGATCGTCGTGAGCTTCTCCCTCAACTGGCCGTCCAAGGTATTGGGGTAGTTGATAAGAAGCCCTCGTGCATAACGTTATTATTCGTACCCAAGTAACATCCACCTTTAATAAAAGCCTAGCCGTGCGCCGTCGAGCAGATTGTTGTGTGCCACCCGGCCTCCACATGGCAACTCTCGACACCAGGCACCGAACCCTCCGAATAATATCTAGGTCTGTCTCGTGCTCCAAAGCCGTTGGAGTAGATACGGCGCAAGGGCTACCTAATACGTCATCTGAGCTGAGAAACACAGCCGAAGGGTGGAACACCAGCCGGGTCATGAGAACCTAAATGTAACGACCTGTTTGTGTGATTGGTGCGTGTGCCTGCTGTGCATGTATATGTATGTGCTGCAAATGTGCTTCATGCGCTAACAGCTGTATCAGGTAATGAGTCTATCGAGCATTCTGTCCTTCGAAATCGATTCCCTGGAGCCCACCTGCCTGGTCCCCGAGTGGGGTTTCGCGCACAACCTGGTCGTACAGCTGCTACTGCCGCTGATCATGACGCTGCTGGTGGGGATTTGGATTGGCGCCACTTACCTGATATATCGTTTCCAGCAGGTACGGCATGATTCGAACTGTACGGCATACACATACGGCAACTGTTTACCGGCGCAAACGTTTGGCAAACTTGAACATGGAAAGGAATGGGCCCTAAAGTATCTGGCTACTGACGCACAGGCGTACGAACGTACATACGGTGATATGCATCTCCGTGCGCCCCACATATACGTACACCAACACATCTAGTGTAGTAGCTGATACACAGTACGACACACAGTACGGCACACGTATCGACTACAAAGACGAAGCGCTTGACCAGCATCTCGAGAGGCCTTTTCAGCGGCCATCTACTACACCAAGGTAGCAGAATTATCAGTTTTCATTTGCGACAAACAACTCTTCTCCATCCCTGCATTCATACACATAACCAATGGTTACACATGCCACATCATATTCGCAGGCCCGCCTGTCACGCTCGGCTAGGCAAGCCGCGAGTATGCAGCGAGCCCATTCGGCGCCGTGGAAGCAGGTGTTGTGGGATATGCTGGATATTCCTACTGGTGCGTGTGTTTAAGTACCGGGTGCAAAATGCATACCATGATCATGGAGGTATATAATAAAGCTACTTTGGCTTGCTGAAAAGAGGAGTTGCGTAGCTTGTTTCTATTGCAGCAAGGACCAGGGGATGCAGACTTACACACAAAGGTAAAGTCACTCTTAGCTTGGGTATCATGTCCATACGCAATTGTCCAACTGCTGCATGGCTGCTGGGATGAGGCATGCTTGTACGTAACGCTGCATGGCCTGTTGCCGAAAGTTGTATGCCGGTTGTATGGTTTGCCATGTACACTTCGCTGGGTGCTGCATGCAGCATACCGACCCTCTCGCCACATACATACATTTGTACAGACCGCCGTGAGCTCCAAAGCATGTACTTGGAGCGTTGGGCCGTTCCCCTGAACTTCCTTAACATCGGGTTCCTGGTGCAACTCAAGTATAACCTGAATACGTTCAGCTGTACGACAATTAACGGTGTAAAGTACATGTCGGCGTCGCCAAACGATGAGTGCTACACGCGCAAGGTAGGCAGGTAGATGCCACAAGCGAATCCTTGTTGCTTTTGCATACACAGCAAAGCTTGCGGATACGTGATATGCATGCCGATTTGATAGCGAGTAAGACGTTTCCAGGTTTCGGAGCCCTCTCGGCACGTACTTACATCCACATACGGTTCGCCAGACATCCTCCTGCTCGGCGGCTTATTAGTCACTTTAAAACAATAACCCATCGGCCCATCGTGACATATAATTGCTTGCCCCTTGTTGCATATTTTGGCGTCAAATAATGCATGATACCGTTTTATCATGCGCTTGCGTGTCCGTGCACCTGCTTGCCCACTCGTGGTCCTCAAACCCACGCACGCACTTTTGACGTATGCCAGCCGCACTACAGGGAGTAGTAACACAAGCGTCGAACATTCCCGCGTTACATGCCGCCTTGCTTTGCTTTGGACTTTCTTGTGCATGTCTCCCTGCATGTATGTACGGCAGCACTGGAACCTGATGATGCTTGGCTTGTCAGGCGTGGTCGTCTACAAGTAAGCCATTAACAAAAGCCCCCTATATATGTCCACGATGATGAGCACGATCGCCTGTTGTTCGTTGCGCGCGTACATGCATTCCGAGCAGCGGTGTGGAAGGCGACCAATCAGGCTAGGTAGGTAGATAGATAGCTGATGCGCCTGGCTGCTGGTGGTTAGATGGGCTCTGGTGATGGTGGATCTGGTTGCGTGTTTTGGCGAGTGTTCCACTGTCAGAGGCCCTTGCAGCTGTACATGCTGTAGGGCATTGAGCACCCGCGAGCGGGGCCAGGCAACCCTTCCATAGGTACATACCTTGGTAACTTGGATTAAAGGATCCCCCCACTTTGCCGCTTTTTTTGTTAATTCCTCCCTATTATCCACCCAACCATCTGAAAAGCTTGTTGATAAAAATGCGTCCCAAGTGATTGGGATTGTCGCCGGCCAAGCTAATCGTATCTTTGCTACCTGCACATGAACGCTGCATGACTAGGTGAACATCCTGTTACGGTATATATATGCTGCATGATTGACGGTTTCTACGCCTTTTTATGTACGCAGCTTCGGGTTCATCTGCTTGTACGCCCACGTCATGCGGCAGGTACGTAAGTACCGTGCCCTGGGAGATAGGCGCCCGCTACTCCTGTACGGCTGGATGTACGAGCGGTACGAGGCACAGTTCTGCTGGTACGAAACCGTCAACATCTTCCAGAGGTGAGACGGGAAATTGCGAGGACACGATTCCTAACGCCCGACCGGCTGGCCTATCTGTGTTGGTTGACGAATAACAAGTTAGTCTTCCCTTTACTGCACTAATCAAGTGCTGGTAAGCAGGATCACCCACAGAACCTATGGCATAAAATTTAACCGACCGGTTAGCTATAACCCGACCGGTCGCTTCAGTACGGGAACTGACATTTCGAGATAACGACCCGGTAACCGACTGGTCACCTTACCGGTCGGTTACCTTACCAACGGTAACCTAACTGACCGGTATCGAGCTCTTCATTAAGACTACTTCTGGGCCGAGTCGCGTATGAATGGCTGACGAGCATTGGATCCTAAAACTGTTTTGTGAACTTGTTCCAAGTTTTGAAAATCACTTCTGTACGGCGTATGTTAAAATCAAACCTAAAGATGCTTACATGGGCAGTCTGGTTAGGAGAAATTTCATCTGTCAGCGTGCATCAGCCAGCACAGTAGCACGCAGCAGACCGGTCTAGTGCAACAAGGAGAAGCAGAATGGCGTGTCGTGTTCCAACCATGTACCTGCTGCAGCCGGGGGTTCCCGCAGGTGGTTCAGATGCCCCCGCTGTTAGGTCCGGCCAAATATTTATGCGGACATACATACGGCTTTATCTCTTGCATAATGCATACTTACATTAATTGTTGCATGCTCTCTTCCTGTATGGCATGGAAATGAAGGCTGCAACACCAGCGGATGTCCCCCCACGGCAACACAAGGGTTGATGAAATGGATAAGCACTCGCAGACACGTTTCCTTCCATAACAAACTCTGCCGCGCCTTCAGGATCACTTTCGTGCTGGTGGCGTTGTTTTCCAACGACCCGGCACTGCAAGCCTTGCTGTGCATGGTCATCAGTGTTGCCGTTCTCCTCTTGGATGTCCGTACATCCGCGTACATGGACAAGCGCATCTACATGCTACAAGCCATCATCGACGGCGTCATGGGCGCCTTATTGGTGGCTGGGCTGCTGTTTTACAATCCACTCAGCGAGCCCTCTGTCGCGCGAGGCGTAGAGGTATGCGAATGGTTATTTCATCTCGAGGCGACCATGTATTATAAAGTACAGGACAGTGTAAATTTATACTTCTGTACGTAAGCATGGTGCGCAAAAGGCATCAGTTTGCGCACGGTTTGCAGCTTCCGTGCAAACGACCTGCCATGCCCGTCGTTGCATCCCCCCAGTGCTTCGCCCTCGACCGGTCGCTTGCGTGCTGCAGTGGCTGCGGCTGCGACTGGGCCAGCCGCCACCACCAATTATTAACATATTACTATTGATACAATATATCAAAAGCACGTACAGCTGGTAGTCGATTGACACCTCCGGGGCATCTTCCATGCCCTTGCGCCTCCCTGCTATATGTGCAATTACGTAATATGCATGTAGTTTTTGTTGTTCAGCGCCGTCATCGTGGCCTTCGCGAGTGCCGTGGTGTCGATCATCGAGGCACTGGCCACACGGTTCATCATCATGTGGCTGATGTCCAAACACAGGCCCATTGCCGCTAAGATTGGACAGCGGGTAAAGGGCTACAGACACGTATACCACATCTTTGGGCCCATCTTCCTCATCAAGTGAGGTGCAAGGGCGAAAGCGGGGGGGAATACACGCGATGCAGGTTCATACTGATGTAGTTCCATCCCCAGCTACCGCACGGGGGGAACCTGAACGCCACGATGCAGTGTTGGGTTGTGGTTAGCACTGCCGCCGGTTTGTTTGCTGCTTGGGTCCAGTGCTGTAACGGCATTCATTCTCCGATTATCTGTTCGTCAAGCTGGCAAAAAGAGATCGTGCTGATTACTTATTGAGTAAAGGTGCGCATCTCCCTGCTTGAGCCCTCGCACGCTTGAGACAGACCCCACAAGCTCGGAGTGAGCGAGCGATGAATGCCATACCGACGCAAATATTTACTTTACCTCGCTCACCTGCCTTACCTTCGTATCACTAATGATCCTTGGGGATAGATCCGCTGTAACAGAATTCCTTACCTCACACTAGCTCGCATGCGCAATGATGACTGTTAACAATGTATGGCGACGCGCCGAACCCCCTCGGATCCAATAGCTGCTCTCACAATTTACTTATATTTGAGTTGCCGGTCATCCTCCAACAAAATGATGAATTGTTCTTTCACTTTCCTCGTCGCGGGTCGTAAAGGTGGCTGCGGCGTTGCTCGGCTTCTGAATGGCTGGAATGGCACCGACTGTGAGTATGTATGGCTTTAATTAACCCTTACAATCCCACGTATATCTCACGCGTACAAGCGTGCGTAGTGAATTCAATTACGATGCGGTACCTTACAAGGGATCTCACTGTTCAGTCCACATGTCCACCGGAGTCGTCCGTACATGCTTCGCTGTCGTGCTTTGTACGGCTATATGCAAAACCTACGCACATATAGACGTACCATGGTCAGTAGGTGCGGGTATGCTGGAAGAGTTGTAGAACCTTCTGCACTTAATCCCTAGGTAAATGCATCCGAGCCTGAGTGACGGCGATGACATGAAATGCATGTATCGATGTACACGCGCCCAGATGTGCGGTGCTCGTCGACTACGTACACCCAACCTCCGATGTGTCGTACTTATCACTCAAGAAGTCCGGACGTTTCTGGCGGTACCTGCTCGGCAACTTCCCCGAGATCATCGGTGAGGGGTTTGAGATGTACAGCGCGTGCAGTGATGGTGAGAGCCCTGGCTGGTACACATTGCTACTGGTACGCGAATCCTTGCATGCTTGGTTGCTTGCCCGCTTGGTGATTAGATACAAAAGCTTACGCAGATGCCGCGTTGCCTCACTCTGCGCTTTGCTCGAATGAATTTCGTTTCAGTGGTTTTCTATCTCTTGTGCGTCCCGGCAATATGTCTGGCCCTGCCTAAAAGTGAACCCCCGCTCGCTCTGCGTGCCGACCGTCGATGACTTGCCAAAGCTGTTCACTCACATATTTTGTCGATTTTATCAATGGGCATATTTTCGTCGCGACAAGCGTTTCCGCTCCCTAGCTAGCGGCTGGGGCCCTGGCCCCTACCTCCCGCTGTATACCCTGCGTACCCTGCAGACTACCTGGTTTCGGTGCAAGAGGAACAGAGAGAACAATTCAACAGCTTCATCGAGGTACGATGCTTCGTTCCTGTTACTTAATTAGGACCTGGGCGCTGAATCTTCCGTACACAGTACGGCAGCATGTGACAGTAACTCTGGGAGCAGGGAGCAGCGGTGCATGTGGCCAGATTGGAGGGATTTATTCCCGTACACGGTACTCCGCCGGCCTCGACTTCGCGCAAGGCATGTGCAAAGCATTTTTGTAAGGATAAACCATTGTGTTTCAGAAGCCCTTGGCATTTCTGGAGTGCTTTGAGCGTAGTAAACCTAGCTGCTGGCTCAACACGGCTACCACCCGGCTGTTGCTACCCATGGATTGCCCTGGGGTGCTGTACATGGTCCATAGGATCAGGAATGGCCCTTCAGGTCTCCATCCAGCTGCTTTAGCATATGCCTTACTCCTGCTATGCGTGGCCCATGTTATGTACGGCAGGTCATGTACGACCATTTCTTCGACACGAAAGACGAGCACCAGCACCAGGTCTATTACTACATTCATGACAAGTTCAAAGCCCCGTTTGCCCAGTGGCTCAGCAGTTGTGAAGACGACGACCGGGTGTTCTGTCAGCAGGCGAGTAGGACTACTGGCTGATCTTGCAAATTTTGTGTATGGGATTCGCTAACATGTCCCGAACTCAGACCCCCTATTGGTACATCGGCCATCATGTGTTCGATTGGGCCAGAAGCTTCCCACTCTGTAACAACATTACAGCAATAATTTACATCGGCCATCATGATGTGCCTGATGAATCTGATGTGCCTGGCGTGTCTGCATTTGCATCTGCCTGATGGCCTTCGCGACGTGCCATAACGGCCACGCATGTTGCCCGGCAATGTCTGTCCGGCATTCCGTCCATCCCTTCATCATGTTCCATCCACGCCGTCCTGCCTCCTCCCACCGCCAACATCCTCATTGGTCATCAGGTCATGAGATCCGCCTTGGAGAAGGCCAAGGGCGTCAAGGCCGCGTCCGAGCTCTCAGCGGCGATGAACCGCTCCAAAAAGATAGCCAGCGCCGTTACCGTGCTGGCCGCCATCGACAAATTTAAGCGCGGAGGCGGCAACGCAGGCGGCGCCGCAGGACGCACGTTCGCGACCTCGTCAGTGTCTGCTTTATCCGCAACACCCGCGTCCCCCGCACGCACATTCATTTCGGGACCCTCCACCCGTGCTTCCATACTTGGCAACACCAGCGTGCGCTTCCAGAACCTGCCGGATCTCGATACCATCGCGCGGGTGTCTACGGGCGGTGCACTGTCAACATCATCGTCTGTGACTGCCGCCTTCAGCGCAAACTCAGCCTGTAGTGGTGGCGGTCCTGCCGCCGGGGTCAAGTCCCTGCTGAGGGTGGAGAGCAGCCTTGCAGGGGACTCCGCGGGCGCGTCCGAGTCGGGCACATGCAGCCATACACCTCCGCGACCGACACCGTTGCTAACTGCTTCGCCTGTCGGTAGCAAATCCGCCTTCGCTAGTCTGGCCGGGGCATCGACAATGGTGGCGGCGGCGGACGATGGCAAGAAACCGCCGCCGCCGCCGCCTTTACCGTTACCGCCGCCGCCGCCACTGGACAGCTCCACAGGCTACATCGATCGCTACGAGGGCCCTATGCCGTCTCTGCACCCGGGAACGCGTGTAAGCGGGTCGCCATGCAGCGCCTTGTCCACCTCACCTCCGTGCATTGAAGATCCCCTCGACAGCAGCCTGAAACCGACCTTGCGTGTTTTCATAACAAATATGGGTACAAAGGACAGCGGTGTGTCGAAATCATTAAGCAGCCTCGGCAGGGATGATGTCATGATCGTACAAGGCAGACAGGCTGCATCGGTAACGACACCCACAATGGCTGTTGCGGCGGCGGCGGCGGCAGCAGCAGCAGCAGCAGCAGAAGCGAGCAGCTTCCAGCAGAACTGCGGAACCGCCGCCGTGTCGGACGTGCGTGTAACGGAGTCACGTCAAGGGCGGGCGGCGGTGGAAGTGGAAGCGGCGGCTGTCGTTAACACCGCTGAAGCAGCCCTTGATAATGACTGCGATATGACTGACGACTCAGAGCGCATTCCTAGTTCACACGGTCAAGCTGTTCCTTTTCTCCAGGAGCAGCAGGCGGCGACGGTTTTGGCGACCAGTGGCCTTCGTTGTGTCAGTAACTCGGAACTGGAGGCAGCCACACAAACCTGGTCGGCCCTCGGCGCCGAGGATGATGGCGCGGCAATCCCGGTGACATGCTGGGCCGCTGGGGCGCCCGTCCACATTATCAGAGGTAGCGGCAGGGCTGGCGGCGGCGGCGGCGGGGATGCTGCTTGCGGTTCCTCAGCGTACGGCAGCAGTGGTACCAGCAGCAGCAACAACAGTCTGCGGCGGCCGCTGTCCACCACGTCCCCATCCACAACCATCCTGCCGCCCCACTTGCTCCAGAACCATCCGAGTAATAAGGCCGTCAAGAGTAAAGATCTCGTCCTCCACCTTTCCCAAGACAATCCCAGTCCAGAGATAGATGAAGACAGCAGTAGCAGCAGAAGCAGCACTAGGGACCTGGTGCTTGACCTTGGTGACAAAACTAATCCAGAAATGGTGGAGGTCGAGGATTTCGTCCATAAGGACGCTGATGATACTGAACTGGCTGCGGCCGTGGGTGGCTGCCGGCTCCGCCGCACGGCTACGCAACTACTGCGGCCGCCATCGGTGGCTCTTGGTGGCGGCAGCCCAGATAGCCTCCAAGACCTGGACCTTGCGGACGGCGTGGATGTGCCCGGGGCGGACTCATCGGGTTCACCCCTGGTGCTGGCGCTGTTGCCCGTGCCGCGGGCTCTGATGTCGACGCCGAGTCGGGGCTCCAAGGACTTTGCCGACTATCACCACCATCACGAGCAGCAACAGCAGTCGCAGCAGCAGCCTTCCGTGCGAATGTCACGCTTGGGGCCAAAGCAGCAGTAGCAGCAGTATTGCATAGCTTTGAGCAATCGATATGAGCCACGGCCTCGGATTCTGCACATGGTTGCCTTCCTGGTTCGAATTTAGAACTGCGACACCTCCACAAAGGTTGAGCATAGCTTCAATTGTGACTTCACATGCATCGACTTATTTTCAAGGCAGATGAACTGAATGTTACAATTTGGGACAGTGCAAACCATAGATGCCAGGGAAGGAATTTCCGATACGGGGGAGGGCATCTTGAGAAACCCTAACCTTCAAAGTGGGAAAAGTCATATGAGCACCCTCACGACTTACCGAGACCTATGTACGGAACCTGTTCGCAATAGCCCGCGTTTCCAAGGCTCTACTGTTTCAGTCTTGCTGTCTTCTTGCTCTGTTATTTCGTTAAACCCGCGGAACTAACTCGCTTACCGCTTGGGGTAATAGCTCTTTCGGTAAATTACTGTCCTCACGCACATGCTAATCCGACGCTCATTACAGCTATAGCAGAGTGAGGGAGCCCTCCCCAAACCCAGCAGAAATTCGCCAAATGAAAACCAAAACCAAAATCCGGACCAGCAATCCAAATTTTAGGATCATGAAGGTTGAAGACTACCGTACAGATTGAAGTACGTCCAGGAAATCGTTAAAAAACCAATCAGTCGATCAATCAATCAATCCATCACGGAGATCATGTCGCGGAAGGCGTCCTTGGGCATTTTGACGTCCACCAGCGCCCCCGCGTCGTCTCGCGCCTGCACCCGCTGCGCAATCGCCTCCCAGTCCCCGCCCGCGAATAGAGACCCAACCACGTAGTCGTCGGTCAAGTCGATCTGCGGACCAGAAAGTGCCAGCCGCGGTCAAATATCGGCCCCGTGGACAGCTAATACTACTTATTGCTCGACTAGTCGACTTTCTGTTCGGTTTGGTTCGTTGATGGAGGTTATTAGTGGTTGCAACGACAATTCAAACAAGTCACAAAACAGCACCTCGGAAACAAAATGAGATATTCCTGATACGATGAAAATACGTTTTGTAGCCGTAGTCGACTGCACGTTTTTTAAATATGCCTTCCTTTTTCTCGCTTACCGGAGTCCGTGAATACTAAAGAGTTATGCAAAGTCTCCTCGCTTCCAAAGTCCTAATTGCCCAGGGTTCGCATTTGGCGTCCCGTCCCATCACCACTTAGCAGCACCATTATATCATCGCCACATCATCACCTGCTGGATGTTGTTGTAGGTGATGAAATACACGCCGTCTCGAGGGTCCCGCAGCAGCAGGGTGCCCGGCAGCTTGGCGTCTAGCCGCACCTCCCACCAGCTACCCCGCCCATCGCGAACGAACACGTGACCGTCATAGTCCCGACGGAAATGCAGCTCCCGCCGCAACTCGTCTGCATTCAACATGCGACATGAGCATGCACAAGAAACAGCGAGTCACTTCCTTTATCGGCTTTCTCTTTCTCTCAGATCAAATCACCCCCAGCAGTGCCGGTCCTGTCTCTCCCCAGCGCTCCCACGCTGCCATGGATTCATAAGTCCACGAGTTGCAGGGGAAGGAAGCAAGGGGGACGACACCAAGTTGTGGCCCTAAAAAAACCTACACGTACAACACGTACTTTGCACAAACAGACTTCGTCAAGCAGAAGAGTAGATGACGTGGCCACGTACGCGCACCTCCACTTGTAGGTGTGTATGTATGTGTGGGACAGGGGGGGGTCATATCTTCACCCTGCGGCCGCTACCCGGCAGACCCTGCCTTCCCCGGTATTTCGGGGCACCCTCATCCAATCACCCTGGCCGACTTCTCAGAGGATCGCTTAGGTTCAGCACCAACCACCGGCATCCAACGGATTCTGCCGGATCAACTCCATTCTTGGTCAGCTCGCAAGTTAGCTTTATCCCAGGTCACCACCGTCCATGAACTAGGGGCACTTTGCCTTCCACCATCGGAAGGATTTTCGACCCTAACAGGTCTCGATCCCGGGATCCCCCGGGGACGTGGTCTGTGCCTTACCAGTGGTACCTGACCTAAGCATATATATGTTTATATACATGTTTATATACATGTATGTATGTATGTATGCATGCATGTATGCTTTATCGCTCGGGTAACAGGCTTCCACAGGAACACGCTGCTGGACTCACCCACATCCGCACGCTCCGCCGCTGACAACCCACCGCTCTCGCCGCCACCGCTACGGGAGCCCGCCAGGAAGCCCACGACGCCCCCGACCGCCGCCGCTGCTCCGAAACCACCAAACCGCTGCAACAGGCTCCGCCGCGTAAAGCTGCCCTAGGGTAAGGAACGAACGAACGAGCGACGGAACAGTGAGCGCCCCAAGGGCCGGGACCGGGACAGGGCCCGCAGGAGCAGCGAGTTGGTAGGTCGTGGGGCAGGACGCCGAGGCGCGGAATGAAGGGAAAGATAAAGCACTGGGGGTATATGGCAAAACAAGTAAGCCAAATAAGAAAACATGTTCTGGGGGAAGTGAGGGTGGGGGCCATGTCAGGTGGTAAGGTGCAACGGCGCGGAAAACAGCTGATCTGCATGTGGATAGAGGTGGCCCGCAAGGAGTACGTTGGGCTAGGGTGTAATGGTTTCGGAGTCAAGGGCTTTTGGCCTACCGGTCCCGGAGGCGGAGGTGGGGGTGGAGGCTGTGGCGGCATCCCTGCCTCTGTTTGGTACGCAGCTCTACACCGCACGGTGCGTCTGAGCGCGAGCGGACGTGTAACTGACGGCAAACACTGACGCCACGCGCAACCTGACGTCCCTGTGAGAGTTGCCATTACGATGGAAATGAATCACTATGGCGGTAGTTAGGTTGTGCTTCGCTGTGAGGGCGACTCCGAATGGAAATTGAAAATTTATAAATGAGTCGCGAAGGAATGAATGAAAGGGCAACAGCGAGTTACAGCAAGATCTAGACTATTTATCACAAAGACGGTGAAAGGTAAAGTTGGACGCAAAGACTTGGCAGGGTCAATCCACTGATGTCGGTTGGTGGCGAGCCGCCACCGTACTCGTCTGATAAGTTGTGCAGTAACTCTTTCAGTATTACGAATTGCAAATTTTCCTTACGATCTCGCGCTGTATTGGGTTGGTGGGCTACAATACAGCGTTCGAACCACGGACCAGTACCATGGCAACAGTGCGTTCACGCAGCTTTGCGTAGCACTCTGACCCGAATCTGCCTTAATTCTGAACATTTTCCAATTGTAGACATATTCGTTGTCGATCGATGTTGCAACACGACACGAGTGACACTCCCGTAATGAAAAATCCTGTGGCCGTGTTTCTTTAAGATAAATGGCAGCTGAACTCCGGACCTGCTGTCCGAAGCCCTGCGGCCATAACGGTACAACAACTCACGGTCTTGGTCGCCGCGCTGTCTTTCATTGGTATCGATGGCTTGGTAACCATGCCCTCCATCGCCGCTCTGTAACCTGGCCATTCCGGAGCGGTTGCCTACATCGGAGGAGGGAACGAGCATCCTATGTAGTTACGAGCTCGATGTCTGCATCAAGCGACCCCACAAACTTGGGGCCAGAAGAGCCAGCGTCCAGCAGCTCCGAAGCCAAGCAGCCCGCGCAGGCCTCAACGCCGACATCGTCAGCTTCGGCTTCGCCTAGCAGCGCAATCCCTTCCCCGCCATTGCATCAGCATCAGCATCAGCAGCGCACGAGGCTGACCTTTGAGCAAATGCAGCAAGAAGCCCGCGCCAAGCTGGGGGGCATGGTACGGCAGCAACTGGAAGCGGACCGCCAACAACAACAGAACCAACAGCAGCAGCCGCAGCCGCAAGATTCGGAGGTAACACAGACCACTACCGCCACCCCTTCACCAGCCTATAGCACTGCTGCTCCAGGCCCAACCTCACCTCCTTCCCCGGCACCACCTAGGGCCAGCGGCGCAACGGCTCCGCGGCAAACAACAGCTGCTGCACAAAACACCCCCACCAACTCCACCACCTCCTCATCCTCATCCACCACCTCCACCTCCACCTCATCCACCACCAGCAGCGTATCCGACACTGCAGGCGCAACAGTCGCAGCTGACGATGCCCAGCAGCAGCAGCAGCAGGAGCAGCAGCCGCCCGTCAGCGAATGGGAGGAGACGCGTCAGGAGTGGGCGGAGATGTGGCAGCGCATTCGGGTGCGGTGGCGCCACTTCGTGGAGCGGCCCTTGGACCCACCATCGCCACAGGAGCACACAAGGCAGGCACAGCCCGACGGGGCGGCGGGAGCGGAGGCGACCGCGGAGGCCGGGGGCGGCGGCGTCAAGCGCCAGGCATTCGTGAGTCGGGTGGTGCAGCTAGCTTGCGTCGCGGTGTTCGTGGCGCAGTGGGCTCCGCTGGCACACGTGCTGACGGGAGGAGCGGCGGCGGCGCAGGAGGCGGCGGCGGCGGCGGCAGGGGGGTCAACGACGGCAGCAGCAGCGGCGGGCAGGGAGGTGTGGCTGGCGCTGCTGGTCGCGAGTCCGCCGACGCCGCTGACTCTCTCCTGGCAAACGGTGAGGAAGCTGTACGACAGCAGCAACAGTGGCGGTACGGAAGCAGCTGCATGACCTACTTTGTGCAAAATCGCTTTGGCGTCTGCCTGGGCCTGGCATCTCCTTGTTTTCAACGCCGTGTCGCACCGCAATCCCACACACATACACACATACACAAGCACACGGCGCTCGCCTCCCGCCCTCCCTCCCCCGTCCCCCCTGCGCAGGACGCCATCAGCTTGTCCGCAGGCCAGTACGGCAGCCTGCTGACTAGCAGCCTGCTGCACAGCGGGCTGGTGTCACTGCTGGTGGGTCCCCTGGTCCCCTGGGTGGGCGGGGGTGAGGGGGAGGGGGGGGCGTTGGTGCGGAATCTGTGAGGGAAGGGGGGTGAGGGAGGGGGGATTGGGGAGAACACGAAATGAAGTGCGGCGCGGTGGGGTAGTGGGAGCTCCGGCCCTCTGCTTATCCTTCGGTCTTGTCAAAAACCTCCCTCCACACCCGCACCCGCGAAAGCCCAACTCGCACGTTGTTGTTATTGTTGTTGTTGTCGAAGGTCTCACTCGCCTCCCTGGAGGAAACCCTGCCCTGGCTGGAGACGCTCGACGGCTTTATGATCATGCTGCTGTCGTACGGCATGGCGGGCGCTGTGGCGGGCCTTACGCAGCTCTTCCTCGGGGGCCAAGCGACGGGCATCGCGGGCTTGGGTAAGCCGCTGCCGTGTGTGTGTGTTGTATGTATGTATGCATGCATGCAACCACATAACCTCCTCCATTCTTCCCCCCCGCGCCCCGCCTATTTCGTCCTTCAAGCTGCCGCCCTGGGCACGGAGGTGGCTGTGGGGGTCCGCTGTTGGCGTTATACTGGCGGCCAGTTGCTTCCCCCCACGCCGGCCTGCGTAGCGCTGTTGGGGCTGTCCGGTCTGATGGCGGCGTATCAGCCGCTGGTGGGCACGTGGTGAGGCCGCTCTCCCTTGTATTGGAGGGCCCCCTAGGGGTGGACCTAGTTGCTGGTTGCTGGTTGGGGGGAGGGGGGAGGGTCGGGTTGGGTTGGGTTGGGTTGTGTTGCGGAGTTTAACCCGTTGAAGGGACGGTCAGTGGGGTCGGGGGGCTTTAGGGTTCACGTGCGTGGATGCAACCCTCGTACGCCTCTCTCGTCCCGTCTTCCCTCCCTGCACTGACTCACACGGCAAATCACTCACATACGTACTTACTTACGTACATACTCATTTACTCTCTCGTGCAGAGAAGTCCACTTACTATACTAGATGATGGGCTCGTTGATTCACGCGGAAACTCGATTACTCATGCCCTGAACCTCTCCCCTGGGCCCGCCCCTGTTGCCGTACATACACATTACACGTGCACAGGGGCATCCTCGGCGGCATCCTTGGTGGCGCCCTGTCCGCCGTACTTGCGTACGACATTCTGTACGTCATGCGTGTCGTAATTGCTGTAACCATTCTGCTAGGCCTGGGCGCGTGGAACTTGCTGAGCTGGTTGCCGCGCGTGCTGTTCCGCCTCGTGGTGGGGCTTGTGGCGGTCGTGTGGGGCACGGGGGTGGCGGTTGTGCAGGCGCTACGAGGCGTGTGAGGTGTTTGATTGCCTCAAGACGGGTCGGGTCGGGTCGACGTTGTCATACGACGATCGTCTGGAGTTGCTGAATTGTTGGAGGCTTGTAACCGTTACTGCTCAAACCGTGATTTCAGGTTGTCCCTAAGTTGGCCTTGATGACCTCGTGCTGCATTGCGAATGATGGCGGTGGTGATGGTGATCCACGCTGTGGTAATGATAATGATAATGGTAATGGTAAGGTGTGATGGTGGATCAGATGGATCTGAAAGGCGATGTAAAGAGTTAGGAGGTATTCCCCCATGGGGGGGAGGGGTTTGCTTCAGGGCTGTTGTGTGGGCCCAGAGAGAGCTCCCGGGCAACATCACTCACACACGATTCACACACGACTTCTGTGTGTGCGTGTGCGTGAGCTGTCAACAGCAGCACGCACGGCGTGTTTTGCACATGTTTTACACATGTCCGATGTAGGCGGCACGACGCTCGACTGACTGCGGAAAGGCATCAGCGATCATCTAGGCGACCCATCCATTAGTTACCTCCGTGCACTGCCCTCCTCACGGCCCTCCCGGTTGACATCGCGCATCAGGGGGCTCTCCCAGCAGCCAACTAATCCTAAGCAAGCCAGGACGGAGGAAGGGAGGAAGACGGTTGAGGGCCCAGGCCAGACGCGACGAAGAGTAGATTCACCCCCACCGGCAGTCCCTTGCCTCGTCAACCGCCTACCGGCCTACCGGCGCACTCAGCGCAGGCCATCATCACCCCACCCAGCCCTCCTTACGGATACATGCGCAAAAGTGCCTTCCTCGGATTCCCCTCGATCTCCCCTTCACAGCCCCCCTCACCCCCCGCCGGGCCTACCAGGCTTCCTGCCCGGGAATTTATTATACTGCGACAGCGGCCCTCCCTCCCCGGTACGACAACGCCGATATGTATCCCATACGCCGGAAGGATATCCTGTTGATTCCCCGGGGTTCACCTAACAAACACATACATACGTACTTGTATGTACAATCAAACACCCACAAAAACACACAAAATTTGAACCTAACATCGCACACCAGCAGCATATTTAGGTGCATACATACATGCATACAGGGCACATACATTGCATGTACACACGTGCATTTACAGACATGTCAACATATGTACGATTTTTCGCTTCCCTCCTCCTCGCTCCTCAAAAGGAAACATGTGTTCCCAATCCAACGAATAAAAACTAGTTGTGGGTAAAGTTGGTTGGTGGTTACCGGCACGTGAACAGATTCAGTTCTAGTCGGAACAAGTTCCGAGCTCCGGCTTTTCTCCTCCCATTCTGCCGCCACTCTGCCCCGGCCGCTGGCCGAGCTCCCGCGTACAACCGCCAATCCCAATCATGATGTCCCCTAAATTCCCCTCGGTGTCAGAAGAAGCAAGGTGGTGTTTCAGCGCCACGCTGCCACCGCCCGCCCCGCCCGGTTGCCACGGAGGGGTCGCGTCTGCTGCGAAAGAGGCTGATGACAACACCTTTATGATAACAGACAAGCGACACACACACGTACACACACAGGTACATACATGCATACATACACATGTACATGAATGTATACATGCATATATACATATATACATACATACACGATGAGACCCTATGGGGCCGGCCTTAACATCGCTGTTACCTCAGCGTTTTATTATTTATTTTTATTATTATTGCCTGACGATGTTGTCTTCTTCTTGTTGCTCGCGCGTAAGAACTAGAACCAACACCCACCATCAAGGACATCGTTCTAAGGGTAACCGGAAATGGATCGCAAGGGTCAACAACGGGGCAATGCAATCAGCGGGCCATGCAAGCAGAAGGCGCATATATGTAAATGCATTTCATATGCTGTGGTTCGCTCGCTCGTTTCCCCACAACAATCACCATCATCATGTTCTCTCACTATCTCACTATCTCACCAACCATAGCTATCAATACCCGCAACCGGTGCCATCTGTCACGACCTGTCAAAAACCTGAACCTGCGGGGACATAACCGCCGCCGCTACAAGTCCCGGGGCCCCACCGCGCCTCCCGCCGGACGCCACCTTTCCCCCTCTCCCGCTGCTCCCAAGTGTACCGTGCGGTTCTTCTCGTAGGCGGGGACATTGTACGGCACTAGGCCAGGGTGCCCTCGAACTTAGTGCACTTGGCGGCTGCGGCGGCGATGATGGTGGCAGCGGCCGCTGCCTGCGGTGCCGCCGCCGCCGCCGCAGCAGCAGCTGACGCTGAGGAGGCCTGTGACCCACTATCCGACGGCGATCCTCCTGTTGCAGCAGCCTGCTTGCGCAGTTGCTGCCGTACATCGTACTCGATGGCTTGCAGGCTTGCGCAAATCTGTGAGAAGGTTGGGCGCGCGCAAGGGTCGGCTTGCCAGCACAGCGCACACAGGGCCCGGAAGGACGCTGGCGCCGGCAGCACCGCCGTGGCAGCGGCAGCGTCGAGGGCAGCATTGGCGGCGGCGCTAGCGCTGCCGCCAACGCCGCCGTCGTTCGCGTCGCCGCCGTTGCCTTCTTCTCCCTCCGGCCACTGCGGTCGCAGGTTCCCCGCCGCCACACCTTGGACCACCTCCTCCGCGGTCATGCCAGTGTACGGCAGTCTGCTTGTTGCCATGTAGTACAGCGTCACTCCAAAGGCATAGACTGCAAATTAGAACACGGCATCGCACGCCAGGGCCGGCATGTGTGTGTTTCTGCTCACTTCCTTATCAAGCAGTCGGTAGCCGGCCCCATGCCGTTGCTGCTGCTGCAGCAGTAGCTTGAGGTGAGAGACACGGGCCCTATTCTACGAGCGTTCGGCCACGAGGTCATCGTAACCTGTCCTCCTCTACATAATCCTTAACATCAGAGGTGCCCTTCTAAGTACTGTAGTACAGTCCCAAACGTCAGTGTACGGTTCAAGATGAGGTTAATGTAACGCCTGTGCCTCGTACAACCCACACAACACTAAAACCCGCCAACACACGAACCCAACCCATAGGGGTGGCCACCTTCAGGAGCTAGAGCGTTTCCACGACCCCGACTCACCGTCACTAGGTTTCCCCACCACGCCGCGCAGCTGCTCGGGGGCCCAGAAGGGCAGCGCGGCCGCGTCCAAACCCGGCGAGTGGACTGCGCTGCCGTCGTGGCTCCATCTGATGCCGGTCGTACTAGCATTAGCAACGCAGGGCTGCCCAACGGCACCGGCACCTGCCGCCGCCGCCGCACCCGCCGCACCCGCCGCCGCCGACGAGACTTCCCCCGAGCCACCCTCCCAACGGATGCCAGCCGGCAGGGGGTTGAGCACCAAACTGCCGTAGTCGCCCAGACACACCCGCGCCAAGCTGAAATTGGAGACCTGAGGACGGCCAAAGAGCAGACACGCAAATACGGGAAAGGGTGTGAATGAAGGCTGCGCTGGTGTCTCAGCCCACGCGCCAACCTCGGGCGGCAGTGCGAGTGTGGGCTGATGTGCCGTTGGATCCTGAGGCTTACTGAACGACCTGACGGGAACCCGTGTGAGCCCGACAGAGAAACGGACAGACAGACGGACTCGTGGCGTACATGTTAAGGCTTGTGAGGCTGTCCCAACTGTGTGATGTCAGCTTCCTCCCATGTCGGTCATATGTTCGTTACCCCGCTACCACCGCTCATAACATCGCTTAGGGGCCTCGAGCAGGGGCCCCCTTCAGGGCCCGCATACCACCTCCAACTACAACCAAAATAAAACCAGTAACAACCGACTCACCATCTCCAACCATCAACCAACTCCAACCAACAAGCAGTAACTGGTAATACCAAACCACCACAAACAAACCTTGGCAATGAATCCCCTGCGGTCCAAGTTGGAGCTCTTGAGCAGCACGTTGTGGGGCCGCAGCGACCCGTGAACCACCCCGCGGATGTGCAGGTGCTGCAGCGCAAAGGCGAGCTCCAGAGACGTCCGCAGCAGCGCCCTCAGCGCCACTCGGCCATTCCAGACGCGGTTCGACTGGAAGAGCCCCCTCCCCACCGCCTTGTGCAGAGTGGACTGTTCCAGGACGTGGAAGGTAGCAGGTTGTAGGCTGTGATGGTTGTTGGTTGTGATGGTTGTAATGGTTGTGATGGTTGTGATGGTTGTGATGGTTGTGATGGGTTAGGGAGAAAATAGAAATGAGGGGGGGGGTAGAGAGTGTATCGGGGGGTAAACGCGTGGTCCCCTGAGGGAGCCTCCCTGGAGCCCTAAAGAGCGATAAAGTCCCTGAGTTACAAACCGAGCTTTGTAGCCCACATTACTATGATGCTCTACACTGGTGCAACAAACGATACAGTCAATGGTACAGTAAGTCAGTCATACCTTGTCCGCGTGTTCCATAATGATGGCAGTGAGGTACTCCCCCTCAGTCGCCGACACCAAGGCCGCCACGTGGGCGAGGCTCAATGCGTGGCGCAGGGAGCCGAACGGGTCGCCAAAGCCCTCGTACGAATTGAAGGACAGGCTGGCGGGGGGGCTGGCCGTGCCGCCGGGCGCCGCTGGCGCAGCAGTCACAAGAGTGCCCCCGGTCGCCGCCGGTGCTGTCGGCGGTGGAGCTGATGCAACGGCACCAGAGGCAGCGCCAGCAGAGGCTGCAGCGCTCGAGCTCGGGCTTGGAGCCAACTCCAGAGCCCCGGAGACAATATGCGCACTGTTTAAAGGCTTTACGACAGCACCGCTGCCCGCCGACAGGGCGCCCTGATGTGCCGTACCTGCCGTACTACCGCCATACGGGGGCGACGATGATGCGGTGCCGGCGGCGGTGGTCCGCTGGCGAGCTAGACCCTCTAGTGCCGCCGCCGCCACAGTTGCAGTAGTAGCAGCCGTAGCGAACGCAATCCTGTTGCTGCTGGAGGCGGTGGCAAGGTCCTCCGTGGTTTCAAAGCGCTGTTTCGTTGGGGCTTTCAAGACCCGTCTGCTTCCCGCATCGGCCCTTGCGGACGCATGCAGTTCGGGGTCGATGTGGAGGAGGGGCGGCAGCCCGCTCCTCCTCCTCAGGCTGGGGGCACCGGCTCTGCTGGCGGCGCCCGCGCTGCCGCTGGCTCCGCTGCCACCGCAGGAAGCACTGAAGAGATCCGAGACCTGCTCTTCGACGGTTGGGCGGTTACGTGCACGGTTGATGGCCTCAACCGGTTCGGTTGCCGCGGCGCCGGACGGTATCAACGAACCCGAAGCGGCGGGGCAAGACAAGTGATGCAGCGCCATCCCTGCCGCCGCAGCCGCTGCCTCCGGCGACATCGCAACAACTGTCGTTGCGACAACATCCGCCATCGGCGTGGCGATCCGTGTGGAGGAGCACGGAGCAGAGGCGGGGGATAGGATGCCACCGCCACCGTCACCACCGCAGCCGCCGCTGGCGACGGCGGGGGCTGTAGCGACTGCTGTTGCTCCAGCAGTGGCGACGGCGGGGGTTGTAGCAGTTGCTGTTACCCTGGCATCCTCTTGTGCAGTCGCATGAGACGTGTGCTGTCCTTGCTGCTGCTGCTGCTGCTGCTGCTGCAAAAGCGGTGGCGGAGCCTCCGCTGCCGCCCCCGCCGGCGCTGCTGCCGTGAGTCGGCAGCATCTGACGCTGTAGTGCTGCAGTACATTGGGGTGAGCTAGCGCCTTACCCACGAGCGCTTGCTTTATGATGTCGGAGCTGTGGGGGTGGAGGGACGCGCTCGAGGTGAACTTGACGGCCACACGCGCACCTCGCCACAGAGCTGCATGACAGTTGCAGCGGAAGAGGTTTAGAGGGGAGGATTAGTAATAATGACACAGACAGGTCCAGGCTCGGGTCCAGTCTATGGGCCTGTATGAGGCGCCCCTTGGTGCTGGTTGCGGAGTAGTGTCGTGACGACATGGACCTGTCGTCTGTACGGATATTCGCACGTGCAGACCGTAGCTGGAGCTCTGTGTGCGAACCCTGGAGACGAATCAGCGGCGCTGCGAGCAGTGAGGTTGCGGTCTTGAGGACATCTTCAGCGAGCGAAGCAAACTGATAACTGAACATTGGAATGGCCTTTGCAACGCGCAGTTTACATTGGTAAACATCCGTCCACATCCCTCTCTTTTCCCCCCTCCCCTCCCCCCTCCCCTCCCGCCCCGCTCCCGCTCCCGCTTTCGCTCCCTGCCACAAGCAGCGTATCCCTCCCCCTTTTCTTTCCCGTTCGTTCCCGTCTGCTCACCCTGACAAGTGACAGAGTGCCGCCCAGTGCCCAGCAGGCGCAGTCCCGCCAGGTCTGAGGTGATGTCCTCGGAGTGGCACAGGCGGACCAGATGCTCGCAGGTAAGGTTGCGCAAGTCCGGCGCGTCCCCGGGGGCATCCAGGACGGGGTGCACAGGTGCGGGCTGGTGCTGGTGCTGGTGCTGTTGTTTTTGCTGGTGGTAATTGGAGGGTGTTAGCTGACCGGCAGGTGAGCGGGTACCGGCGGTGCCGGCACGGCTGTTCTGTAAGAGGAGCCCGTGGGACGCTGATGACCCATGGGTCTCCGGGTGGGAGCCGGTGGTGCTGGCAAAGGCATTGTCCAGCAGGTACTGCAAGGACGTGAGGTCAAGCCCCGCCGGGAGCAGATGGCCTTCCAGATGGCTGTAGTGGGCGGAGTTTGCGGAGGTGGGAAGATATGGGAAGGGTGCGGGGAGGGGAAAGGTGGTTGGTAACGGTGTGTGTGGGTTGGAGACGTTGGAGCTTGTTGTACAGCCAGAAGCAGAAGAAAACGTGAGAACACGGAAGCCCCAAGCGATAGATGTTCCCTCCTTCGTGCGGATGTGGGAGGTGCTAGCGCACTGGAGATGTAATTGCTCTATGCCCGTCGTGAATGCAATAAATCCATTGCAGAAAACATCATCAGAATCAGTACCGTCGTGGAATTAATTTCTTGGTTCGATTTCCTTGGACCATCTACCGCGAAAGGATGCAGGTAGGGATGCCGGGTTCTGGTGGGCTAGTGCAGCACTTTGCCGGAAGGTGCTCCGCTATTCCACTAACAAGGCTAGGGTAGTAGGTGCGAAGATGAGAATTAGTTGCTCGTTGTGGGACGGCTACGACGAATGCTTGGGACACAGGGACGGTCAAAGGATACGTTGCTTGAGCACTTTGGGCACGGAAGGCACGTTGCGTTGCGGAAAAGGCTTACTCGTTGGCCAAGGGATTGCTTCTGGTGAGCCCATGGGGCGATTGTGGGATGCTCTTGTTGCTGCCATGAGAGGTTTGAAACATGATCAGGTCTCCTCTGAAGTCCTGCAAGATGAATTGGGGCAGCGCCGAATCCCAGAGAAGTCATTACGACGAAGACAGCATGCATAGCCTAATGCTACAATTTGCTGTGATTGGCACACCGTACACGTCGCTTTTCCACCAACTGAGGTGCGGAGCATGGGCAGGCCGCGGCTGGCTGCGATAGCCTCCCATCACGCGTAAGAGTTCTAAGTGACACGTATGTATCTTTATATAACTTTATCACTAGATTGGGAAAAGGATTTGCGATATCCAGCAGAGATTTCCACCGACGATCCCGCATGACTAAGCACCGTCCCTGTCATCCTCCTAACGTGAGGCAGCAATAACGCGCAGCTACGCATACCTTTTCATAGATGGTATGACATTTTGTAGCTCCTTCCTCGAAGGGCACAACAGGAGCGATGATGGCGGAGCGAAACGGCGAAAGGTAGACGTCTGGCTCCTGCTGTGATCCCGGGTTGACTTCACCTGGCTTAATTCCTTCCTGTAGTGTAGATATCGGCTCCGTGGCGTGAATTCTGGACGGTGAATGCTGCCGCAGCTCATTTCCGCTTGTGCTGTTATTTGACGGTCTACCGCGGCCAAAACAAGAGAAAAACTGCATTGTTATCATTAAAAGATGCTAATGTGCTATCTGAAATAAAGCATGGCATTGTATTGTGTCGGGGGTTTTGTGCTACAGTGCATGACTGAGCGCCGTACAGGCTCGTGGTCTGGGTTCAGATCGTCATGTTTTCTTCAGCTTGGTCATAATCTTCACCTACTTATTTAGGTTAATTAATGAGCCTTCTTCCGGTCAGAATGATTTCTACTAGGTAATCGCACCGAAACCAACGTGAACTGAAAGCTCCTATACCTCTCTGTTCCACACGTATTTTCTTTGCCATTGTAGATAAAGTATCTCTTGGAGGTTTTAAAGGAGTTCTTTTAGCCTGTGGTGGTTAAGCGACACGGTTCATTTTCGATCACTCAAAAGGGATCGTTGAACTCAAACAATTTTACTCATCATTATATACATAAGTAGCGGTGATCTGTATCGGAAGCAACTCTGCTGTTATATATAAGGGACCGATGGTGTGGTGGTGGCCTTGGGGCAACGGGAAAGCAGCGGAACATGAACCAGTCCGGGGCCCAGATGCCTTGGAACCCAGGTGCAGGTCTCGGCGGACGGCGCTAGCGAGCTGTAGGCTGGCCAACCAGGATAAGCCCGCGGAGTCGTGCAAGAACTTGGAGTTGGCAGTCGTCACGTGCCTATCAGAGGGGCTTTGCAAGCCCCAACACGATGAGCACCGGCGGTGCTACACGTCTGTCTACAAGATAGGCCAGTACAAAGGGCTAGCCCACTGCATTCCGTACGAAGAGGCCATGAAGGAATGCCTACGCAAACAGAAGTTATACCCAGTTTGAGGGGCTGAGTCGGTCGCCTATGGGACCATAGTAACCCTTACAGCTATGCTTGGGGTGTGTCTAGAGGACAGGTGCCTATTTGCAATTATGGTTGTGGGTTGAAGGGTGGCTGTCGGAGGGGAGGACATGGGAAGGAAGCATGAGAAAATGTGAAATAGGGATCTTCCCTGGTGTAAATCGCTGGTGCGCTGCGACAGGAGTCCTACATCGCAAGGACGAGCAATTGGCGGATATGACGGTGTTTGTTCTGGTAGTCGTGGCTGGGAGCTGTTGGTTACGGCATACGAGCAAATGTAATAACATGGTATGTCTCGGTGGAAGGAATTCTCGCTTCGTGCGCTGCTTGAGACCCGTACGGGGTCATTGTTCATTGGGCCGGTGTGCCCCTGCTGTATCTTCCATAGCTATCCAGTGGACATACGTGGTAAAGTGTGGCATCCAAGAACCATTGTAACCATCTAAAGACATCTGCGGCTTGTACTTGATACGGGGTGTATGCGGCCGCAGTGGACCGGTCCCGCTAGAACCGCTGTACTTTGGCTTGTACTACCGCTGTTCTCAAACTGCCATGAAGCCCTTTGATCCTGTTTTTCAACACTCACAGCTCCCGCAGGCCAGCTGTAGGCTGCAGGCGGCTCAATATGGGGATCGGGTGGGTGGTGGCCACTGTTGCTCATGCCAATCCGTCGCAGCCAGCCAGGCAGCCGATTGACCAAAGAGGCGAGAGACCTCACCACAATGTCAGCGAGGCCCCACAGCACACGGAGCCCTTCAGGCCCCCCATCCCTAGGGGACCTATCGCCCCCTACGCTTGCCTAAAAGTTTCCTCTCGTTCTCGACCCGCGAACATTCGCTCGCTCTTTACCGGCGCCGTCGCATTCCCACCTAGCGATGAGGTTCTGCAACTGATCACCACCTTCTCGAGCATAGGAGGACATGACACCACGCCACAAGAAACCTCACCGCTAAAGGGCCACTTCCCATAGACACTGTGCAGACTTGTGAACGCGCACGGGATCTATCTCCGCTTTACACACCGCCCCACCAGACATCCATCCCTGAGCAGGAACTCCCAAGTCTAGTCGATGGTCATACCACCACCCGTTGCATGTTGGTATGTAGATAAGCGGGAGGGAGAGTCAACTGCACGCGGAATGGTGTGGTCTCATATGCTTCATACGGTCGTAGTCCAGCTGGCTGACCCTGTAGCGGTACGAGCAGGGATAACACAAAGCAACTGCGTAAAACCCCTCCAAAAAGCCACACCTTGAGGCCAACCCATGTTATTCTCGCCCACTGTTATCTCCATGCCCCGACACAGTTCCCACTACATATGGGCCCCATGGAGGTCTGCAGTAACAGCAAAGGCGCACTCGACGCGACGCTCGTGTTCACCATTTGGTTGTTTTTGTGGTAATACCGATGGAAAGTCACCTCCACACATGTCCTGAAGAAAAAACATTAGTCAGCATCTAGCGCTTGAGCCGCCAGGTACGCAAGGTAGCCTAGATAGTTGAGGGAGGCACATGCAAGGCACATGATAAATATATGCACATGGCCCTGGACGCCCTGGTAACCGGCTCCTTCGGCAAATACGCAGACCTTCATGCCACCGTTGTTGTCATACCTGCCGTGCACAAATGCCTAGATGTATATAATACCGGTAAATCTATATCCCCTGTTCAACAGGAGTGAAAACATAAAATTATACATCTGTCACGCCTGCAATGCCCGTTGAATAAGTCCGAAATTTTTGGGTCAATGGTGTAAGGGTAAGGGATACAATAGCATGTACGGGACATCCCCGTCTTTCCTGCGCCATGCACGTCTGTCGGGGCTAGGACAACCACGCCCAGATATGCCTGAATGCCGCCCTGCAACTTCCAACCCTGCCAGCCTCACATCTTGTCGCCTTCCACATAACATAGTGCGCATATACATACATCCATATGGGCCGAAAGTACATCACAGTACGAACCTCCCTGGTATAGAGGTACCTCATATCATTATCGTGGGTCTGCGGGTGGGTGACAGGGTGGGCCGGTGGACGCTCAACAACTGAAGATCGCTCTTCACGCCTCAAGCCTACCCCACACCCCTCACCACAGTACCTGAACATTTACATATTTTAGTACTCAACCCAACAGGCAGGCGAGCCGCCAAACCACTGAAGCATAGGAACTAGAGCAAACATTGCGAACCCCACGAAGGACATTGAAGCTCCTGCGAAAGATGCAACATCAAATCCACTCGCATTCCACCCGCATATTCCCCACTGCCCTTGCCCTTCTTCCCACTCAGCCCGAACAAATGCAAGCCCCGCAGCGCCTGCCTACGACCCTTTCACCTGTTACCCCTCCTTCCCCACACCAGCATAACACGTATTAATAATAATAAAGACCCCTTCACACGCAGCCATGGTACCGGCCCCCTCACAGCGCCGACTCCGGTCCCACTGTCAGCGGCAAAGTTACTGTGGCGACAGTGCCACACCAGTAGTTCTAGCAGATGCAGATACCGCTACAGCGATTACATAAATCCTTGCGGCCCGACGGCGTCATCGAGTGACCCGTGGGTCACATAGGGTTCCGAGCTCCACAGCCGCATTACGGCCTCCTCCTCCAGCTGCTCCTCTTCTGTAACCTTCGGCTCCTCCTGGGCTTCTGACCCTTACGCCTGGGAGCCCGTGTTGGTGGTGGAGCGGCGCAAGGGCGCCGCCACGGGGTCGGGTGTGGCGGGCGCGATGGGCGCCTGTGAGCTGGCGGGGTCGGCACCGCCGCTTCCGCCCTTGGCCGACTGCCCCGTCTCCTGTGTGAATGGTGAAGTAAATAAATGCCCCATATGCAAATTTAGGGTTTATAACGGAAGGTTGTTGGCAAGGAAGCTCTTCACAATCAATCAGTACTTGCAAAGCGCCCGCGACCCTTGGTATGGTTTAGTTATACCGGGTCCCAGCCACAGCTGCATCCGTTCAGCGCGACGTTTCTTGCGTCATACTGCATGATCCTTTCAGGAGTTTGCCACAGGGCCGGGGCTCCATTAAGACATTGCGGCAACGATACTAACTCGGAGGAGCTCAACGTTCTCCGTCTCTTTACCGCGATGGTGCATGGCAGATTTCCCTTACCTGAATGCATGGCACCCAGCGCATCTCCACCCATATCCTGGCCCCATCTCCCTCCTCCAGCAGCAGGCCCCTCTCCAGCTGGTCAATGGTGCGGTCGGGCTGCTCAGGGTTGTATTCCTCCCACCGCCGCCGGTGCAGACCGAACTCGTGCCGACCTAAAGGACAGACGAGACGCCACGTGGACGGGACCAAGTGGCGTGTGTAAGAACGTAGCGGAGAAGGGGCCAGGCTAGGAGGGTATTCGGAGGGGATGCAGTGATATATCTTGAGACGTGCAAGGAAAAGCCAACGATAACAGCCACACGTCACAGAAATTCCCTGGCAACTCAACCCACCGATTCTCCATCTCCTAGGACCCCAAAAAATCGGCGTCCCCATCCCCGCTGCACACAGGGAAACACGGACGGCACATCCCCCCCTTTCCTCCTCCGCACCCGTCAGCGGGTTGAAGTCATTGGCCGTCACGATGTCGGATACGGCCACGTCCAGCCTCCCCAGGCATTCGTTGGAGGAGAGCATGGAGGACTCTAGCACCTTGATCTTGATCACGTCGGTCAGCTTGACGTGGTAGATGGCGTGCATGGCGCTGCTGTCCAGCTGAGGGGAGGAACGGGGATATGAAGGAACAGGGCTACGTTGGGTAGGTAAGAAAGTGCGAGACCGGGTTTGGACAGGGACTTGAGGGTCAGGACATCACACAGAGCAAGACTTGGGGGGGGAAGGTGACAGGGACAGCAACATCGAACCATGTCAAAAAGCATACAAAATGATACAGGTAACAAGACGTTTCCTCCCAACGAAGCGCCGTCGTCTTAAAACCCGTCTTGGTGACTTCCCCATACCAAGCCCTTATCTCCAACATAAACACTCGAACATAACCCCGAACAAATCCCACGCAACCCTTGTTTGGCGAGCTGGGACGTCGCTACGGCCCGTTTCCCCCTTCCTGAGACCCTGGCGACCCCCCCCCACACACAGTAACCCCGCACCCGGGGCCCGCGCACTGACTCCCATCGTCCCAGACGTACCCTTCATGCACTCCACATTACTCGCCACATGCGCCCCGTCGACAGCCATGTTCCCTTCCAGACACTCTACCTGTGGCCCCTCCCTCCCCACACACCCACACCCATAGCCCATCCCATCCAATACCCACCGTGTAGTCCAGCTCCACCGTCAGCCTAGCTCGCTTGTTGTTTCCCTTGACTGCATCACCCAGCGCCTCCAGGTATCTGGTCTTGCGCTCGGCCTCCTTGCGGCGACCCTCCCGGAGGTCCCGCTCGCGGGCGACGGTCAGCATGTCAATCTCCCGCTTCAGCATCAGGATCTGCAGGTGGGCCGATATTAATTACCGTATCACCGTGAGTGAGGAAGATCATGAGGTAAGGAAAGGTGACAAGCAAGGTGACGAACGGAGAGGGATGTTATCGGGCGGGGGGTTTAAAAAGCGCGTTAGCGTTGACTACCGGTTGCGCGCGAGGGCGCTGCGACTGCGGAGCTACCCATGTGGGGCCGCCTGTGTCGAAGTGCTGTCGAGGAAGCTGCTGCACCCCAGACCATAGCTGCCAAACACGATAGGCTGGACACCCTCTCCCCTCACCCGTCCCATATACCCTCCCTTCACGCACGCATACTGGCATGTATACAAATCCCCGCCCCGCTATACTCACATGTCCTCGTTTCGTCCACGTCTTCTGAGTGCTCCTCCATGGCTTGGAGCCCTTGGCGCTGCTGGTGATACGCACAAAGGCTGACACCTGGTCACCCGCCACTGCCAGACCCCACACCTTGAGAAGACGCACCGTCACAATACCCTGCGCATGGGGAGGTAATTATATGCAAAGGACACGAAGGAAGTGAGGGGAAATCACATGCAAGGAACCAGGAATGAACTGGTAAGTGGATGGGGTTTCTGGTGAGGAAAAAGAAGATGGCTACTAAGTGTCTGTGTCCGCGTACGCCCGTACATACATACCGTCATCGCATTCTCCACATCGTACTTCGTGAACTTCTCAAATGGCCAGTACGTCATTGCGAGCGACACTTTTCCCTGACCCTTGCCCTGCGGGGCCCAAGGTGGCAGCGGGTAACGGGGGGATGAGGTCACATGCGGGAGGATGGGCAGCGGATGGCAAAAGCGAGATGGCAGGCGCGGCGTTCTAGAATGCGGGAAGGAGAACACACACCACCATATGTCCCGTATACAGACACATACACGCGGTGATATACACAAGGCACCACCCACTCACCGGACCCCCCGGGCTGCCCCACTCTCCGCGCCCCACAGGTGCCGTCAGTCCGGGGGCATATCCCCGTTGGCACACATCCGCCAGCTTGATCAGCGACCTGCCCATCAGCTGCCGGCCATTCACCACCTGGGAAACTTGGCCCGTCAGCAGCTTGGTGGGGCGGAGCCGGTCAACGTCAAATAATTCCAAGCGCAGCAGCTGGTTCTTGGGCTCCTGCGGCGTTACAAGAGGTGATGTGGGAGCGCTGGGTTAGAGGGGGGAGGCTGACATTGTCCGTTGGGGAGGGGTGTGTGTGTGTGTGTGTGTGCGTTCGTGGAGAATTTTGAGGGAGAGTAGATGTTGACGCTGAGTTTAGGGGGCTGGTGCGGGGAGGGGGAGAAGGACAGCAACCGGCGGCTGATAAACAGGCATAGCGCACATGATGGTGCAAGCATGTGAAGGTAAATTTACATCTTTGAAGGTACCTTCCCTGCTGACTCCTCCTACAGCGGTGTGTTATCATACTGTTGTGTTTGTCAGCCAGCCAGGACAGCCACACCCACGAATCTACGCACACACCTGCACACCCAGTGAGGCCCGCACCCCCCACGCACCCAGTTGGCAGCTACCTGGCCAATACGCCCCACTCCCACAGCCCCGAGTGTGTCCGGTGTCCCGGTGTCCCCCACCTGGATGAGCAAGTAGATGCATTCCCTCCAAGCGACGGACTCGCCCAGGTGCTCCTTCACCTTGCCGTCGTTGTCAAGCTCGGGCTTGGCGCGACGGATGCTCGTCGCCTGTATGGTAGGACAAGCCATTACCCACAAGGGGAAGTAGGAGGTCAAGGTCGTGAACCGTACGGTTTAGCAAATACAAGGCAAACGCAAACGATACCACACGCAGATCTGCAGATGGAGCAGAAGGAAGCCAGGATGACGCGACTCCCTCCAAATATGCTTACGCATCTCTGTCCATTTTCCACTGTCTCATAACAGCCATACCCGTATTAACCTGAACCAACGCAAAAGTAAGATGCCAATCGCGGCGCTCCTTACAACCTCCGCACATCTCTAGACAGTGTACTCTCCGGTTGGTGAGGCATTCCTCATTCGCCATTCTCGACAACTCGCCGGCTGCTGCAACTTTCATGCAGCCCAGTGATGAACCCCCCAACATACACGTGTCGATCATAACCGCAATCGTTTCTTCATTACGTTGCTCATCTATGCTCATCAAGGTGGGCAAAAAGATTGTGAGGCTCTCGGCTGGCTCCTCCGCATTCATCGTGTTCGCTCAACTATCCTCAGCCCATTAAACCCATCCGCGCGTTCTTCTTCAGTAGTGCGGCCTACACTACAACGCAGCCAGTCCTCTGCCCTCTCTACCAACACTCCCCCATACACACGCACACGCACCTCATAGTGCTCCGAGTCCGTGGTAAGCTCCACCAACACATCGTTGGTGCCCCAGCTGTCAGGCCGCAGCTCACTGGCACTGTTCACATACACCCGCAAGACGCCCTGGTGCCGCCGCATCAGCTTCTGAATCTCCACCTTGTCCTGCTCAGTCGCCTGATATACACAACACAACATAGCAGGTGCAAGGGGGAAATGGAGGTAACAGACTAGTGTTTGTGGTGGGCACGGCCACGTGTTTTCACATTCGCCGCGAGCTGAGAGGCCGCGTGCGCTGCAGGGCAACAAAGTACACAGTCCAGCAACAGCCCGGCCCTCCCATAATTTAAACGACTGGCCAGGGCTGGTGATGTTCCCTTCCAAGGCCTACCCAGCTGGTGCTGCCACGCGGTCAACCTATCGACCATAATTTGACCACCGCGGTGACGTGGCCGTCGCGTACACATCACACACATGTATATATGTCGTATACCCGTTACCTGCAACACAGGCACCACCAGTCTCTGTGGCCACACCAGCATCTTGGTGATCATGTCCCGCAGGAAAAAATTGATGACGGGGGTCACTGCGGCCGGGACCATCGAGCCCCCCAGCGCCTTCCCAAAGTCCAGTCGGTACTTGATAAGCGGCGGCTTGGGAACCGTGGCCATCAGGGCGACTGTGGGAGGGCGAGGGGATGGGACGGAGGACGGAAAGGACACAAGCGTAGCAGCGGGGTGCGGGATAAGCTTGACTCAAGGAAACCCCTACGAACTATAACAAAGCCCCCAGACGCCATCTGTTTGCAGGGTCTCTTTATGAAGTTTGTCGGCGTGCTGTGGATGGGTGGTTAGGGCAGGCAGCAGCCTAGGTGCCGAGTTGGTGCGCGGGGTGGCAGGGCGGAGCCCCGTATGCAGGTCAGACCCTTCCTGACCCGTGTATCCCTCCCCCCCCACTCACCGAACCCGGGTATGCGGGACACCAGCGGATTGAGCACCACCCGCACTCGAGCCACGAAGCTGATGTCCATCACGCGGGGGCAAAGCTTTTGACTTCACGTGTCAGTACCACGGTAGGGATGAGGAGGTATGAGGGGGCATCAGGAGCAAGGAGCAAAGGGTCAATGGCCGGGTGAGTGTGCATGGGCAGGGCAGAGCTGTGCCGAATACGGGGTTATTTGGATTCTCGCAAGGACAAACTCAACAAACAGGAAAGAGAACCCTGAGGACTGCACGTTAATCGGCGATGTTCCGTTTGTGCATTTCATAACCAGCCTGGCCCGCTAACTCACCCTCCCGGCACCTCAATTGCCAAAGTGATGTTGGGGTCACCACACCACTTGACAGACAGCTCCATAACAAGGCTCTCTTTGTCATCGGGACTGACCCAGATGGCTGCAGACCGGGACAGTGCAGGGCAGGGCAGGAACAGACCAGGGCAGCACAAGCGGGGTCAAGAGCATGGAGCGCACTGCAAGGAGCAAAGTTAAGGCAGGTAAGCCGAAACATGGAACGGTGGACGAACGACACGAAGACGGATAAGTAGACGGACAGATACACAGACGGGAAAACAGAGGACGGGGCGGGCCTTGTGCTATGCCCATTCCTAGAACGAGCCCATACTGGACTCACATTCTACCCGAAAGGGCGCATCACCAAAAGTAAGGTGTTTGAATCCGATGCTCTTGACGATGCCGCCCAGACCAGCAGGCAGTGTCTTCAGCACCCCCGGCATCGTCTTGGCCGTGATCTCCTGCAATCCCAGACACAGTACACCGCCGCCATCACGAGCACGAGCAACGGTCAAAACAGTATCCCTAAGCGCAAAACGACCCGCCAAATGCATCAGAACGAAGCGGAGATGTACGCCCAGAAGCTTGGCAGATTGCACGCCGTCGCTTTTCGGTGTGTGCGGTTCCTGTGCTTCCATGCGCCCATGCCATTCTGAAGTATACGCACACACACAAATCAATTATACACATAATCGCAACCCATCCGTCGCCAAACATCCTCCCTCTTTCCTCCATACCACCAGCCTCGATACGTCCTGCTCAGGCCCCTAATCTCTCATCTCACGTCATCTGTCTCGTAATACCTTACCATCAACCGTTCTTATGCCTCCAGCTACAACCTATACGCCCTCGCAACTCAGCCCAACCCATGGCTTATGGTTTCGGGCCTGTCACGCACCTCCCAGCCCAGGCCCAGCGCCAACGCGAAACCCACTCCCGGGCTGAAATCTCAAAATCGCGGATTCTTCCTTCGCTTTACCCTGCTTGCTTTCTTCACCCCCATTTCTCTTTCCCCTCACCTTAATCATGTTGCAAACCCCCTTATCCACGTATGGCCAGACCTCCCCGATGAGGCTGTTTAGCCACTGCAGTCACACAAGATGGGCGGAATGGGCGGCCGGATAGGTTCTATGGTTCTGGCGCACAGGTGCTTTGCAAGCCCAATCAGGAAGTGTGGTTCGTGCATTCCATGAGAACTAATGACGAGGTCGAAGCGCCTTCACCGTGAGAGCAGCGAGCATGAGGGAATGGCTAAGAGCTGTGGCAGTATTAGAACCATGCCGCGCGACAAGCAACCAACCGAAATCACACCCTCCCGCCAAATGTGCTGCACACCATTTCGCCCTCTCTCGGTCTCTCTTCAGCCTTAACCATGAAACACAGGCTTCCCAGATCCCACCTCGAGCTTCTCGGCCTGCGACATGTTGACCCAGGAGGGTAGTCCGCCGGCTACCGTGTACAAGCCCTTGAGCCCCAGGTTCACCGACAGCTGCACTCAGGATTTAGACAAGAGGGTCGAGACAGTAATGGTGGTGAATAAGTGTTGATGTTGGTGGAAAAACGAAGGAATGCACCGTGGCCAGAGAAAATATGACATGCAAGGGGAAATGCATTACATATACGCTGCAAAAAGGTGTCGATAGAAAGCCGTGCTCATGGTGGAAGAAAGCCGTGCTCATGGTGTGGTCGCAAATGGGGTCAACTGAGAAGGGTTTCCCAAGGTAACGGACGGTGAGTGGGATGGGAAGGGTGAGAAGAAGCCAATAAGAGAGGGGAGGCAAAGCCCGGCTTCTCGACCAGTCAACCGTCCAGCCAGGCGCCAGAGCTCCGAAGGAGAGCGCTTAACCCCCACCTACTGCCCTGCTGCCCGCAGCCCTCGAGGACTCCGCAAGCGCTCACCAGCTCATTCGCTTCCGCTTTCGATTTCCTGTTGTAATAGAAGATGAAGCTGAGACCGAGGCCGACGAGCAGACCCCACAGCAGGCTGTAGACCAGGCGGAAGACGGACGGCATGAAAATGGGCAAAAGCAGGAGCTGGACGCCCAATAATGCGAAAAAGATCACTGTGACTATGTGATCCACGGTCAAAGTGATCGGCGGACCAGGTTTATTTAGGAAAGCTGTCGTCAAGGACTTCAACGTGCTGCGAGCTTCCTTGCCGGCCTCCACGTAGGCTTGTCCTGCTTGCTTAGCCGCATCTACAGCTACCTTGGGCAGGGTCTGTAAGCTGGGGGACTCCGTCGACACCGGGATGGCGGGCGAGCCAGCCTCTGGGCTCTCCTGCTCAGCGTTTTTAATTCCTACAGTTGAACCAGCTGCTTCTGCATTTGACGCATGTGATGACTCTGCTTCAGCTGCCTCCTCTCCAGTCGTGGCTGGCTGAGCAGTTACCTCGGATACAGGCGTCGGGATGCCTGACCTGTCCACTGTTATCGGTGGAGACAACGGAACTGTGCTAGGTGTTGCAGCTGTTGCTGGTGGAGCCGCGGCCGTCGGCGTCATCACCTCCGTAATCTCACTCGCTAGAGCTTGTTGTGCCGAAATATGGCCTACTGACACCTCAACAGAATGACGAACGAACTCGCCCTGTTTATCGGGTGGGTTGGGAATAACCAGAGGAGAGCTTGCTGGCTCTAGCTGAAAAGCCGCGACAGCGTTCGACCCTGCAGAAGTATGCTGGGAACTCCCAGCCTCATCGGCATGACCAATAGACTTATGTACCGACACTGCAAAAGCTGTGTCCTTTTCAACAACGATGCCATCCGTCGTCATTCGCGCTTCGGTAGCAACCACTTCTGCTCCGGAAGCTGCCATAATTGTGATTGAAAAGATAGAGAGCGGAAAATATAGAAATTCTTAAGACATTTTGATGTGTACAGTAGAGCCGTCAGATGCAACCCAACTGTTAAGCCACAGGGCTTCCGGAGCAAAAGCGAATCCCCAAAAGATAACGATACAAGCAATATTTACGCTAAAACCTAATATACACCTCGTGTTAGGACCCAGCAGAAAAGCGAAGAACAACGCATGATGGCCGTACAGAGGCGACGTACGGTAAAACTTGAGAGGACAAAACTGTTTTGCCGGCTACACGACATACATGTCAAAGGAGTGTCTTCTCGATGCGAAAAAGCAACGATGGATGCGCGCGACACTTGGTTTACCTTCGTTCCTTGGCCGTGCAGGCGTTAGTAACGCCGTGAACTCCCCTTTGAGACCTTGCAAAGTGGCCATACCCCGACGATTCGAACCAGCAATCGACATGTACCACAAGGTGCTTCCCCAAATTCAGCCGTGCGTTGCTTTGCCGTCGTGACCTTTCGTTATCAGGAAACACGTCAACGGTGCACGCCTTACCCCCCAACACCTCCCATGCCGTAATCCCAAGGAAGAAGCTAAAGACGCTGCGATCCAAGTTCTTTTCCGCCGACGTTAAATAGACTTTAGCTCCTTCACCGTGTAAAAATTCGAGGATGCGTTCGCGTGGTAATTTCTTCCTCGAACATTGTGAGGAGGTCCAGTTACAAGTAGCAGTACACAAGGGACGCAAGGCACGAGGCCCAGTCCGGGGCACACAGCACATGCTAAATGGCACACGTAGTAGCGTAATAACATGGCTTGGTGAGGCGTACGCAACACCGGCAGCCACCGTCCGTAGACACAGCAGGACAGCGATTCAGCTTGCACACGGGAAGCTCTTCCTATCCTTTTGAGTGTTTCCGTCTGAGCTTATTAGCCAACACGGCTACTTACAAAACGTCAGGGGAAGTACGGAGCCGGCTCCGAAGGTTGCAGTCCATGCGGGTGCAGTTGCAGACGATGCACACCCACGACTTCGCAAACGGTATTTTTTCCACGACGACACAACACAAATAACGTGGGCACACACAGTTATGGTACCACAGCACCCTCCGTCCTCCGCCTGCTCCTCATTGCCTTGCCAAACACAATTGCATAATTGAATATATATACAGCTGAGCATTCCTATATATATAATCGAGTATCCATAACAGCAACTCTCACATACCTTATGGGCAAACAACACCCTAACTCCAACCACCTCAAGATAAGTTCTCACGCATATATAACTGCGGTCGTGCAGCCGTGTACGCCACCGTGATCTCTCTCTCTCTACCGTTGGCTATAACGGCGTTCCGCAAGCTTTGAGTTCCTCAGGGGGCAGCCCAACATGGGCGCACACTGAGAAAACTCGCAGATAATAATACGTCAACAGGCACAGGATCTCCTCCTTCTCCTCACAATTGTTATTTCCCCATCGCCACTTACATTGTGCCCAAGTTTGGGCTTGCCACAATCAACATGGGAGGGCGTGCAGGACTATTGGGCCTGTGATTTAGCCCAAACCAAAACAGAAGGATGAGTGACGCGTCGACATCAGGTCCTAGCCGGCTTGCCGTACACCCTGCATCATGGCCCGCCGGTCAAGCCCAAGCAATGCAAGCCAGTCAGTCCTGCCCAGGCCGTGCAGGACAGTCCTGCCGGCCATCATGCTTGTCTGCCCTGCGTCTTCTTCTGGGGCCTTCTCTGCCCTGGCAAGGCCTCTAAGCTCACTTGGCCTGCCCCGCCGCCGCTCCGGGCTTCAATACATTAACGAAGGCGGACCTGTCCTCCTCGGTCAGGTCCTGTGGGGCAGCCTGTGTGCGCAAATACAGGCAGGAAGGAGAGGGACTGGAGTTGCGGAGAGGGAACGGAGGACAGCGCCCCGAGTCCCCGACGGTAGGGATGCCAGGCCATGAACTGCAGCCAAGACCGTGTCGGGCCTGGCTTGCCTTGCCTGGCCAAGCCAACGAAGCCCAACGCACTTACCTCAACGCAGGGCACCCACCGTGCCACCAACCACACGCGGCCGGTAGCGCTGCCCGACAGAGGCAACCCCCACTCGCTCTCCGGAGGCGCTACCCCCGGCGATTCCGGGTCAAAGTTCTGACATTTCTGTATGTACAGCCCGTACTCCTTCTTGCCTGCGAAGCGGCACGGGGGCGAATACGCGAGGAAGGCAGAATTGACGTCTTGTGGGGGTCTAAGACACGAACAGCTCATGCGCGCCTCCTCTGAGCGCGTTTCAAAGTATGAGGAGGTCCATAGGATCACATGCCATTCCGCTGCCCTTTTCCATCCTTCTCATCCCCCTCTCCCCTCCTGACACTCAAGCCCCGCCTCTCACCAGACAGCGGGTTGAGGCAGTAGCTGTTCTTAATGCGTGACACCGGCACCTCCACCACGCCAATCGTCTCCGCGGTGCGCTTGACGCGGCCCTCCTGCACTACCTTGATGTGCACCGTGTTCTCTCCACAGTCCTGGAGGCTCTTGCTCTCGCCGTCGCCGCCCTCTCCCGCTTCATCATCGCTGCTCTCATCCTCCAGTCGCTCCTTAACGCCGTAAAACGAGCAGAACGCCTGAGTTTCCATCTGAGTGGAATGGGAATGGAAGGCGAAGGAGAATTGAAAGCCTGCTCATACAATTATCGTCCGCCCGCATGAATTTGTCGATAGGTCGACCAATCAACGAGGAGGAAGAACGATGGACTGAGGTTAGGAAAAGGAAGCCGCCGACAGGGAAGGATGGGTAAGAAAGTTGCCGTATCACGCACAAAACTAAAATCTTAAAAACTCCCCAAAAGTGTCCCTACCGAGTAATCTAGCGTCACGCTTCTGGTCTTGTTCTTCTCCGCCGCCGTGTCGATTTCCTCCTGGAGCGCCCGCATCTGCACCGCCTTAGCCTCCGCCGCCGCCGTGTCACCCTCCCGCAGGTCCCGCTCCCGGGCTAGCTCCAGCCGCCGCATCTGACCCTTCAGCCCAGCCACCTGCGGGTCAAGGGTGGACAGGTTGGACCATGTGCTCGTATGTGCTGTGAATCGTGCTTTCCCCGCAACTGAGAGGAGCCCACTGCATCCCTGTCGATGTTTTCGTCAGAAATATTTTACCAAGGTACATTCCATCTCTCCATCCCTCACCTCCCCACACCAACCCCTGGCCTTACATGCCCCGCCAGCGTCCATGTCCTCTTGGCCGTCTTCCACGAGGGGTGCCCCGCCTTCTTTTGGGATGTCAGATTGAAGGATGCGTACGCGGTCACGTTGTTGTTGACACCCGGGGTGAGGCCCCCAATGGCCAGTAGGCGAACCGTAAGGATGCCCTGCAAAGGCAGTGCGATACAATACGATATACTAGGACTTTTTACAGAGAAGAACAGGAAAGCCCGGAGATGACCCGAAGCGCGGGGGTGTGCTTATGCGGTGGAAAGGGAAAAAAACGGTAAGTGTGAAAACACGAAAAAAAGGCCCAAGCCGCGAGAAGTAACGGTGAAAGCAGGCAAGGCAATCCCAGGGCCGGGGCTCTGGGCTGGGCTGGGCTGGGCTGGTCTAGGCTCAGAACATTGAAGATTTTGCATCGGGGATCTTACTTCGCAGCACGTGAAAGGAAACATCCACGACCCGACTTCCATCCGCCTTCCCTCCTCCCTGTCCTTGCATAAATCCAACTAACCTCAAACCCCCCAACCTTTTCCAACCCTGCCACAATCTCTTACTTTTCTAGCCCCCAGGACTTGCTCCTGGGTGAAGTCCTCGCAGGGGAAGTACCACATGTGCAGCAGGACCGTGCCCGCGCCCTTGCCCTGCGGTGCGCAGAATGGCGGCGGTTAAGGCAGCAGCAGCCCCATGCCAGGCGGCGAGGCGAGAAGCGAAGCGAGATGAGGGCGTCCATGAGGTTGGGAAAATTGAGGAGCGTGCAGGTGGAGCATCCCCCAGTGTAGCGTTCCAGTTGGAACCGAGGCAACTTAAGGAATTCAATTGCCGCGCTTTTTCCACATGCCCCTAGCAGTCGCTGACATCTGTCGTCCTTTGCAAAGCCTTACAACTCTTTTTTCAACACAAACATAACACATAAGTGCACGCGAGCGCGCACCGCACACGTAAAGCACACTGTCACATACGCGTATACAGTCGCGTATATGTGCGCCCTGGCGAATGCAACGCACCGGGCCGCCTGGACTTCCCCAGTCGTTCTCCCCAAGCTGCGCCCTCACGGACACATGCTCTTTCGAGCCCTGCATGGCCTCCTTGCAGACAGGGTTTAGCTTGACCAGCGCGCGGCCGATCCGCCTGCGGCCATCCCGACCTCGCCCATCCGCCACATCAAACGCCTCTAACCGTAACACCTGGCTCTCTGGCTCCTGCGGGTATAACAGGGTGCAAGCGCGTGTGCAGACCTATATGCACAGAATGCAAACAAAGCGACTGCCGACAAGCGAAATATCAGATGCTAAAGGACGAAGGCTTGGCGTCCTGTGCTTGACAAAAACACACGAGTATCGCGCATGTGTGAGCTATGCGGCATGCGTACTATGTTTCCTCTACCTGAGTTCAGCCTGTGCTCTTCTCCCTGCCTCAAGCACTCTTAGCCTCCTCGCCTCCATACCCACCCCCCAGACCACCCCCTCTACGACGTACCAGCACCAGCAGGTACGTGAAGTGTTCCCAGGTGACGATCTCCGTGTTGGCTAGGCGCTCCAACTTGCGGTCTGCATCCTCCCACTCCTTGGGGGACACCGCCGCGCAAGGAGGTGTGGACTACAGGGCCCAGGGGGAAGGAGGTATGGGTGGGCAGGGGCGCAGGGGAGGCTAGGAACGGCTTTTGACGAGGTGGGGAGCGGGAAGGCGGGAAGCGAGGGCAGGAGGTCCAAGGAAAACGTAAATGGACAACTCCGGGTCCATACGAACAACCCTGAGTTTCTGGGCAACTGGGTGGTTGGGTTGGTGGATGCTCCTCCTACCTCGAAGCGCTCGCTGTCAGTTGTCAGTTGTACGATGGCGTTTTCGGTTGGGCCCAGGCCCTTGAGCTTCTTGCCCCGCATCACGCAAACCCGCACCATGCCGCGAACCCGGAGCATCAGCTTCTGAACCTCTGCACTGTCCGCCGGAGTTTCCTGCAATACAGCACCAGCATTAACACCGGCAGCAGCAGCAGCAGCAGCAAACGTCCGAACTTTAGCAAAAAAAACACATCACGCCTTCATCCTGCTTTCTGTCTCTATGCCATGCGAACATGCGCCACGCGCAGGTCCTTGACGGGGTGTATGCTTTGAAGTGACAGGAGGGGCTTACATTGGTATCAAATGCGCGGTATCGAATCACACGGACATACACAAAAAAATGATGACCAGCCGTCACTACACCTACAATATCGGCAATCCATATTCATTATTTGGTACCCACCTGCCCCTCATTTGGGCCCCACCCCAAAGCTCCTTTCCACCCCTTATACCTGCAGAATGGGCAACACTATGCGGTTGGGCCACACCAGCATCCGGTCCAGCGTGCCCTTGATGAAGTAGTCGATGACGGGGGTGACCAGCTTGGGCAGCATGGAGCCCCCCAGCGCCTTCCCAAAGTCCAGTCGGTACTTGATAAGCGGCGGCTTGGGAACCGTGGCCATCAGGGCGACTGTGGGAGGGGGAGGGGACGGTAGAGTTGCAAGGGGATAGTGGGATGCAAAAAGAAAACGAACCCACGTGTTGCCCGTAACGCGAACACGAATGCTCGGGACGTGGTTGGGACCCAGGAAATTGATTGAGATTCGGTGAAGGGGCAAGCACAACAAGTACGGTATGAAGGAAGCCGAACGTGCTTGGGTGGTGCTAAGAACCGCAGGAACTCACACCGGGCCCTCGCCTGCCTCATTGTACAGTGAACCCCACCTACATATCGGGCCGCGAGCCGCTCATAGGATCTAGCTTGGGCCTAATAAGCTCCCAGCTTGAGGCAATATGTAGGGAGTTGATCACTATTGGACGCCACGTGTTCTTTTCCTAAAGGCCCTCGCACTCCAGGAAGGTTGACTGACGGACCTACGGGTCACACCTCGCCTTTCCTCCTGCTCGTCTACCCACTACCTCGCCACCCTTGCAGCGCAGCATCAGAGCACACTTAAATCTCACCGAATCCGGGCAGACGCGGCACCAGTGGCCGCAGCAGCACGCGCACAGTGACCGCGAAAGTGATGTCCAGCATGCGAGGACACAGCTTCTGACTGCAAACGGAGAAATTGGGGGATGCCGGGAGAATGTATGCAGCTAACGCCAAAGAACCAACTGCCTGGGTCCAAGATGCCCAAAGGGACGGAAAGGAGAGAAGGGGACAGGATCCCAGCTGGCGCTTATGGAAATATCACCTGATGCAGCATGCGCAGCTGTGAAGAAGGCTGTACCAGACTGCTGTACACCCTTGAACATCCAGTCAAGATACAGTGGCTTGTTTGAACTAGCCTTCTCCGCCCCATTTCTAGCTCCCTCCTACCCCTTCTCACCCCCCTATTCCTCCTATGGGGTCAAGTACAAGCCTGCTTTTGGTGGCAAAGTTCCGTCTAGTTACGTCGTGCTACAGTACGAGTAGCACCTCAAAGGTTCCGTGCTACACACAAGGAACCGAAAGATGACTACACAAAGCACATGCACAACTCACCCTGCCGGCACCTCAATCGCCAAAGTGATGTTGGGGTCACCACACCACTTGACAGACAGCTCCAGAACCAGCCCGTCGTCTGCTTCCTTGTGAACATGGATGCCTGCAGCAGCAGGGTGCTTCCGTTTGTTAGCTGCCGGGCGAGCAAGGCAAGCTACCACTACTCGGCACAATGCATTGGGACCAAGCTGCCCATACCCAACCACAGCCCCGGCACCCGGAAGCCGAGGGATGCGACCTGCCGATCCCCATTGAAGCCACCTCATGAAAAGCTTCCCAACTTTCCGTACAAGAGGGAGGTTTAAGGAAGTGCAATGAACTGGGAAACAGCCAAAGCGGTCACAGCGATGGTGATGGAAATGGTGATTTATGTATTTATGAAGTGCGTGGATGGACGATGGTGAAGCCGCTGCCAAAAGCCAAGAAAAAGTGCAAAGATGTTTGGATTTAAGAGTAAGGAAATATTACAGAGTCGGGTCTGTGTGGTCACAGCAGCTGGGAACTTGGGAACGCGGACAACGCGCCTGCGTTGCCCCAAACAGCACCAACCCAGCACGCCAGCCGAAACCAACTCACCCTCCACCCTGAATGGCACGGCCCCGAACGTGAGATGCTTGAAGCCCACACTCTTGACCTGTGACGATAGCACTGGCGGCAAAGACTGCAGAATGCCGGGCATCATCTGGGCTGTGATGTCCTGTACGGCGATCGGGAGCGTGACATTGCGCGCGGGGACGTTAAGGGGCGTGCGGGGACGTGGTGGGACGCGGTGATGGGCGAGTAGCATAAAGACTCTTTGATCTGTACCCTAGGACCAGTCTCGAGCTCAGGCTCGCGATCTTCACAAGCAGTGGGCTTCCCTGAATCCCTAACCCGTCCTCGGTCCACAATCAATCCCGGGACAGGCTCAACTCCTATTTCGTGTTATCCTTCAGCGCTTACCTATGAGCCCAAAGCCACACAGCGAGGCGCTTGAAAGACACGATGTCGTATGGAGTTTTACGCATAACGGAAATTATGGGGAAGGACGCCGAGAGGGAGGGTCCCCAGGTCCTCTTTCACATTCGAACAACCCATAGCTTTGGGGATTTCCTTATGCTGGCTTGTCTTCTGGGCCTTGTATGCCTGCTTTGCTAAACAGTGTACCCCTCATGCACATTCCCACCGTTCCCGCTCCGACCTCACACCTTGACCATGTTGCAAACCGCCTTGTCCACAAACGGCCACACCTCCACCACCAGTGCATTTAACCACTGCAGGCCAGCGGAGGACCCCGTTGCAAGAAAGACCGGAGGGGGAGAATGGGCCGAAAGGACCAAGGCATCAAAGATCGCTGCTAAGTGGAGGGCACCCACGATACATACGTGACTCAATGCATCCATTCGAGTGCAGACACTCTCTGACTCTCGCACATGCTTTCTCTCTAATATGAATGAAGTGAACAATGATTCAGGATGTTACTTTCAAATTCGACTATTCCAGCAGCCTCAAGGGAAATCGGAGAGGACGGCCCCCGCAGTGGTGGCACAAAACAATTTCCGTCCGTGACCCGCCCTGGTGCCATCTCTTCATCGCACGCGCACATGCCCCCAAAGCCAAATTAACATCGGCCCCCTGTCAACGCACCTCCATTTTTTCCGTGTTTGATACGCTGCAGAGGGCCGGCACGCCTGCGGCAACCAATTGGATTCCCTTGAGACCCAGATTGGTGGACAACTGCGTGCGGCCGGGCAGATGGGCGGGGAGATGGGCGGCAAGCTTGAAGAGCAGCAATTGGGTTCATAGGCGAAAAACAGAGCCTGACCCAATTTGAAAATAAGCGCGGCAGAGAGGGTAGCCTGCAGTGGGGCCAGCTGACGCAGCAGATGCAACCGATAGGGCGGAAAGGAGTCCAGTGCCGCAGCGAACTCGGGTGAACAGAGTAGGTTCAGTTGAGGAGTGAGGAGGTATAGAATGGCGCAGCGCAGCGCAGAGGGGCAGGGCAGGAGACCGGTGGCGGGAGGTGGAATATCTGTGTGACCCAGATCGTTTGGCAAGGACGGCTCCACCTGAGCGCCACCTGGTCAAGGCTCTGACTTTCATAAACCCGGAACCGGTGCCTGTGAGTCATGCCATTCCCAGCCGCTCTCTCTTCCCCGTGCAGATAACCCCCCTTGGCACCCAGGGGCAATTTACCGCCCTCTCGTTATTTCCCACCCTCGCAAACCTAAAGGCATTCCTTTCCACCAATAAAGCCTGCCCTTCTGATCAAGTATGCCTTTCGACAGGTCTTCTCTCCTAAGTTTTCCGTTCCTACCAGCTCGTTGACTTCCGCCTTCTTTTTCTTGTTGTGGAAGAAGAGGAAGCTTAAGCCGAGCCCTACCAGCAAGCCCCACAATAAGCTGTACAGCAGTCGAAAGGTGGAGGGCAGGAAGATGGGCAGGATGAGCAGCTGCAGGCCGGCCACCAGAAAGATTGCCGCCGTCGCAATTTGATCGACGGTCAACGTCACCGGCGGGCCCTCCTTCTCGCGGAGGCTGAGCAGGTCCTTGAGTGTTAGCTGGGCCTGTTTTCCCGCTTCCATGTAGTCCTGGCCAGCCTGTTTTGCTGCCTCTGCCGCAAACTTTTGCAGCTCGTCGAGGACAGCGTTTTCAGCGGTCCCAGCAGCCATGGCGGGCGAGTCGCCAGCTGCAGCTGTAACGACCATCGGTGCTTTCGCCGTCTCAGGATCGGCATGTATTTCTGACTCAATATCATGCTTTGGAGTTGGTCCCACAGATGCCACTTCGGGAGCCGTATTCACCAAAGGCGTGAGCAAAGACCTCGAAGGCTTTCTTATATTCTCGTTCAGCCTCTCCTGGTCCTCTCGGATTGGCGGAGGAGCAGTAGAAGGTTCAGATTGAACCTGAGCTGGCCCTTGCGTTTCTCCACCTTCGTGAGTGATTGTTGCCGTCGCCGATACCTTTTCGGCAAGCTTCCCCAAAGATCCCACTTCTGTTACTTCGCTTACGACTTTACTGCTAACTTTGCTCATGTGGCCCTCCGCAACCGGTTGATTGATTGGTGTTGCTGGGTGCTCCGAGGAATGCAAGCTACGCCGTTCCACAAAGTCCGTATTATCCCGAGGACGGTCAAAGACGGATTCATGCGCCACTGGTAGCGTAGATACAGCTGCTGCTGTCGTGAGGTCCAAGGCGACGTTAACGGCAGCCGAAGCCTCTGACGAGTTCCGCGCCACTTGCGATGGCATCTCGGGCTTTGAAACTGTCATTACTGCCCGACATGAATACAAAAATCTGAAATCGGTTATCTATCCAAAATACGTCGTAACACTTATTCACCTGCTTTACCCTAAACCTTACGAAGACATCTTCAAAAAAATTTCCGTCCGACGTTTGTCAACCAAACACAATTTACAAAAAATGTGGACGATTACTTGCGTGCTCACCGATGCCTTACACGGTATGAAACAGTACGGATACGGTAGACTGAAAAACGTTCAAACGTTACTTCACGATAGGCAACGTCACCCGTTAAGGCGCATTAGAGATGCTGGGGTCCATTAATGATGCAGACCAGTCTTGGCGGATAGTTGAGCAGGGGAGACGGGCAGCAGCATTTACGTGGCTACGACGAAGGAAATAGCGGCTGTGCTGAAGGACCTGCCGATTACAACAATCGACTCTGGAAATGCACTCTTCATGGCTCCATAGACAATGTTCACGCCTGTAGCCACGCATCCGGACAGCGATCAGGGCGAATCCTAAACGCCACCACAATCCTCCATTTACACAACCCTCCAAGACGATAACCATAAGCTCAATTACAACCGCCACCGTCACTACATTTGTCTCAACCTTCTGTGAGACTGTTGTACAGACTCAAATGGAGCAAAGTTATGGTTACTGTTGCCACAAGCTCACACGGTAACACAAGGCATTACCTCCCACGTTAAGCGACCAACACATACATGGGCCCCCCTCTGCAATCCTTAAATCCGCCGCTCATCTCCTCCTCCGTGGTGGTGCCACAACTTATTACATGGTCTCGTGGAAGGTGCGGGCGATGACCTCGAGCTGCTGCTCCCGGGTAAGTCGGGCAAAGTGCACCGCGTAGCCGGAGACGCGGATGGTGAGGTTGGGGTACTTCTCGGGGTGCTGCGGAGAGAGATGGGGAAGGATTGTAGGCGATGAGGAACGTGAGAGCTCGAAATGCCAGAGAGGAAAGACGACACGGTCAGCTGGCAACTTATCCCGCATGGGGAACACCTTAACCTGGCTAAAGAAGGAATGGGACCGACGAACACATCAAGCATCCTAACCTCACCTCCACGGCGTCCATAAGCATTGCGCGGTTGAGCACATTGACGTTGATGTGGTGGCCACCAGTTACGAAGTAGCCGTCCAGGATGGAGGACAGGTTAGCAGCGCGCTCTGCCTCTTCTCCCTTACCGAGAACCTGGCGCCAAGATGGGTGTCAAGGCAAGCAGGCGCTTAGGATGAGGAAAGCAGCCCCAGACATCAAACTCAAGCTGATGCGAACATAGGCGGCGCATGAGCCCCGCGGATTTAAACAGAGCATAACGAGGAAGCTTGGTAAGCCAGCCACCTAACATACGTGCGTTCTGATGGCCAAGGAACGTGGGTGGGGAAACCCCTGAACATCCTCTTCTCCGCTACTCGCCGCCTAGATTGTCTCGCCGGCGCCGTCCTCCTTTAAGAACACGCAGGCCCATGAAATGTCGGCACGTAACGCTGGCACAGCAACTAACCTGAGGAATTAGGGAGAAGGTGTTGGAGATGCCGTCCAGGCAGCTGGTGTATGGCAGCTTGGCCACGGAGTTGAGGGACGCCAGAGCGCCGTGCGAGTCGCGGCCGTGCAGGGGGTTGGCTCCCGGTGCGAAGGGCTCACCCTTCTTGCGGCCGTCGGGAGTGCTACCGGTCTTCTTGCCGTACACCACATTGGAGGTGATGGTCAAGACCGACAGCGTGGGAATGGAGTTGCTGTGCGGGTAGGAAGGGGCCAGGGATGATTCGGGCGAAGGGCAGAAGGATGAAGGTTTATACCCAAAGTTGTATGATATAAGTTGGAAAACGCGTCGGAATGCCTCTGTATAAAGAAAAAAAAAAGCCCCCTCCCGAGACACTAATGGCCACGTTGTGTTGGTCGTGAAAGTCGTCTTTCCTAGTTCTCCAACCACACACGCCCTCTCTTGGAGGAGATCCTGTGGAAAAAGAAGCGTACCTCGAACAATTGGTGTGGTAACCATCCGCGAGCTGCAATCACCTGGGTAGGTAAGGAAAGCGGAGCCTGATCGTTACTCACCGGTATGTGTGCTGCTTAGAGAGCATGTGGGAGAAGCGCTTCACCAGCCACTCGGCCAGAGAGTCCACTCGATCATCATCATTGCCGTACTTGGGGAAGTCGCCGTGGATGGCAAAATCCACCATGAGACCCCGATCGTCATACACCGGGGTTACTTTGGCGTACTTGATGGCGGATAAGGAGTCGGCTACCACCGAAAGGCCAGCAATACCGAAGGCCAGCAGGCGGCGTACGTAGGTATCATGCAGGGCCATTTGCAGACGCTCGTAGTCGTACTTGTCATGCATGTCTGTGTGGGAACGGCAGCGATGCATGGCCGTTAACACACGCCGCACAGAAACGCATCGCAAAATTAAACGCATCGCATGCAGCAGCACTTCAAGCTACAACCACCAAAAGACGCCGTGCCTGCCCCACAACTCACAGTGGATGACGTTCATGGTGTTGGCGTACAGCGAGGCCAGCCACTCCATGCCGTCCTCAAGTTTGGCACGGACCTCCTCGAAGTCCAGTGGGGCGTCCTTCACACGCACTGAGGCGAACTTGGGGCCAACCTGCGCACCAGTCACTTCGTCGCGGCCCTGCAACGGGAGAGGAGAACAGAGGCGCGCAGGGTTCAAATGCTGGACGGATGTAGGGTGTGGGTCGGGTCACAGGCAAATAACACGGACACGCACATCCTACCCTCGCACCTGGTTCAGGACGTAGAGCATCAGCTTGGGAAGGTTGGCACGCGCACCAAAGTACTGCATGTCCTTGCCCACCCTCATGGCGGACACGCAGCATGCGATGGAGTAGTCGGAGCCGAACAGGCGGCTCATCAGCCGGTCAGATTCGTACTGGATGGAGGACGTGTCCAGAGACACCTTGGAGCAGAAGTCCTTGAAGGGCTGCGGCAGGTTCTCGTTCCACAGCACCGTCAGATTGGGCTCGGGCGCCGGGCCCAGGTTGTAGAGCGTGTTGAGCATGCGGAAGCTGGTCTTCGTGACCATGGGCTTGCCGGCTGCGTCCGTGCCGCCCAGCACGCAGGTCACCCAGGTGGGGTCGCCCGCGAACAGGGCGTTGTACTCGGGCGTGCGCAGCTGCCGCACAATCCGCAACTTCATGACGAAGTGGTCCACCAGCTCCTGAACCTCGGCCTCTGTGATGGTGCCCGCGGCCAGGTCGCGCTCGAAGTAGGTGTCCAGGAAGGCGTCGATGCGACCCAGACTCATGGCAGCGCCATCTGGGAATACGGGTTGAGGGGAGAGCAAGGGGGAAGCGACTTGTCAGAATCGCGAGGTTGTGGATTCTGAAGAGACGTTAGTTGGTTCCGAGTCAACTGGCAGAAGAACATGTAGGGTTTCCAAGGTAAAACCTGATGCTAGGCCAGGTGATGGATGCATTACATTACATCAGTGCATTGCTTTCCGAATCGTGGGAGGTGCGCCTAACCCACCGCCTCCGCGCACCTTGTTCCTTGACAGCCCCTAGGTATGCGAAGTACAACCACTGTACGGCTTCCCTGGAGTTCTGGGCGGGCCTGAGGGGGCAGCAAGGGGGGAAAGACCGTGGCGGCGGCGGGGGTTAACACAGCACCCGCAGAATACGTGGACGAGGATGGCCGACTTGAAACGGAGCTTCGTGGCCATGTGGGCCTACCAGCAAACGAACGGGCCGATGCCGTACCTGCCGATGTCAAAGCCGTACAACTGGGCCATCTCCTTGAGCTCCATCAGCGCGCGGATCTGCTCGTTCACCTCCTCGCGGAGGCGGATCTTCTCCTCATCCATCACGCCCAGCAGGTTGTGCTTCAGGTCCGTCTTCTTAGCGGCGATAAGCGCATCAACGCCGTACAACGCCACGCGCCTGTAGGCCGTACGTGACACATTAAGCCATGCCACGCCACGCGGCCATAGAAAAGGGAAGGACAACAGTCAAAGGATGACCCAAGTCCGGACCTAAACTCGAATCCAGGCAAAACCCAAGCAACATACATTCACGTGCCTGTAATCGCCGATGATGCGGCCACGGCCATAGCCATCTGGCAGGCCCGTCAGAATGCCGCTCTTGCGCGCCGCTCGCATCTCATCCGTGTAGGCATCGAACACCCCGGCGTTGTGCGTCTTGCGGACAGACGTGTAAACCTGTTCAACCTGTTTGTTTTGGAGCAAAGGAAAACGAGAAGCAAACGTAACCCTTCATGCAGCATGTGCAAATGGGAATTGTGCATTTAAGTTACACTGTTTCCTGAACTAAACCTACATATAGACTTGCCGTACAATCTCGTACCTCCGGATCGGGCTTGAAGCCGTACGACTCCAACGCCGCCTTTACCACGTTTATACCTCCCAGCGGCTTGATCGCTCGCTTCAGGGGCTTGTCGGTTTGGAGGCCCACGACCTGCTCAAGGTCCTTGTCGATGTAGCCGGGGGGAAAGCCAGCAATGGTTGAGGGCTTGCTAGGATCCACGTCCAGGACGCCCACTTTTAGCTGTGCACGGGATCCGCAGAGATGAGACGGGAGAGCGCGAGGCGTGGCTTCTCATGTTGATTGATTGGTGAACTAATATTGTGGGTGACTGGTGGTTGGGTGAAATCGTTATGGCGATTTTAGGCGTTGGCTGCGATGAGGAGGGCCACCTAAGCAAGGCTTTCCCCACGCCGTTGGTCGGAACGACGAACCGGCGATGCTCTCGCACATGGTCTCACTCCTCTTCAACACACAAAACGCCAACCCAGGACCCACCCCAGCCCCACCCCACCTCCTCGCTGAGTAGCTTCTCTAATTTGCCCCATAGCGCCTTGGTGCGGGGAGTAGCAGGGGCCAGGAACTTTGCATCGCCGTACGTATACGGCTTGTAGTTATCCTGAAACCAGCGGACAGCCCGTTTGGTCGTTAACGGTCCCAACCAGTCGAGCGCACCATACACCGCAAAATACATCAAGACGCGTAGATATATAACTCCTTATGGAACGTCGTATGTGCGTGGTACAAATTCAACTTGGTCGTACCTGTACGTAGCGCCCGGCGTCAATATCGGTGTTCACTGCCGGTTTTGGCCGCGGATCTGGCAGGCAAAACAGGGCGTCCGCCTGGCCGCTTGGCACTTGCAGCTGCTGCTGCTGCTGCGGCGGCGGCGGCCGCTGCTGCCCAAGCGGCGCGGCATGGCTGGCAGCCGCAGTGGTGAAACATCCGCTGTGTGGGTGAGGCGGAAGGCGGAGGGCATAGGTAGGGACGCAGGGAAGTGCGCATGGGACGTGGACATCCTGGCATCTCATTTTTCTCTCACTACCTCTATCTATATATGTATCTCTCACTTACACGCACACACACACACATGTTCTCTCTCTCTCTCTCTCACTCGAGCCGCCTTTGCCGCCACGCCTCCCACCACCAGCACCACCCATGCATGGGTGGGCCCCGCGCAGACGGTGAGAACCAACACTAACACACAATGATCCCGATCCAGATGTTGAAGATAGAAACCTCTCGTTTTGATATAACTCGAAACACACGTGCATGTGCGTGTGTTGCAAACCCGGCTCCATTCAAGTCCCGCTTCCAGCAGCCCTTCCGTGCCCCACTAACAACACATAGGCAATCCCTGCGCCGCTTCCAAACTCACCGAGGCCGTCGGAGGAGCGGCAGCCGAGCCAGGGCCGTCACAGCTAACTTCGGGCAGGCTGCTAGCGGACTGTCAGCTGCGTGCCTTGCCATCCGCATCCTGGATATCAGAAGAAGAAGAAGAGGCCAGATTGTGCGAAATGCGGGGTTTGGCAGAGGATAAATGTGAGTGGCTAGCTGCAGCGATGTGCTCGGGAAGGATCGTCCCTTGTGCAATCGTACGGCGACGGAGGATTTGAGGGGCGCCCTCACGTCAAGCTCCATGCATGTGCTGGGGATGTACAGCATACATGACAAATTCCCGCAGCCCGGTATTGCGAAATCAGTCGGGGGATCCGGCGGGGTTCGCACCTTTCCGTGCTCAGCGCCTGTGTCGGCATGCCGTCAAGAAGCAAGAAGCTATTGTTATTGCTGCCGCCCGCTGGGGAGGTGGCGATGGGAATCCGGGAGGACGCGGACGATGGCGGCTGGCGGCCGGCAAGGGACGATTGCTTCAGGATCAGTTGTGATGCTGTGAGCAGCAGTCGAGCTCCGTGGAGACTGAGCGGGCTCGGTCAGTCGAGTGTGCACACAAGTAAAAGCGAGCTTTCTAGTAGTTGGTCAGTTCTGTCAGTTGGCGTCTTCGTGACGAAACATGGGCTGGCTTGAAAGATGGGACGATAGCTGAGGTTTGTAAGGGAAAAGCAATAAAGCAGCGTAAAATGGTTTGTACAAGACTTGGTAGTGAGGTGAACCGTGGGTCAGTCGTGTGAAAGGAGGCACGTCTTTTTGTTCGTTCAGTGAATTAATATTTTTGGACACCTCTCTTGACTGATAATACCAGAGGATAATGCAGAGGAATCAGGGCACGCGGGGAATTTTAAGGTAGTCTCCGATGCTGTACGCTGGTACCATCGTACGCTTTTGTACCAAAGCTCTGTCCTGTCTAAAATCCATGACACAACGTAAGCATCCTACGTAAATCAGCATCATACATAATAAAATGTTGAGGTCGAACTAACGTCACAAAACGAGCGGCGACGAACTGAACATGAAAGCGATAGGAGCCCGAGAGGGGACCAGATGCTAAAAGCATAATAAGATGTCCGGCTGATTGCGGTAGTGCGTAGCTTCACCCATGGATGCGAAATGAACATCCGGCTGTAAGAGAATTAATTGATGGGCCGATGGTGCCGATTGATTAGCCGATGGTGGAATACGCATCGAAGGCATGCCGCGCGGCATCCCGTTGCACTGTGAGGCTCGACCCTTGTTTTTGTGTTCCGCACATAGCGCAGCTTTGTGCTGTTATTTCGGTTCACGATGATAGTTATGAAACCAGGAAATTCCAGTACTGTTGCAACGTGCAATTTTTTCGGGACTAGGACAAGGAGACAAGGACGTTGGATGATGCTGTTTCCCGATTGCGTCTACAGACAATCATGTTCATACTTCTAGCTCCGGACAAATATTGCCGGAAGGCCACTTAAATAGCGTCCAATGTCGTGCATCAGCCAAAGGGGCCCTGCAGGGCTTTGGACCGGGTTCTGAAACCACAGCCTCATACACGCAGGGGTCGCTTGACAGATGACGAACAACATTCCGCGTTTTTGATTTGTTTAATTCATGAGTGATACGCTTGCAGCAATAGTCTCATCGGGTGTAATCCAGCGGCTCAGGGGTTAACAAGGAGGCATTTTCGTGTCATAAATTCTTCCACCCATAATGCATGTATGATTTGAATTGTGGTGGACTAGATTTATATCAGCCTGCTATAAGTACACTATGTGAGTTGCGCACAGTAAAAGGAGTCGGGAAAATACACAACTCCACTAGACACGTTTCACGTTACATATAAATCTGGGCGTTGGGCTCAAACGTTTCACAGTGCTTCAATATTCCCTTTACATTTCTCCTTGCAGTATCCAAATGGGTTACATGACGTGACAGACATGATCGCAAGCCGCACGATCCCGTGTACAGAAAGTCAGCAAGTGTACGTTATGTGTACACAAACCTACGCAACGTGCGGGGATAACTCCCAACGAAGAAACACTTCTAGAACTATCTACAGGATAATAAGCCACTCACCCGGCCGCAACCCCTCAAAACTCAGCAGGCTTAGCAGCGCATTCAGATAACAAATGCAACTCACTCGTTGACTGGGGGTAGCCGACTTGATTGATACATTTCCCGTGTCATTGCTTCAATAAGAGCATAGCGCAAAGGCGCATACGCTTATTTCTGTAACATATACGCCGAGCACTAGCCAGGTAAGGGGAAAGCCCTCTCACCATATTTATTGTCAGGTCGAAAGTCGGCAAACGCCCGGCAAATAATTGAGGAGGCTAGCCAATGCAGGGCCAAACATTTCCGCTCAAGGTTTCATATGATATCACAACCGCATTTGGTGCATACATCTATGCGCAACGTCTGCAAACAACTAACCAACGGGGCTCACCGCTTTAAGAACGCCAAGCCATAAACATCAGGAGCATGCGACCTGAGATGCTTTGCTGATAGCGGAAATAATGAACGAATCTCTTATTCACGATATCCTCACGACTCTTCGGCATGCCACATGTACAATAATGATTGATGCCACTCGCTTTTGTTAAGCTCACACGGTAACACAAGGCATTACCTCCCACGTTAAGCGACTAACACATACATGGGCCCCCCTCTGCAATCCTTCAACGCCGCCGCTCAGCTCCTCCTCCGTGGTGGTGTCACAACTTATTACATGGTCTCGTGGAAGGTGCGGGCGATGACCTCGAGCTGCTGCTCCCGGGTAAGTCGGGCAAAGTGCACCGCGTAGCCGGAGACGCGGATGGTGAGGTTGGGGTACTTCTCGGGGTGCTGCAGAGAGAGATGGGGAAGGATTGTAGGCGATGAGGAACGTGAGAGCTCGAAATGCCAAAGAGGAAAGACGACACGGTCAGCTGGCAACTTATCCCGCATGGGGAACACCTTAACCTGGCTAAAGCAGGAATGGGATCGACGAACACATCAAGCATCCGAACCTCACCTCCACGGCGTCCATAAGCATTGCGCGGTTGAGCACATTGACGTTGATGTGGTGGCCACCAGTTACGAAGTAGCCGTCCAGGATGGAGGACAGGTTAGCAGCGCGCTCAGGTTCACCGCCTTTGCCCAGAACCTACAAGAGCCACACGGGCGCAAAGGAGAGCAACCTAGTAAGGATGAGGAGGAAGAGGTTAATAAGGGTATTAAGCTTCAGTCATAGCAATGCAAGGTCGTCGTAAAACTCTGCGAAGCGCGTCCATCGGGCTGGTCATCATCTGCTTCTGGGAATTTCCAACCTCCGCCCCTCCGCCGTGTTCTCCTCCCCACAGCAACTAACCTGAGGAATTAGGGAGAAGGTGTTGGAGATGCCGTCCAGGCAGCTGGTGTATGGCAGCTTGGCCACGGAGTTGAGGGACGCCAGAGCGCCGTGCGAGTCGCGGCCGTGCAGGGGGTTGGCTCCCGGCGCGAAGGGCTCACCCTTCTTGCGGCCGTCAGGAGTGCTACCGGTCTTCTTGCCGTACACCACATTGGAGGTGATGGTCAAGACCGACAGCGTGGGGATGGAGTTGCTGTGCGGGTAGGAAGGGGGCAGGGATGATTGGGGCGAAGGGCGGAAGGAGGAAGGTTTATACCCTAAGTTGTATGAGGGGTGACCGAGGCCGGCGTCAGCGCGAGCATTGTGCAGCATATTGCAAAATCAAGAACCCCTATGCTGAATCACCAACGATTCTCAAGTGCACTTACCGGTACGTGTGTTGACTTGATAGCTTCTTAGAGAACGTCGATGTGATCCACTCCGCAATCTCATCAGCGCGGTCATCATCATTTCCGTACTTGGGGAAGGTGCCATCAACGACGAAGTCCACCATAATACCCTTCTCGTCATACACCGGGGTTACTTTGGCGTACTTGATGGCGGACAGCGAATCGGTCACGACAGATAGACCCGAAATACCGAAGGCCAGCAGGCGGCGTACGTAGGTATCATGCAGGGCCATTTGCAGACGCTCGTAGTCGTACTTGTCATGCATGTCTGTGTGGGAACAGCAGCGATGCATGGCCGTTAACACACGCCGCACAGAAACGCATCCCAGAATTAAACGACACATGCAGCAAAGCTACAAGCACCAAAAGACGCCGTGCCTGCCCCACAACTCACAGTGGATAACGTTCATGGTGTTGGCGTACAGCGAGGCCAGCCACTCCATGCCGTCCTCAAGTTTGGCACGGACCTCCTCGAAGTCCAGTGGGGCGTCCTTCACACGCACCGAGGCGAACTTGGGGCCAGCCTGCGCACCAGTCACTTCGTCGCGGCCCTGCAACGGGAGAGGAGAACAGAGGCGCGCAGGGTTCAAATGCTGGACGGATGTAGGGTGTGGGTCGGGTCACAGGCAGATAACACGGACGCGCACATCCTACCCTCGCACCTGGTTCAGGACGTAGAGCATCAGCTTGGGAAGGTTGGCACGCGCACCGAAGTACTGCATGTCCTTGCCCACCCTCATGGCGGACACGCAGCATGCGATGGAGTAGTCGGAGCCGAACAGGCGGCTCATCAGCCGGTCAGATTCGTACTGGATGGAGGACGTGTCCAGAGACACCTTGGAGCAGAAGTCCTTGAAGGGCTGCGGCAGGTTCTCGTTCCACAGCACCGTCAGATTGGGCTCGGGCGCCGGGCCCAGGTTGTAGAGCGTGTTGAGCATGCGGAAGCTGGTCTTCGTGACCATGGGCTTGCCGGCTGCGTCCGTGCCGCCCAGCACGCAGGTCACCCAGGTGGGGTCGCCCGCGAACAGGGCGTTGTACTCGGGCGTGCGCAGCTGCCGCACAATCCGCAACTTCATGACGAAGTGGTCCACCAGCTCCTGAACCTCGGCCTCTGTAATGGTGCCCGCGGCCAGGTCGCGCTCGAAGTAGGTGTCCAGGAAGGCGTCGATGCGACCCAGGCTCATAGCGGCGCCATCTGGCAATACGGTTTGAGGGGAGAGCAAGGGGGAAAGCGACTTGTCAGAATCGCGAGGTGTTGGATTGTGAGAGAAGTTAGTTGGTGCCGAGTCAACTGGCTCATGAGCATGTAGGATTTCCAAGGTAAGACCTGATGCTAGGCCAGGTGATGGATGCATTACATTACATCAGCGCATTGCTTTCCGAATCGTGGGGGTGCGTGGGCGATGCGCATCCTCAGCGCACCTTGTTCCTTGACAGCCCCTAGGTAGGCGAAGTACAACCACTGCACGGCTTCCCTGGAGTTCTGGGCGGGCCTGAGGGGGCAGCAAGGGGGAAAAGACCGTGGCGGCGGCGGGGGTTAACACAGCATCCGCAGAGTATGTGGACGAGGTTGGCCGACTTGAAACGGAGCTTCATGGCCATGTGGGCCTACCGGCAAACGAACGGGCCGATGCCGTACCTGCTGATGTCAAAGCCGTAAGACTGGGCCATTTCCTTGAGCTCCATCAGCGCGCGGATCTGCTCGTTCACCTCCTCGCGGAGGCGGATCTTCTCCTCATCCATCACGCCCAGCAGGTTGTGCTTCAGGTCCGTCTTCTTAGCGGCGATAAGCGCATCAACGCCGTACAATGCCACGCGCCTGTAGGCCGTACGTGACACATTAAGCCATGCCACGCCACGCGGCCAAAGAAAAGGGCAGGACAACAGCCAAAGGATGACCCAAGTCCGGATCTAAACTCGAATAAAGGCAAAACCCAAGCAACATACATTCACGTGCCTGTAATCGCCGATGATGCGGCCGCGGCCATAGCCATCTGGCAGGCCGGTCAGAATGCCGCTCTTGCGCGCCGCTCGCATCTCATCCGTGTAGGCATCGAACACCCCGGCGTTGTGCGTCTTGCGGACAGACGTGTAAACCTGTTCAACCTGTATACCAATAGGCAATCATGTGTTGGCCAGTGCCGAGAAGCCTATACTTAGGGCAAGTGAGGAACCCGCACCTCTGCATCCGGTTGATAGCCGTAAGACTCCAGCGCCGCCTTCACCATGTTAATTCCTCCCAGCGGCTTGATCGCTCGCTTCAGGGGCTTGTCGGTTTGGAGGCCCACGACCTGCTCAAGGTCCTTGTCGATGTAGCCGGGGGGAAAGCCAGCAATGGTTGAGGGCTTGCTAGGATCAACATCCAGGACGCCCTTCTCCAACTGCAGGAGAAGAAACAAAGAGGTATATATAGGAGAGTCCGTAGAACCGGTGCAACTTGCACGGAAACATGAAGGTCACACAATCACACCGCTGTTGATTTTGGTCTTCTTAGTTTGTGCCAAGTAAGCACAATGCAAACGGCGCACTGGTACGGCAGGCAGACGGCGCACCGGCGTGGCAGGCAAACGGCGCATCGATATTGGCAGGCAAACGGCGCACCTCCAAACAAATAAGCTTTTCCAGCTCAGACCAAAGCTTTTTCGTGCGTTCCGTAGGTCCAGCGAGGAAGGATGAATCGCCACTGTAGGCCTTATAATTCTCCTGTAGTAAGAAACGAGGGTTGGAAACAATTGAAAGGGTCTCAATAGGGACGTTAGGGACGTAACAGAGGTGTCTTGTATTGCGTACCTGGACATACTTCTGAACATTAATTCCGGAATCGACCGCTGGCCTGGGGCGGGGGTCTGGCAAGTGCGGTAGTTGGTCAGGGTCATGCGGGCAGGCCAACGCCGGCTCCGCTGCGCTAGCGGCCAGGGAGCGCACAGGCCTACGTAAAATTAAAGGGAAAAATAGCTTTCACGACGCGGTAAAGGTCTAACTAATAACAAATCGTAACCATTGACATGTCAGCTGCCGTTGACAGCACCCACCCAATCGCTTGCAGGCGCAAAGATTGGGTTCCAATTCGTAGTGATCTCTGGTTGGCGCAAAGAAGAGCCTGCCTGCGAAACGCAAAGGGGCAACAGAGGACAGAAAGGTTCGGATTCCTGAATACCCCTGCAAACGCCAGGCAGCATTCCATACCTCAAAGGCACAGGTGTAGCCTTCTGCCCTCCGGCCTGCCTTGCAGGAGCACAGCGCACGGACTTCTCAAGCAGCATTTGCGACATTGAAGACAAGACCGGGAGGGCTTGGGCGCAAACAGTTACAGCAAGAGAAGATGTGTGTACAATCGACATAAACTAAATAGTCACAAGAAGCGCCACTTCTGACGTCAGTCTTTAATCCGGAAGCACAAGCGCGAAGGTAACGGACACCAATATGTCAAATTTCAGTAAGCCACAACGAATTTGCTTGGAGAGATATGATTTTATGCATGCTATGACTTTCGGCCGTGGCGCTGATTATATGCTTTGAGGAGCGCAGTACGATTACGTTATGATGCTGTGAACGTGCCGGTATCCATCCTCTCCGAGACGCACTTTCGACAATCTAATTCACCTCTGGGCAAACCCGGAACTTGCTTTTGAAGTATAACAATAAGTAGTCTGTACACAGCTTAGCTTAATTTGGTATCGCGTATGCCGGGTAATTAGTTGCATAAGCGCACAGTACTAGGTTACGATGGTCAGCTTTGCCCAAAGTGAGTCTGCTTTCCCCAGTGCAACATACGGTTCATTATTTGGTTCTCCTTTATTTGACCTTACTGCCCGAAGTACGCATGAAAGTCCAGTTGCTCATCTGTTGCTTGAGGACGCCTACTTGATGTTTAGCAGGGTGGTATCTTTTACCAAATTCTTTGCCAACGTACGTACTCTGGACACGCATCTCGGCCTGCAGAGATGCAGAGTAACATTGTCAACGGTCTGGGAGTTGGGTCTGGGGTTCGACGACATATAATTGTTCACAAATTGATATGCTCCTGTCATGCTCATATGTCGACCTGCAAAAAATGATAGCCCCTGTGCGGCGCCCATTTCCAAAAATCAGCCTCCCCTATCTTATTTGCTTGCCCCTCGGCCGGGCCCTAAAGCCCTCAAGGATAGATACCCGGAGTCTGGGCACGGGAAATTACTCTGCTCAATTCCTCGGGGCCAACCCGGGACCTCCTGAAGTTTCCTGCGACCTTTTGCTCGAGTTAGGATGTGCCAAGGTGAATGCGGTCAACGTCTCGTCATCTCTCCACACGTCAGTCGTCCGGTCGCCACCATCGCCACGCAGGAGCACCAAACAAGACGAGACATGCACAGCGCATTCTCAGCTCCGAGCACCACAGGACGTAAGTCCCAATTCCAAGGATGCCATAACGCCCGTGAATGCACGTGCCACCGTGTCCGGTGCGTGATTGGGTATTGTCGCCACCACCTCAAAGCGACCTCGCTGCTGCTGCGCGACTCTCAAGCGAGCCTGATAGCAGGAATATCGGCAGCAGCAGCAAGAACAGCAGGAACAGCTGAGGTCACCTCTCACAAAAACACAGCGGCTTCCACACAGCGGCTTCCACTGACACCGATCCGCAGATGCAGATGCCGCGCTACGGCCCTCAGCTTACGACTTACCCTGATGTTGCTGGCCCAACTACGGCCGCCCTCCGCCGCATCCTCCCGGTGGCGCTTCGCAGTCCGTTCCTCTCCCTCTGCAGCTGCACTAAAAGGTCCCACCTGCAAGGAAAGTTGAGATGAGGGGGTAGAAACATGTGCAAGAAGCGTAAGAGTAGCTATCCAAAGTCCAGAGGAGAGGATTAGGGGGGATGGCAAGTTCGAGGGCGACGCTGGGAGAAGGCGAGGAAGGGCCCAACAAGCTGTGTAACCAGCTTCTCGTGAGGTACATACAGGCAATGTGCTCCGTTTGCATGATCCCGCACCCTCGATCAGCAACGCCACGGGGTGCCAAACTCTGGCCGCGCACAAGGTTAGGTCGGCGTTGCTTTATCGTTAATTTCCGTCGTCCTAACTCGAGGCCCTATTGCCACACACCAGCAAAGGAAGCGGGGCCAGCTCTCACCCGGTGTACTCCAGCCACGAGCACTACTCACCTGCAGCGGCCAACTCACAGTCCAGGCGACCGCATCGACCTCCAGCTGTTGCTGGTACCCGCAGCCCTCCGCCTGCAACAGCCGCTTAACCTCTTGTAGGAAGTTTCGGCTGTTGAGGAAGCCGGTCTGCGTGGGCAGGGCAGGACCAATGGGGATGTACTGGTAGGGATGGTGGCGCTCTTGCTGCAGTTGTTGCTTATGTTGTTGTTGAGGGCAGTAGTTATGTAGGCATGGTCTGCTTTTGGTTGCGGCTATGGCAATAGCTAGCGGTGGTGGCCCAGCTTGTTTTATCTCAGACTCTTACATCTAACGTAATGGCAGGTATGCGTTCATCAGCTTTCTCCTCCGAGCTCGCCCCACTGAAACCGTGTGTCTCCCGACTCACGGGCGACCCAAGCACCACCCACACGAGGCCCAGCAGCACAGCGCCAACAGCTCAGCTGCGCCCGCCCTCCCGCGTCACCTACCTGCTGAACCGTAAAGCTCACATGCCGCCGGGGCAGCAACGGCATGCCCGCGGCGGCGAGGCTTGGCGCCACAACGGGCGGTGCCCGGCCCAACCGCGCTGCATCAGGGCCCGTGCTAGTGGCGGCGGCACCATGTGGCTCCACGGCGGCTGCCGTTACCGCTGTGGGCACGTCCAACCTGCGCAACGGTTGTGAGGCCTTGTTTGGGTCGACCTGCCAAGACCAGGCCACCGCCCATCGGGATGTCTTGCCCTGCGGGTGCCGCACATGTGTGTGGGGTGGGGGTGGGGGGATTATGTGCAACGGTCAGGGAAACAACTTGTCGAGATCTAAAGCATCAACAGCCGTATGTATGTATATTGTTACAGGGTGGTTAACTTCGCCAGCGGCCCCCTTTCCCGAGGCAGTCCCTGCTCTCCCCTGCTAGAGGGGCACCCTAATCCGTCACCCCATCCGACTTCAGAATGTATTCGTTGGGTTCGGCAACTCACCACCAGCATCCAACCAAATCTAGCGGATCAACGGCGCATCAACTTAGTTCCTGGTTAGCTCGCAAGTTGATTTTATCACGTCCTACATGGTCCATATGATGGGGGGCCATTTCCCTCCTTCAACACTCCTCAAACACCCGAGGAGTCGGCAGGCAGACTTGAACCCGGGTCGGCCGGGAGCAGAAGTCAGGCCTTAACCTCTGCCAGCCGCCTGCCTGTATGGCAATGCTTGGGTCTTGGGGGATAAACTGCGTGTGTAGGGTGTAGGGAGGTTGGGTTGGTGATGGTGATGATGGTATGGTGATACGGTCTACCTGGGCAAGCTCTGTGGTCCGCAACGCCGTCACATGTCGGCAGTGGAGCTCTCGTCGGAGGGCCTGTGCGCGAAGGAGGAGGAACAGTAGGAGGGGGAGGGGAGAAGACAGGTGCGACAAGAAGCCGGAAGGGAATGGGATGTTACTCTTAGGAGGTGATGTGACATCATAGAGCAATGCCTGACACGGCCGACACGGCTCTGGTATGGTAGCCCATGGCAGAGGGACGTCAAACGGCAAAACGACATGAGGGCATGCATGCAGGCAGGCAGGCAGGCAGATAGCGGCAGGCCGGGCTGTTAGCTTGACTAATCTTGGTTCATGTAGGCTTCGGGTTCCACCAGCGGAGAAGTCACGAGGCAACTCCGGTGGACAAGTCCATCCACGTGCACCTCCATCGTCCCTCCGATCTCCAGAGCCCCCCTCCACATTCGCCTCATGCACTTGCCTTCAACGTACTCTTCTTCCCGACCATAGTGCTGAACCTGCACAGTAGAGAGACGTGCAGGAGGCAAATACACGGAAAAGAAAGGGCAAAAGGCTGAACACCCCCTTGGGTGGAGGCCAACAACGCACACATACACAAACACGCACACGCATACACACACCCCTTTCTCCCAAACCACCACAGCAGCCAATTTGCGGCCGCGGCGGTGACCCATCCTCTCAACATTGTTCCAAGGTTCTCCCAGGATCGTCCCTCTTCAGGATAACCCACCAATGCACTCTGTCCCGCAGCTCCTCGCTCTCCACCAGCATCTGCAACACAAAGGCAAGCTCGCCACCAGGGCAGACCATCTCCGCGGCCGTACCTGTATGAGTGCCCGACGGGAGGAAAACAACAGTGGACCCGGACCCAGGTTATGTCCAGGTTAGGGCACGGCACCCTCGGGCCAGTCCCAAACACTCCGAACAGGGGGTCTGGGCTTCTGGTTCCGATGGTCTTTATCCCCAGAGCCCCCAGGGGTCACTGGGCCACTGACCCACCTCCACACACATGACCACTCACCTCCAAAAGCAGTGTTGGGATTTTGAGCAGCTTCCTGTAGCCGGGCCGACATGACATGCGTCAGTGCCGGGAGGGGCGGGAGGGGCGGGAGGGGTAAAGACGCGGTTACGGCAGGCAGTATAACTTGCCATGGCCTGTCCATCCTAGTCGTTGATCCGGGTTCAAAATGCCGAAGCCTCCTTCTTCCGGAGTGCTGGAATTCCCTCTCCGTCCCATAGTTACTTTGGATGTCCTCGGCGTCTTTCCGCGTCTGTGGTCGATTTCCTTACATGCTGAGCAGAAGTTAAAACGGCCCTCCCGTTCCCAGCTTCATCAAACCCCTCAACCACGGCCAACAGGTAATTTTCCTCACCTGGACTTCACCACCAGGGGCCTAACGTACCCCCCCCCACGTCCACCACATCACCTGAGACCCCGCCACCTTCCCCAGCCAGCTACCTGCATGCTCTCAAAGAAAGGCGGGTTGCACATTGTGAAGGCAAATGTCTCGCTATCGTCCGCGAACGCCGGCAGCAAGATACCCTGTGGTGGCCACCGGGCGCAAGAAGAGGGCAAAGGGGGTTACAGGCTGAAGACAAACCACCAACTGCCGGCGTCCTAAGCACTGCCCCGCTACGGCCCCAGAGTGCGCAACAGGGTGGGAGGCACGTGGACATGGGCAGGCGAGTGGGGTCAAATGCCATCACAGCGCATCTTCTCCCCTTTCCTCCACCCCTCCTCTCTCCCCTTGTTTGAATCCATGGGCTCATCATGGGCTTCCTCTCGCCTCCAACCCCACAACAATCCCTCCCTTGCCTTCCTCTTCCCTACCCGCATTTCCCTCATGCCACAACACCCAATTTTGCCGCACCGCACTTTCCTACCTGCTGCTTGCCAGTTGGACTCGCAGCATCTCCCGGCAGCCCTGCTTCCTGATCCATCCCGGACATGGCCACGGCCCCACCCTCCGCCGCCTCGGTTCCGTCGCCGCCGGTGCCCCCATCCTCCCGGTAGTCCTGCTGTTGGAGCTCGGCCGCGTGAGCCGCGCCGTCAGGACCACCGGCGGCAGAGCCACCGCGCTTGCGTCTCCTCCCGCCACCGGCTGGCCCCACGGGCCCTGCCAGCGCGGCTGCATCGGGGGCCTGGAGATCCGGATGTAGGTACGACAGATCCCGGATCTCCAATAGGGCCGCCACCTGCAATACATACCGACCCGACCGACCAGCCGATGACACAACGCATATGCCGGCCAACAGAGGCGAAGGAGGTGTAAGGCGGGAATACAGAAGTTCAAAAATGCAAAAGCATCCTTTCCAAACATCAATTGTAAACTTGGGAAGTGCACGAGAGGAGCTCAGACGGGATCCGTCATGGCCCTATCCTCAGAGAGAGTGTGTGTGTGTGTGTGCGTGTGTATGTGTGCGGCGCGCGTGTGTGTGCGTGTGTGTGTGTGTATGTGCGCGCGCGTGTGTGTGTTGTGGGAGGAGCTTGGCCCACCCAGCCCACCTCATTACCTGTGGGTTATCCTCAATGAGCTGCCGGCAACACCGCACAGCGACCTGAACGGGGTGTACGGGGATTTGCTGAAGGGGTGGACCGAGGATGGAGGACAAAGAGGGCTAGACAGGGCTTGGGGACCATAGGCCGGGACCGGGTAGCGGCGGTTTTGGAAGGAGGGGGACCTAGGAGGGAGCTCGAGGGGACCCTACCTCCCCCACACAGTTCTCTCTCCACCCCGCCCCAGTGGGCCGCCAGTGGGCATTTCCCACGGGTCGCTTTCCGTGACCCGCCAGTGCCAGTGGGGACCAGCAACGGGGCCCGGTCAGGCTCTGTACGTACAGCGCGCCACGCCCAAGCCTGCCCTCCCCCACCTCGGCCTCGCACGCACCTGCGTCACGTCAACGCCCACCATTTTCCAGCCGTACAGTACGGCACCTAGCAAGCAGTAGATGAAATTCGCGCCGCAGCCAATGTCCAGTCCGCGCAGCACCGCGCATGCGCCATCGCTGCCATCACCTCCTCCGCCGCCGCTGCAGCCTGCAACGATTCGGAAACGACCGGTGGACGACGAACGCGTTCCACAGTCCACGGAGTAAAAAAAGTGGAGGAGTGAGACGACGACTAACAAAGAGGCCATGCGGCTCTCATAGGACTCCAGATCCAAGCGCAGCAACGACCCGAAACAAACGATGATCTCGCCGGCACGATCATGGATCACATAGGGTCATATGGAGCATGTGCCGGCGCTTATCGTTACGTGTCAATCCTAAGAGCCCCTCTTCCGCATAACAGCGATATCGGCCCCCCTTTGGTCACAACATCACCAGACATCTGACTTTAAAATCCCTTTACACTCGCAATCACTAAGGAGGTGGACTTGGGGCGTGAGAGGAATGGAGGGGCAACGGAGTAATTATTGCCTCCGAAGTTTGCTATTGCTTCCAGCTTGCACCTGACAAAGGCGGCTGTGGCGGCTGTGGCGGCGCGGAGAGGTGCAGCAGGTCATTGATCCAGTGGATGTAGTTGGCTCGGTTGGGTACCGGCGGCACCAGCTGCCCCTCCGGCAGCCACCACCGCACCCCGAAATCGTGGCGCAACAGACAGGCGGTCAGGGCGCGGGTGGCCGCCCAGCTGCTCGTGTCCAGGTGTGCTCGACCCGCTGCGGAGTGCGTTCGTGTGTGGGCGAAGAACAGTGTGGACGTGTCCGGGAGGGGACCACGGTGAAGGGATTAGCGGGCAGACCAGGGGGAAGTGGTGATAAGGCGACGACGGCAATATCGCTGTACGAGGGAGGGTACATAAAACGAGTCATCGGAGAAGCGGCAGTAGCACGAGAGGGGGAGCGGCCGCGGCCGCGGGAGCACAGGCGGAAAGCTGGCACAAAGCTGGCGGCTGCAGCGTGCCAGCGTGGCGGCGGTACCTGCCGCATGTACTCACTGGTGTGGGTGAGTTGAGTGGCGGGCTGTTACTGTAAGGCAACGGAAACCCTACGACCACCCAGGATGAGGGGCCAAGCTGTAGCGTGCTTTAGGAAGAGCTTGCTGGCTAGCATGGCGGGCTGCGATGACCGCGGCTATCGTCCGTACTTGCTGTCCGTACCTGCGTCAGTGCTGACGTACGGCCGGAGCTCCTTGTACTTCTCTGCGAGTGCGGCAAAGTCCGGTTCCTGTCGGTGGTAGAGGTTGGCGGGGTGCATGCGCGCGTTGTTGGCTGCACCGCCGCGCGGTCGAGATGCTGCCGCAGCCCCAGCCAGTGCCAGGGCCTCCGCGACAGCATCGCTTTCGGCGGCGGCTACGGCGGCTGCGCCGCCGACGGCAGCGGCGACTCCGTCGACGTCGCCGTTCCCATGCAGTATTGCCGTCGTCGGACCCTCGTCGGCTGCACCATCGGCAGGGGAAAAGCTCGGGGGCTGGGCGGGATTTTCGCACAGGTGAGGGAGAGTGCTCTCGTAGCTTCGTGGCAGGCCGCGCGGCTTTTGCTGCTGTTTTGGCGCGATAGCAAAGGGACGGAAAGGCAGGCAGACCTCCCCACGCTGGCAACTTGTTTCCTAGCCACCCCCTCACCTCACCTCACCTCCGGCAGCCCTAGAGGCCGCAGCCCCCTCAGCGAATTGGGCATCCGCCATTTCCTGCAGCTGCTGCTGTTGTTGCAGCTGCTGCTCGTCCAAGGCCGCCAATGTGTACGACAGAGCCCCTTGGAGCTGTTCGTACACCTGGCCACTCGCATTTTTAGCCACCGGTGGGGAAGACGTGCGCATGGCGTCGAGAGGGTTGGTTGCGCGGGGGCTTCAAAGCTTGGGACCGGAATGTAGATTCGGAGAAAACCCTGGAAGCAGCTTGACATCTATTTCTTATGTGTAAACTGAGCGGCGAGTGCAAGGTACGTGTGCGGGTGTTTCCCTAGAACGCGCGTCTATGTCCCGCGTGATGGGAGCATGGCCGGCGGAAGAAAGGCGGCAAAACCCCACGCACACCCAGCAACCTCAGGCACCATGGTCCAAGCCAGTGTCATGAAGCAGCGCAAGAGAGGACACGCAAGCCCTGGCAAAGCTGACCGCACAGCTGCTGTTATGATGGCGATGGCGGTGGACACGCAGCTGCGGTTATGGCTGTCCAAAGGCCCTTCCCTCCCACATCACCGCTGACCCCGCCCGCCCGAAACACCTCCTTGGCTTCCTGATTGCCCGGGTCCGCGGACAGCAGCTCCTCCAAGGAGGCCAGCTGGGCGCGGTACTCAGCCACAGCGGTAAGGAGCTCGGCCTCCTGTGGGCGGGGAGAAAGACGATCCCCTAACGGGTTTGGACGGGCTCGGGTTACCGGAAGGGTTCGGACTCAGGTTATCGTCCCAAAACTAGATGGGCAAGTGGGGATGTGAGACCCGTAAGGCAATTCCAGCGGTTGGTGGACTGGTGGTTACAATTCGAGAGGTCATCGTGCTTGGGGGTTTAGACCAACCACATAGGGTTTGGGGGGTGTAGCACACACGGGCACTAGGGAGTGTGTAGATTGGAAGAGCAGAGAAGATATGGTGTCCCGCAGGTTGGCTGTGGATGCAAAAGTGCTTTGTGGTTTGGGTTTGCACTTGTGAGCGCGGGTCATGGGGCGTGGGGGCAAAGGCGCGGCGGTATCACCGACTCCCCTAACAGGAACAGTTTGCAGCGTATCCGTTACGTGGCATCGCGACCTAATTGCATGGTGCTTTGGACTACTGGGCTGGTGGGTCTAAATGGACAATGACCTCGTCCTTAGTCACACTGACAGCTTCCACAAAGAGCCACCCCTTTCACACCATAGTAGCTTCCATTTTTTATCCTGTTAGGCGATATCCCTCTTCCCAGTCTTCCGGCGTGTCCTGTCTTTACTCAATCCAAAGGAAGCACGAGCTATACAGTGGCGCACAAACCATCACGCAAAGCACGTGCATTTATGGTAAATATGGAAATCTGGGAAAGGCTTTGAATGTAGGAGCAAAGTGTTTCCCAGCAATTCTCTTTGACCGGCGCTCCGAAACGTCCTGCCGATGTAGTCAGCTGGAACAGCTCCGCCGACGTTTCAAGGTTGCGATAGTAAGTCGTTACATCTCCAATGGGGAATCCGTTCCTGAAGACGCTTTGATGTATTCAAGGTAGGACCTCCCGTGGCATAGGCTATGGGTGCCGGAGTATGTGGGAGTAGAGTACGAATGACACCTGGGCCCAAGCTTTTGGCAAGTAAAACTCCCCCAACGCCCTTTAACTGCACGGTTACAGCATTTGCAGACCTAAATCCAAATTTTATGGAGCTCTCTCTCCTAGGCTCCGCAGTTGTAAACCTGCGAGCATTCCGGGCCCCCTATTCCCCCGATAAAGTCATGATGTTGCTTCTCGCGACGGCATGATAACATACGCATCATATGGGAGTTAGAGCATGCGGATATTTCAAGGAGTCGAAACAGGGTAGCTGCCATGGCATGTGGCCTTGGGGCGGCAGTAGCTTTCGGCGGTCCAGCTTCTCGCAACGATCACATGCACTCCCTTGCATCGGTTAATAGCATGTGCTGTAAGTCATCCATGATTTCGCCAATAAATACATCAGAATGTGGGATAGCGAGGCTTATGTTTCAGATCCCCACAGAAGCCTCTTGTTTAATCCCAGTAACAAAATTTATTAGGTTTAACTTAACTAAATATAATCATTTTATGCTGACTGCACACTGAAACATACTCTACTTGTAGTTGTACACTCAGGAACTGCTCAGTAAACATGCAGACTGCATTCACACCCCAGGAGCAACAGTTGCTGGATCGTCTAAGGGAGAAATATAGTGGTCTTCAAGCGGTTCCAGCGGGTGCAGCGGACGAGGTGCGCGGCACATGCAGATGCGCGGCCCGCCGAGACCGTGCTGCGCAAGCAATAATCCTCGTCAAGCAGGCTGCGTTCACAGGCTGCGTTCTGTGAAGTTCAATGATGCGATGCAGCTCCTGAATGCAGGTCAACGCACCATGCATGAGCTGCAGCGAGGAGGCGCGCCCCGCAAGCCAGGCGGAGCTTTCTTCGAGCTCGTCTCGCAGCACGTCAAGTGTGCACGCGTCCGTCTGCGCGCACTGCCACGGAACGGGGACGCTGGTTGAAATTTACAACCACCGCCGGCTCGAGGTACGGAGCGCGAGGTACAACACACGAGGGTGTGTGCGGGCGCACTGCAGCAATTCCAGGTTCACGCCAACCGTATTTTCATCGCCTGGCGCCTAGAAATCAGGACACTGCTCTATGCACCATAGTACCGCACCCTGGGGATGTCGGCATTATGCAGTCGTGGGTAGACCCGCATGCGCACAACAGCCCTGGTTGAGACAGACACTTACCGGGACCGCCCCACGATGTGGGTTAATGGGTTAATGGGTTAAGAAATAAAGCCGGGGGCCTACCACCACGTAGCTTCCATGCCGTTTTGCTTACGGCGGTGTCCAAGTGGCTCCAAGCCCTCTTTAAATCACCCGGAGAGAGTCGGCATACGCCCCGATTGCCCTGACATGTTAAGAAAGTGCGGTCATGAAGGCGACTGCAGTCAATTTTTTCATCTCAACACTTACTCTTATAGCTAAATCTCATTGGTCGGGTCTGGCAAACCCGCGCGTTCGTGGCGGATGCGTCCTCGTCCAAACCGCCAACTGTCAACTGCCATCACATCAGAATTTCTGCAAGGACTGCGATGGGCGCGGTGTGCGTGTGTTCAAGTACGGAGAGGAGGTACAGCCCGGGGCCACGGCAGGGGGGGGCCCCCGTACTAGCAGCACCGCGGCGGCTCCTGCCGGCGTAGTGGCCCTGCACAGCAGCCACGCGGGCACTGCGGCGGCGGCGGCGGCGGCAAACAAGGGAGGTACCGGCGGCGGCGGTACCGGCACGGCCCCAGATGGCGACGAGGTGGACGCGGTCCATGGTGCCGGTGACAAGGCGGCTGCACTGCAGCGGGACTTGAGCCGTATTGCGGCCAGGGCGGCCCTTTACAGCAAGGTACGTCGAGGGCGGGGAAGAGGTAATGCAGGCACGGAGCGAGTGAATGGGAAGGGGGCCGACCCGCGAGAGTGCACGGAGGATGCACGCTCATGTGGGAGATTTCTGGCAGTCGGGCGGTCCTCAGAAAGGAGCACGGCAATTCGGTGCCGACTCTATCGAGCGTTCAGGTGAGAATGGGACTCGCCCCTCACCACCACTCCCTCCCCCAGGCGCGTGAACTCCCTGTAGTGCGGTTACGTTGGTGGTTGTGCTTTGTCCGAGTCCGCTTCCGTTACGTCATTATTCCAAGATTTGAGAGTCCTGCGTGGTCCCCCGGCCCCCTGGGTGTTCATCATGCAAACAGGAGCGCTTTGATACACTGGCGTTGCTGCAGCAGCCGCACCGCAGCGGGGCAGGCGACCAAGAAGGCCGGGATCAAGCAGCGCGAGACCTGCTGGCTCAGCTGGATTTGCAGTTGGAGAGACTCGAACTCGCGCGCCGCAAGAAGGAGCGTGCGCTAGAACGCCTAACCGGCGGCGGTGGCGATGGTGGCGGCGGCTCAGGCACCAAGTCTGCCAGTTTGAGTTTGAGTGACATCATGGGGTAGCCAGTGAGGGGGTAGGAGCGCGCGCGTAGGGAAGCGGTAGCGGCGGAAAAGCAGGGCGAGAAAGCGGGTGGCGGAAGCCGACTGCTCCGCCCGTCTGTACGGCACCTGTACGGCGGCAGTAATAGAGAGCCTGTCATCCAGACAGCACCGTTCCTGCTTTTACTCTTTTCCACCTCAAATCTGAAACTCAGCAGAGCTGTGCTTATCAAAATCAACACCCTTTGTGGAATCTGGGTTAGTCCGCAGTTTGGTGCCTTGATTTGACTATCGGTCCATTCGGCATCGCCAGTTCTGCTTACCAAAAATGGTTTCCTTGATCAGAACTTCGTTTCGACACGTCTTCCATGATAGCCACATAGCTACTAACTTCTGATCATTCGACGTTTCCTGACTTTTCGCGGCCACCGTTGTTGCCTGGCCCTCTGTCCCCCGCCACTGCACCGTGCGGGTGGGTGTGGGCTTTGTGAGAGTCGTGGTGGGGAAGCTGGTCTGTGATCATGGGGATTGTGCAGGATTTGATTCCTGGCGGCTGCAATATATGATGCTCGACAGGTGCAGAAAGGATTCTGAGGTCTGCGGACATGAGCTGTAAGGATGCTAGTGCAAGCATACACGAACGTGTGTAAGGGTGTTAGGTAGGTGGGTTTGCGCTTGCGGGATTCAGAGCCTACGCCAGAAGCACCAAAGCTCCAGGCGCCGCGGGGGGTACGCTTTGCATGAGCTGTTCGGCCAGGAGCCATGTAAGCTTAGGGTTTAAATTATGGTCCTACTTTTTTTAAAAAGGGTTTCCACATGGCCCGTTTTCTTCTGACGCCCTGGGCACGCACAGCAGCTGGACACCTGGGCACGCACAGCAGCTACGCGACATTTTCCGTGGACCCTAATCCAATCCTACCTCCGTTTGGCTCATAAAGGTACGGTACAAACTCGCACAGCCCTGACGGCGTTTGCTTCGCAGACCGCACTCCTTATAATGTTCTGAAGTTAGTTGACGAGTTTTCGGAATACGTGCGTGACCATGTCGTAACTTCGGAGCTAGCGGAGCTAGGACTTGTACGACGAGTGAGGTTGTGGCGCGCTAGCCAGACTATAAGCGGACCGAATTATTGACATTGTAAGTTTAAGTTGAAATTGAAAATCCCGATTTCTCTGGGCACACGCCGGTACCTCGGAAAGTAAAGTCAGCTTAAGCTTCCCAATTGCTAGGAGCGGCCTGGTTCCCTTTCACTCCTTGCATCGATTTAACACGGCAAGGACGCTTTAACTTGTACTTCTCGCATGGCCATCCTAACGGATTCTCATCTTGGACAGCTTTATAAAGCCAGGGCGTCTTCTAGTGCTTGCAGCACACGCAGGTAGCCTTATCCGTGGCGGACTCGGCAAGCCATGCCAGCGGCAGTAGCTCATGGCTTCAGCCGGTATGTGGATCAAAAATCATGGGTCGGCGAATGCGTATATTGCCTGAAACAGGCAATGTGAATGGCGCGGCGAAGCTGGCCATCTTGAGGCCGCCAGGTGGTTAGGCGGAAGCCCCAGACAGTATTTCATATTTCATAGTATTAAATGAAACACAACTCCACGATGAAGATGTCGGAGCCGCCGCTAGAGACAATCCAAGAAATTTCTCTTGGGTCTGAAGGACTCAACTGACTGACAACGAATGACTCAAACCGAACAAGTTATATCTTCACTCGTACGGAAGTCCAGGCATTTATTGTAACCTGCGTTATTATTGTAACCTGTAACCTGTTGCAACAAGCCGTACAACTCTACCCTCAGTCCTAGTACGGCCAAATGTCTTGGCCATTTGGAACCCGCACTTTTGGCACACTTTTACCTACTGAGGCCATCGGACACTAGACAAGAAATTTGCTAAAATGGCAACGTTTCTATTACGGCTGGCCCGCCCAGCCAGCAAGTACGGACTAAACGGCCAATCCTACGTTAGTTCAGTCGCCTCTCTGGATTGATTGGAATCAACTCGATGGACGATGAGGATGCGGATGCGGCACCAGGGCCTGGGTCCAAGGGCAAGAGGCCGGAGCTGCCCATGTTGGAATTCGGGCGCCTAGGCCAGACCCATGAAGAAATTCCATTACATCAACAGCATAAACATCACGTCCAGCATCTTCCTATGTCTTACGGCGGCGGGGCGAGTCCATCTCCACAGCCAAGCAAGCGTGTAGGCAGGTTGCGACTGGCGCGATTTGCTCACCTGGACGGTGATACAAAGGTATGTAGCATACTTGATGCTTATGGCCAACAAAGTCGCGAGAAACGCTGGAACTTCACAAAATGCTCCATTCCCGTTCCTACGACGCGCCCTACCACGTACATAAATAGGTGTTTGATTGCGAAAAAATATGCACCCTTTTCCCTCTTCTCATAGCGGATTTGAGTGTGTCCGCCCCGTGCCGGGTAGTTTGTTGTGACATAATGGGATGGGATGGGAGTTTGCAAAGCGGTGCCTAAGCTGCCCCGCTGCCCCAGGCCATTTGCAAGGACATTCAAAGACATTGTTTGAGCACCAGACCCGCACCTCGGCAGTGTCAGCCCCGCCTCGTCCCCCACGGCCTTCGCGCTGCGTCCGGCCTTCCTTCTTACCTTGCTCCATTCCCCTACCATACCACAACACTGCAGGCTAAAGTCTCCCGCAGCGTTCAAACGGCTCACGTGAAGGAGTGGCTGCATGCACACGGCTACGTGGTCAAAGCTGACAAGCTGCATCCCGCGGTGTCGCGAGTCATTGAAGAATGGTTTCAGCTTGTGGACGACGACAACTCGCGGACGCTGGAGCATGACGAGTTGCTGTCAGCCCTGAAGGTAGGCATACCTTTAGTATAATGCTGCTTTCAATACGCAGCAATCCAAGTTGGGTTCTGGCTGTTGCCCGCTGGTTACACTTTTTGATTTGTTAACAAAGTGGACGGGAAAGGATGTGTCGTACAGGTGGTTGCTTGCCCACGATAGTCGCCAGGGCTAAGCGTGGGACCCGTCCTTAGTGCTTGTCTTTGTACGCACGCAATAAGCCCGAGGGTGCTCCTGGTCGGCGCTCCATATTCAAGCCCAGCTAGTCGGCGTGGAGGATTTTTGGGCTTTGCGCCACCATGATTGGTTGCGACGTGAAGTTTCGTCTTGAGCAGCCCGAATACTGGGCCTTTGTTGCTGCGCCATTTCCACCGATGTTTCACCCTGACATACCGGAATGTGCGCGGCCCTGCTCCGGTGCGGGCGCCGGTCCGGGGGCGATTCCTTTGCCCTGGCCATGGTGGTGGGACCGGGCCACAGGCTGCGCAGATCCCTTGCGATGACGCCACAATAAGCGAAATGATCAACCTTATGGATGTGAATAAAGACGGCGTCATCGACTGGGAGGAGTTTGAGGTGTTTATGACGGAGGAGATCGCGGCGGGCAAGAGCTTGCTATCGGGCGAATATCTGCTGCCGTCGGGCACGTCCCTCAATTTTGGCGTCATGATTGGCAAGCTCAAGCGTAACAAGCTGCTCCGGGATATCATGGAGGTAAGGGGGGAAGCGTGGGATGCTTGATAATGCTTGCGACTTGGGGGACTTGGGACCCTATGTGTGCTCTACGTGTACCGTAGCAGTTCGTCTTCCTCGCTTGGGCAAGAGCTCCGAAACCGCGGGTGTCTTGGCTGCGTCACTTAGCGCCTTGACCTTCACACTCGACAGAAAATCTGTAAGGAATGTGCTTGGTTATATTTTTGTGTTGCTGCTCCTTGCTTTTTTTATTTCGTTTCTGTTGTCGCTTCAGTTATAATCTTCCCGCCACCTGGGCTCGCCGTGCAGGACCCAAGTCGGCGCAACCGGTGGGCGGCCATCGCCAACAACCCTGATGCTCTGGGTCGGGAACTGGCGACCATGCAGCAAGCCGTGGAGGCCACCACTCTGACTTTGGAGCACATGAAGCGCAGCGAAGGCAGCGCGATGCGGGGTGCCACACCCCGCACTCAGCTGGCCTCGGCGCTAGTGCGGGGCATGGATGAGGGCCGGGCCCGAGGCACGGCAGCAGGGGAGCCCGCGCGAAGCTTGGCGGTGAGGGCCGGGCGTGCGTCCAACTGCGTATCCATATCTATGTACATGCTTGTAACCGGTACACGCATCCTTCTCATCGTTTCAGCATCACTGTCATCATTGTTGCCATCCCCATCAACATTAACATTACCACTATCACCCCTGTCATCGACCACGCGGTCCGTTCCGAACTCCCCAGGTCAAGCTCCGTGCCGGGTTGCTTGGACAAGGCTGTGAGCTGTTACAACACGACCCTATATCACCTGAGCATCCCAGAAACCCCGCTCGGCACAGCCAAGGTGGCACCCACCACAGCTGCAACCCCATTCGCACGCCGCGCCGCGCCTGCCCCGACCCCGTCACCGTGCCTCTGACGCCGACGGGCTCCGAAGGCAACTTTTCGACATGCAGCTCCCGAGACCCCTTCATGCAAATGCATGTATCAGCGCAGCGAGAGCCGCGGGGCACCAGTGGCGGGGCACCAGCCGCCGCTGGCGCCATCACCAGGAATGTAGCCACGGCAGCACCACCGTGCGGTGCTGGCAGCAATGCCCACGGCGGCGGCAGAGAAGGCGGCATGGCGCACGGCTCCGCCATTTCGTATGGCGTCAGTGGCGTGGTGCCGTGTACCTCAGCCAGTGTCACCTCCCTGGGATGGTGGGCGGGGCATGGGCCGGGGCCCTCTGCCTCAGGCGCACCTCAGGCCGTCACCGCCGCCGCCGCAGCAGCAGCAGCAGGTTCTACCCAAGACTCTCCTTCCAAGTCCCCTTCGCAGGCCCTGTCGCCCGCACGCAGAAGCAATGCGCCCTTCTCCCCACGGACAGGCGGCAGCCAGGCGCCTAGCTCCCCTGTGTCCAGCCCTGGGTTGATCATTGCACGTGCCGGTAGCCGATGTGGGTCCGCTGCTAGCCGTCAGGCTGTCGACCACAGGAGCGGAGGTGGCACTTCCGCCGCCGCGGCCCACCGCGGCCGTAGCCCATCGTCTGCTACTGGCTCAAGTCCCGGTCCTGGCGCTATCCTGCCGCGCCCAGGCAGCGGCCTCCAAACGGCTCTAGCTCTAGAACCGCATTACCTTGCTGCATCTACAGCCAGCTGTCGGGCACGTGCGCGGCCGCCGTCGCGTGTAATGAGCCAGGTAAGCCTTATGGCTCAGGAGCTGCGCGCCGCGCCGGGCCGCTACTCGGCGGAGCCGCCAGGCCTACCGGCAGCCGTGCTTGCGGCGACGCGGGGACAGTGGGGCCCCGTGGGGCCCGGCTGCTCCGGCAGCGGCTCTGGCGATACGCAGGCAGGCGACGGGCTGCCGCACGCAAGCATGGATGATTTTGTAAGCAGCGTAGGACAGGCTTCCAAGCCCGGCTGTGGTGAAGGCGTGGTGGTTCCTACCCCTGTGTCAACGGGATGGGGAGTCACAGCAGCCACCAGCGGCTTCCTCTCCTCGGATGAGCGGCCGGCGTCGCCACCCCCACCGCCACTGCTACGATCGCACCGCAGCAGTTGCAGTACGTTGCCTGTACTAACAAGCCATCGACCGGAGCTTCTGGACTGCACCGTCATCGATGAGGAGCGTGGCAGTGTGGGAAAGGCAGATGTTGCGGTGTTGGGCACAACCAGCCGTGCAACCTTGGACAGTGGGACCAGCAGTAGAAGTTACAAGGCTGGTGCTACGGCTGCTGCAGCACCCAGCCTTCCCGAAGTTCCATCGCATGTGCTAATGCGGCTACCGGGGACTGTGGCATTGGAGAACCCCGCATCGCCTGGGGGGGCGCTCTCAGCGGCGGTGCATCTCCTGGGGCACACAGCATCTCCTTTGCCCGAGCCGGCAACAAATCCTGTGAATATCAGTATGGCCCCCTGCGCATCTGGGGACCCGCGTGAGGTTAGCTCACGTCCCTCCTGCAGTGCCGCCGGTTTGAGCCCGTACGCTTTATGGCAGTGCCAGGGCCCGATAGCCACCGTCGCCGCCGTCGGCACTATCACCACCGCTGTTGCACCACAGCTAACGGGAATGCCGACCAGCATGCAGGGCGCCGTATTGAGCGACACCGTTACTGCTTCAACAACCACGACAACTGTCACGAGCGGAAGTAAAGCATTAAAGCCCACTTCCATTATGCTGCGTATCAGCCCAGGGGCCGCTGCACACACTGGTGGTGTGACGGCTCGGTATGGCGACACCAGCCGCGGTGATGGCGCGCCGGTTGCTTCGCCAACACTTTTGCTGCGTCAACGCAGGGTCTCTCGCGGCGGAAAGCAGCGGGGTTCTGAAGGGAGCGGCAGCGGCAGCACACGGGGCTCCACGGCAGATGGTGCGCTGCCCTATGCCACGCACGGATCAGCCGCCACTGCCGCGCTGGATGGACCGGTCTCAGGAGTCGAAAAAGGTGCAAAGTACGGCCCGAATACGCTGGGAATCCCAACAGACGAGGCCGCCGCTAGTTTTTGGCTGCATCACAGCCATGACGGGGAATGCCTGTACGCCGGGGACGATTCGTGTGATGTCGATGGCGAGGGCGTTGGACACGTTTGGAGCCCTGGTCGCAAGGCGCCAAGGAAGGCCTCTGTGCCGAGCGGCGACGGCGGCGGGGGTCGGAAGCGCACCTGGATGCGGAGCAGACCCCAGGCAAGTGGGAGCGGCGATGGCGCAGGTGCACGGCACCGCAGGGAGGCAGCGGCGACGGCGGCAGTGGCAACGTTACTGCTCGACTCGATGCGCTCCAGTGCAGCCGCCAGCGGCGGTGCCGCCTCATCTGCCCCGGGATCTGCCTTAAGAGCCAGCAAGTCCCGCTCCAGCCCCCTGCCTTCGGCGCCAGCCTCCCCGGACGGCCGCGCCCCGGGCGGTGCCGCATCTCAGGGAACTGACGCCGGCGCCACCAGTAGTAATTGCCGTGGAGACGCCAACGGTAGCCCTGTACGGCCAACGCAGTCCTTGATAGGGCCGCCGGAGGGCAGGCCGCCCTCACGCACTAGAACGCCTCTGGGCGCCAGAGGGGACCGCGAGGTGCGTGTAGGGGGTACACAGTAATGTAGGGTACACAGTTCTGGTTCCGGTTCTCGGGGTTGGAATTAGCCCGACACGTGAGGCCAAAAGGAGGGTGGCCGCGCATCTGCGATGTGATTGTGCACTCCGCAGCCGTAGAGAGTCCCTGCCGGTACCATCCACTTTGCGTGATTGGGTGCATGGTGTCCGCTCTGCACATCGACTGAACTGCGGCACGTGCTTATGAATTACATGGATGTGCACATGGACACATTGTATTTGCATCTACGTCGCGTATATGCAGGACTCGTTGGACTACAGCTGGCGGGCCGCCACAGCGAGCCTGCTACAGCTGCATATGACCCACCAGTTGAACGACCCGGCTGACGGCCGGAGAGCTTGACAGCCTAAGGACCCCACTCAGAACGCTCTACGGTAGAGAGAAAGAACAGTGTTCCCGTGTGATGCCAATGCCCCGCGTTTGATTTGTTGAGACATGCATTCGAGATGTGAGGAGCCGCGCATCCGCGGACAGCAGGAGAGAACACTTTTATTATAAGCGCACCAAAGCTGCGTCATCGACGGCACTGGATAGCATGTTGTTGTAGCAGATACACAGGGCTTGTTAGTAGTTGGTGTTGACCAAGTTCGTAGCGGCATTTGTTTTAACGAGCAATATATATAAGCGCTAGTCGTTCTTACGTAAAGTAGTGCCATAGACTAATCCGTCTGCATCAGTGCAGGCCCCTGCAACATTTTTCCTCCCCGGACTGACTGTCCTCCAGAGGAAGGCAGGCGGCATTTAGCTGTGTATTTAGCTGGGCGGTTTATTTGGCTCCTTGTCCATTCACCGCCCAGGCCGTAGGGGGCAATCTGGTAGCGGTGGAATACGGTGTGCAGTAGGGGAAGAGAATGAACCGCATACCACTGAGAGGACGACTGATATTGGCATACCAATCCTCTTGCATGGAGTGGCGAGTGCATCCCGGTTTTGTGACGTTGTGACACGCGCGACACGCATTCACAATCGTTTCGTTGCGCTGAGAGAAACTATTTCTTTTCGTTTGTTTTATCATGTGGTTAGGTGATCGTGCTGAAATTGAGTTCTGACGGATTGGGGCAATGCGAGCGGGATGAGAGGGCCGGGCAAGACGGCCCGAGGTGTATGTGCCGTGACGCCCCGAGGTTGTGAAGTGTCTAAGCATAGATGTCGGCAATAAGCGTGCGCTGTGCCGTGCTCATACCGTGCAGCAATTGATGGCGGCCGCAGCCGGCTTGAAGCGGTAGTATAGGCAGCGTACAAAACGTGCGTTACAGTCTAGTGGACGTGGAGCGAAAGGCAGCGCACAGCAGCTGAGAGGCGCAATATGTAACTGAACACATATACGTTTACGTTGCTATGATTCCATGCTCTTGCGTCGGGCAGTGCGACGACACCGTCAAACATATCACCGAACCGATAGTATCGGGAAATTCAGGATCCCCTGGGCCGCCTGGGCCTCGTTACTTCTTGGCCTTCTTCTTTCCCGCAACGGGCTTCTTGTCAAGGGGAGCCTTTTCAGATACTGAGAAAATCTTGTCGGCTGCTTTTTGACCTGCAAGGATAATGAAGTTGTTTCGGAATCATCGCGTTTGCGTGCAAGTCTTGAACCCGTTTGCAGCCATAAGCACGCCATGGGAACCTTGCCTGGGTTCAGCGCGAGAGGCACAATCGCGGTTGCCACCAAAGAAATGACCACGGCCCTGTCAAATGCCAAGACCAAGTAACGTAAGATGGCCGCAAGCTCTGTCCAAATAATGGAAACCCACTTATAATCTCCTTCATACTTACGCTCCTACGACGACACCAATTGGTGCATCAACGTCACCCACAGCAGCGACAGTCGACAAGAGCTGACTGCGACAGAGAGTCTTGCGGCTCGGAGTCGCACTAATCGCAACAGGATTACGAGCTATCGATAGGCTCTTCTTGCTAGGCAGAGAAACGATATTTCTGGTCGCAGCGAGAGCCATTGTATTTGTTGCTTTTGCTTGCACAAATTAATCTTGCTGATGTAGCAACAATTATCCTCTGATAATATTTCAGACAAATTTCAAACAGGTACATTAATAGATCGAAACCACGTCAGCTTGACTTCGGAGCAAATCCCATCGTATCGATGGCATCAATAAGGAGCTATCCTCTGATATTAGAGATGTCATATGGTTTGCCCACGGGGCCATCCATAGGCCATGGTTACTAATGATCCGCTTTGGGCACTCCCCGAGGTCACTCTGAGTCTCGGCTGGTGACAGAATGCATCACTATCTTGTCCCACGGTCACCACGCTAGGCACTGCATATCAGGTTTCCCGCATGTCATACTCTTGCCTTAGCTTTGAGCTCTGGTTGTAGCCGGTTGAGAAGTTTCCATTTCAACGGATTTTCAGTTGTAGTGATCGGTGTCTTGGGTCTTGGGTAATGACCCTGTTCCTGCAGGTCCGAAATCAAGTCTACGCCGTGGATCGTGCCATGCTCATCCCCTACGTTCGTCTCGAGCGTACCTCAGGCAGGCTTCGCCAACGCCTAGCGCCTAACTTCCCACGCCATACGGCCATATAATAGAGTTCCTGTGAACTGAGTGAATACATGGGAATTACATGGCATTTCTGAGGATCGTCGGGATGCTCATTCAATACTGTTTAGCCGGCGCCAGGCCGTGCAAAACCCGCAACGACCAGAAACACACCTCTGCACAGCACTACGAAGGGGTAATTCGTGGACAGGGGGATCCGAGGCACCGAGGGAGGACTCAGATCGCTCAGGGTAAGTTAGCGGGCACAACAGGGCAATTAACCGTTGAAAACAGTTATCCTCAAACAGAAAAGTTATGCCGCTCGTCGACTGCTGTGTAAGTTAGTTCTAACATGAGACGGGCTGCGTGTGATGAGCTGTGTGACCTTCCATTTCTGCAACTTGCTCTACCGTAGTTTGCAGTGTAGGGACTGCAATGGTGCCCTCAGTGGTGGCTGTAAGAAGTGATTGCTGTGCAGGCTAAGCAGCCAGTCCAGCAAGCCCGATTTCCAGTGAATGGGGTTAGCCGTGTTGCGGGACATTCGTCAACGATTTCAAATAGGTGTATGTTCCCAACCGTCAGGGCCCAAAGCCGCCGCCATCCACACCCATCCGCCATTCGCCATCTTTTCCTTCACCGCCAGCCGCGTGGAACTGTTATTGGAAAACTATCCACCCTTCATTCAAAATATAGATCCACGCATTAAGCTCGTTGATAAATTAGGTGGCTTCTCTGAGGAGGAGCCCCACCCTCTGGTTGAGGAGGCATTAAAGGGCTTCTTGCATCGCAGGTTCCACTGCTAATATGGCTCCTGTTCGGATCACCGTCCAGTAAACGCCCGCCAGTTGCCGCAAGCCCTCCGTCAGGACCAGCAAAAGGCAGGACCAGCAAAAGCAACAGCAGCAAAACACGGCCGCAACAGAAGTAGCAGCAAGTCGCTGCAGAAGCTGCCAAAGATGCGATGCTGAGGCAAGCCAACCGCGCCTGGCTGTCCTCGGCGTGTCAGCATGCACCCCACTGCCCCCAACACATATGCATGCACCTAACATCGTTACGACACATCGCCACCCCGCATTACATCGCAGGCAAGTCAGCCAGCACCTAGGGCACCTGGCGGCATCCCCTGGCAGGGGCACAAACACACCAAATGTATAACCAATCTTCGATAGCAGCCGATTCCAATATAACTGATTGCAATCCGAGATGTGGACTGAGTTCCCAAAATGAACTGGACCTATGTGGATAGCTTCGAAGCGCCTTGCGAGCCATAAGTACGACACGTCTGGGACCCCAAAACACATACGCCATCATATACCATCATGGACAGGTCGGCACCATTGTACGGCATCTTTATGTTTGGTCTTCCCGGGCCCCTGCTTTATCTTCTGTCCTGAATGGCGCGCACCCATAAAGCACATTGACATACTTGGCACATGGCAAAACCGACAGCACACAATGGCCACCCGGGGCAGTGCTACTGCCTGCCGTGGATGGTATATGTGTACAATGCCGGAATAAACAGAATGCGAGACGACCAATGGATGCATGGGCGTATGCACATGTATGGATGAACTCACAGTACTTGGGGGAAACCGCCGACATACATACATACATACACCAGATCGCACGATTTATGCGGGGAGGTGAGGTCCTCCCCAACAAGCATATGACTTACCGCGCCCTCGCTGTTCCCCTATCGAGGGGTACCCCACCCCACCCCACCCACACCGCCGCCAAGCCCTAAGTTAAATGCCACCGCCACCGCCGCCACTGCTGCTCCCTCCGACTCCGATTCCGCCTCCTACCACGTTGCCCTCCGCTGGCGGCGCTGAGTGACGGTAGCCCGTGGCGGAGGCCCCGAGAGCCTGTCTGTCCTCCGTTGCTAGGGGACCTACTGCGACCTGGTCCCAGAGCTTCCTAAGGGACTCCCGGTGGCTCAACAGCTCCAGCGTATCTGGATTGGCTGACATGCACCTGCGCGCGTATGGGTGGGTGGGGGAAATTCGTGGGGACATGCGGTGCGGTGTGGAGGTGTGGTGTGGGGAGGTATGGTGTGGGGAGTTGAAGGGGAACGAAGGTGGGTGGGTGGGTGCGGTGTCACCGGGTCGTCGGGAGGATGAGCCATTGGGGCGCCATTGGACCCGGCGAGATGTCAAAATCCAGGGAGGGAGGGACAACTGCGCAAGGAGTCGAAGAAGACTGCTCCCATAAAGTAATAATTTTGGGCCGTTACATTCTACGTGCTCAGACACGTGCATCCACCAGACCAGACCAGACCACAACAACACACCGAAACAAGTCCTATGACAGCCCTTGGCCAGCGCCCTGGCCCGACCAGGTGATGCAACAGCACACTTGCACACTTGCACAAGTTTACCCTTTCGATTGGCGGTCAATCTTTTTTCCACGTGCAGTTATGTTTCATAACATCTAAACACACATATATACCGACTGACTGCAGTAAGCCAGGTATCCCAGTACTACCGCAGCACGTACCTCACGAGTGCCTGGTCTAGCAGAGCAGTCGAAGCCACCGGTGACGCCCCTCCCGGGGCCCGATCGCCGACAGCTCCGTCACTGCAGCCATCGTCGCTTCCCCCCCGAACCACCACTACACCACGAGCCCCCGGCAGCGTCAATGCGTCCGCGGACGTGCAGTGCTGCAGCGTCGGCAATGCATTAACGACCGCCATGGGGTCAATCATTACTTTATGTTGATGCTGTTGTTTGTTGTGGGCGCTGCCGCCGCGGGCAGAGAGGTCCCCCCCCGATGACGTGGGCCTCGATGCTGCAGCGGCCGCCGCTGGCAACCTGCCCGGAAGTGGTGGCACCTGCGCCGCACCCAGGCCTGGCTTGCTCTGCTGCGCGGCGTCGTGTGTATTGCAACCGTCCGTTGCTGGCCCCGACGACGGCAAAGAGAACGCCGCTGCTTCCTGCAATCCTTTCGTCTTTCGTGCCACTCCAGGGAGCGATCCCGACGTCAGCGTCGGCTGCTCCTTTATGGGCTGTAGCATCGGCGGTGGCGAGTGGTGATGCGAGCTGCTGGTGGTGGCTGTTGGGTCCCATGCCGCCGCCGCCGCCGCCGCCACCGCCGCGCAGGTAGCGGGTGGCTGGCTCTGTGGTATGCTCATGAGGAGCACGGGGGGCGGAGTGGCGTAGCTCAGCGCAAGAGAGCTCCGGCAGAAGCCTATCACGCCGCCGCCGCCGCCGCTGCCTTCCGCCGCAGAGGTGCGCATGAAGGCATCTGAATGCCTGATGAATCCGCCGCTGTCTCTGTTAAGGGGAGGGGGGACGCGGGCGGGAGGTATATTGCCGGGATGGTGGATTGTCCTGGATGGAGATGGAGAGCGAGGGAGTGAGGGTGTTTTGAAGCGTTGGGACTTAGCGCCTACGAGCTGTGGCACAGTGGATTCAGACTCGCCATACAAGGCTTAAAAAGCAAGATACCCACTTCTGTCACACAGCCTCCACTTACCCTTTCAGTCTGACCCGCTTCTGATCCAGTAGACGTAGGAAGGTGAGGTGGTCGGCGCCCTCGGGTTTGTGAGCGCGAAGTGCGTAGTGCAGGCCGTGGACTCGACTGTGGGTTTGGAGACGAAGTGGAGAAGACGTACACACAGCGGGGGAAGATCCGGGGGGAGACGACGGGTAACGCAACTCGGGACGTCATACACACACGTTGTGTGATAAGACAACTCGGATATCCGGGATCGCAGCTGGGAAGATTATCAAGGGGATAGGCTTTTGCTTTAGAGTGTGTGTAAGGCCGTACGAATGGCCGTAAGCATGCTATTAAAAATAGAGGGAAAGCGGATATCAAAGGCAAATCTTGCACTTCGACAGGCACTTCGACAGGCACTTCGACAGGCACTTCGACAGGCACTTCGACAGGCACTTCGACAGCACAACCAAACCCTGGCCAGCATCGGCATAAGGAGCCTATGTGTTGCTCCATTAAAACATGCGCACATAGCTACGGTATACATCACGTTGCCTAAGCCGACCGAAAGCTTAGCAGGTTCATAAAGGCTCATTAATGCTTGCCAAAGTGGAGGAAAGGGGGTTGCGACACAGAGCCTTGTAACCACCCGAACCCACCGTAGTTGCGCCAGCTCGCGCATCCTGCGGCGCACGGAGATCTCAATCTCTCTGTGCGCCCGCTGTGCGTCGCCGTCCGCCGCGGTGATGAAGGGGTGTCTGAGCACCTCCGCACACGAGGGACGGTCCCGTGGGTCGTCCGCCAACATGGCCAGCAGCAGCTCCCGGGCGGCGGAGGACAGCGACAGAAAGCTGTAGGGGGAGGTAGGCGGGCGGTGGTCAGGGGATTGGGAAGGGAGACGGGGTTGGACGCCGGGAAGGAGAAGAACAAGAGGTGTTGATGTTCATGGTGACAGGCCGTAGGGGGGTTGGGGGAGAGACAGACCGTAGGGACCGGGGGGCCGTGGTGGGGGTAGAGAACGGATGCAGGGGATGGGCGGTGACTTGTGTGGCCCGTTGACAACCCCATTGGGTTTAGTAACCCCTGTACACAGGCACCCACGCACCGTTCGTCCTTCAGGCCGGGTGCCTCTTTTATGCTCTTATTGCAATACGTCATCAAGCGGATATCCTGACCGCTGTGGGGCTTACGGCCTGTAGAATGGGGTGCGGGGTGTGGGGGAGGGAGGGAGGGAGGAGGCGGTGGGTTTCCACCCTAGAGAGAGGGGAGCGTGAATGAGGCCGGATCGGTGCATGGCGGTGGGGTTTGGGCCAGAGGGGATTGCCAGGAAGTCCGGGGCGCGGCAGCGCATAGGGCCCATCCCCAGGGCCCTTAACTGGGGTTCGACATTGAATGGCGCCCCGTCCCACGTGTTGGCAAAGTACCGCGCGACACGGCGTGGCATGGCAAACTCCCTCTCCCCTTTTCGTTCAAGTGTGCCATGTGAGTCCCGTCTTTTCCATCCGTCAGATTTCCCCTCATCCCGCTCCATACGCGGCACTCGCCTGTTAGCATGATGAACAGCACCACCCCCAATGCATAAATGTCACCGGCGGGCTGCGACGGAGGAAAGCCAGAGGAGGAGGGGCCACAGGGGTAAATGAACACGGAAGAGGAAGAGCCGCAGGGGCTCGGAAGAGGGTCAGGTGGGCAACTGATACATTAAATTGGGAAAGATGAGAACTGCCGGGGGGTTGTTAGCTGGGGACTTGGAGGAGAAGAGGACCGCAATGAGAAGGGAGGGAGGCTGGAACAATGGAAGATGCTCCTGCTGCTCGGAGGTGGGATGACCGATAATAAGGGGGGCAGACTCGAAGGAGGGTCCCGAAGGTGGAAAAGGGCGTTAAGGAAGGGCGATGTCGCCTCGTTACGCTGGTCAGGCGTTCAAGAAGGAGCTGTCAACAGCATCACCACGCGGCCGCAGGCTGGGGGGTTGGGCTGGGTTGGGGGTGGATGAACCTGGAGCTTAGGTGTGTGCACTCGCAAACGCCAGCAGGGTTGACCACCCTCCCTCTTTGCCCCCGTTCCCCCTTCCCTGACTCCCCCCATGTGCTCCACCCACCGTGTGCGGCTGGTCATTCCAAATCTCTGAATATGAGAGGTAGGGGGAAAGGCGTCGGGGGACAAGGGGACCGGCGGCGTTGGTGGGTTCAAAGGTTGAAGGGGGGTGTCCGGCGGTAGAAACAATTCTCAGCGACGCAGCCCACAGCCGTGTTAGCTTCGACCGCCCGCGACACCGCCTCAGAAGCCCCACATACAACCCCCCACACATAGAACCCTTTCCTCTGGAAGCCCACCCCCCCTTATTCGCGCCTCCTACCTGCCATCCGCTCCACTTGCACCCACCCACCCATCACCCACCCGCTTCCTGAGCCCGTCAACTGCGACAAAATGCATAAGCCTCCATTCTTGAAGGGTTTCACGTTCCCGCTCGCTCGCGCCCGGGTAACTTAATTTTTTTCCGTGTTTAACTGCCCTTTCATTAACCTCGGCAACCTTTCGCAGCGGCCCCTCTCTCACCCGTTTCCACTCCTCCTGAAAGCCCAACGCCCAACATAAAGCCGCGCAGCACACTGCCTCCACTTATCCGCGGTCGCATACCACCCTCCGCCGCACCGCTGCGCAGTACTTCCACTGCGCTGAGCGCAGACCCTTCGGCCCCCTCCGCCGGCCCCACTCCGGCAATCTCACCGCATCCGGCGGCCCCACTCCTATGCTATAGGGGCCCTGTAACGTGCACTCGGGTGCATGTCCACCTAGGGGACACTCCGCCGTGTCCCGTTTGGCTCGCCGTGATTGTAACAGCCCGCGGCCTTTGCAATCGCCCACTACCTCCCCCTTCCCCTCCCCCCGCCTTCCTTACCCTCCCCTCCGCATTACACCACATCAGCAGCACCCGCTTACCCGGGGGCACAAACCCTGGAGTGCCGATACAGCCACGAATGGGCTGTAGCCGACAAGGAGAGCCGCAGGCCAAGGTTCAAGGTTCAAGACACGGGTGAGGGGGCGTGGGCGGGGCATGGAGTTAGGAAGCGGACAAACGAGTAAGGGCGGGCAAGTGGTTCGGGAACAGGGAATGATGTGCAGTACTTCGCAAAGTTCAGCAATAACTGCCATTAGCAGCTTTGGCCAAAGATATAAACATCACAGCCGCCACAACACCCGCCAGTGCATGTCTCCCTGCTGCTGCGGCACACGCACCTTTTCCGGGTTGTACAGAGCTGCCATGCCCATGTCAATGACCTTGACCCGCAGGGGTCGACCCAGTGCCTCACACTCCTCCACCGCATTGACGAACATCACGTTCTCGGGCTGCGAAGGGATCGGGGGGATGGAAGTGATGCGGCTTGAGGAGTTGCTTGAGGGGCGGGGATCGAGTGGTGGTTTGAGTGGTGAGCAACTGTATTACATGTGCTCAGTACAGTGCGAGGTGTAGTGCAGTCTTAAATATTTGCACTACATTTTTATAATGTAGGCTGCCTTTCAAGCATTTTGACTTTTTTTACGGAGGGGCCCGGACGTTCAGGTCATGCCAACAAGATGGCGACCTCAGACCTTACCCGTCACCCGTGTGCACGTACGCGGCGCGTGTCCGTGTCCAGGTCCCAGCAAAATCTTCCCTGCCTCTGAGTGCTGAATGCTTCGCAGCTTCCCTCCCTTCCAGCAAGTCGCTTTCCCCATATCCTGAACCTACCTCCCTACCTCCCTACCTACCTAGGCTCAGGGCCCTTACACCACCTTACCTTAATGTCCCGGTGTATGAGGTTGAGGTTGTGCAGGTAGGAGATCGCGGAAACCACCTTCAGCACTCCAGGGAGGGGGAGGACGGAGGAAGGGAGAGGGGGAAGGGAGGGGGGGAGGTGGATCGGGAGAAGCAATATATGCCATATGAAGGAAAGCACAGTAAAGCACCACAGAAGCCTGAGAGGCTGAAAAACGCAAAGGTCGACGATCCAAAATATGCTAAACATCCTCTGCCATATCGTGACGTGATATTTCCTACTAGCTGCGCTTTGGTGCGTTTTCTTCCCCGTCAGCATACGGGCGTAACGGACGCACGTATAGATCCTTCCTGGGACGGAATATGTCCATGTCGCTCCCATTCCTGGGCATCTCAACCTGGGCTCAGGTCGCCCCGTTACGCTGGCTGGATCTGGCCATGTTGATCGACCGCTGAAACACACGATCATGCACCCACCTGTGCAAAAAGCTTGGCCGCTTCCGCCTCCGTGTACTTCATCACCTTGTGCAGGTGGTCCATAATCTGCCGGGGCAGGGAGCGCGGGTCGGTGGGTTCGGGCGGTGTATCACAACACTTATTATTTACACGCACATACACAAACAGCGCCAGGCCTCCTCGCGGTTAAGATCATCTAAACAGGTCCCAGCCCGCCAGCAACCCGCGCAAGATGTTTCCTGGGGATGGCCCCCGAGCTGCACGAGCCGCACGGGCAATGAATGGAAACGCCGAGCATCAGGATTCGAGAGCCATCGACGGCCAGAGCCTTACCTCCCCGCCGGACAAGTATTCAAGCACCAGCAGGAGCCTGCAAACCATACAGCACACAGTGCCTGCCAGTCAGTGACCTCACCCGCGCAACATGATCGCACTATCCCCATCTGCGTTGTTTTCAAAGGGCCCCTCCCTGGTGGCTTCAAGCATCCCTGCTCCCGTAGAGACCATCGAGCCCCAGTGAAGATGTAAGAAATGTAAGGCGGCTGGCGGCTGTAGGCTGGGGGGATTGATAACAGCTTGGTGCACGCCGGGTGGTGTGTAGAGGCTCAGCATGACCCATGCAGCGTATCCCCTGGTCAGCCGCTCGCCTGCGTGCTTGTTGGGAATCGAAACCTTGCTCCAAATAAAGCATCATCCCCGACATTCTCCCTCTCGGCCCTGTCACCATCGCCTTCGTATCCCTCACTCGCCTCCGCAATCAGGCACCGCTCGCCTCCGCTGCATCCCTCCCTCGCCTCCTCACTTCTCGAACTTTCCCTGAACGACCCAAAGCCCACCAACCTCACCAGTCCTTGTTCGCGGCCGTCTCATGGCAGCTCAGCAGGAAGGGGCAGTCCAGCGAGCGCAGGAATTTGGCCTCCGCAATCAGGCACCCCACCTCCTCAGCCTCCAGATCGGGGTTGGTAAGATCAACTACCTTGATAGCGACCTTGGTACGGCTATCGTTCAACCGCTCAGCTAACCATATCTCGGAAAAACCGCCCTGGATGGGTGGTCGGTTGGCCCAGACAGACAGACACAAGTTACTTGACCGGGCAGGCGGTAAAAGCTGGGAGGTCGCAACAACACGGAGTAGTGGCCCGTGGGGTCAAACCGGGAGTGAAACGAAGGAGACGGCACAGTTGCGGCCAGGCCCCCACTGCCCTTCCCCCGGGGCGACAGAGGTCTTTCCCCGGGGGTGGGGGCACGGGAAATAAGGTCCGCCTGTTGCTTCAGGCTGTGTAACACCCAGGCAACCTTTCGCCACCTAGCCACACAGCCGGTCCGTCAGCCAGTCAATTGGTCAGCCAGTTAGTCTGCCAGTCAGTCTGTCAATATGTCAGTCAGTCTGTCTGTCAGTCAGTCAGCTAGTCAGCCAGTCTGTCAGTTAGTCAGTCAGTTAGTCAGCCAGCCCAAACCCCCCCATCCGTAGTGGCCCCGCAATGAGTGCTTGGAGGGATAGCGCACGAAGGCGGACAGCCCGGGTAAAGGGAAAAGCTCCCGGCGCCGCCGACCGTACTTGTGCACTGCATTGTCGTACCCACGTGGCTCACCCTCCCTATGGGTTTGACGAGCTCGTACTTGGACAGCAGGGGCAGCTCCCGCCAGCTGGTCTTGGGCCTAAGGAAAGCCGTGGCGCCGCCACACAGGGGCCCAGTGGGGGCGCAAAGGCCAAGGAGTGGGATGTCATGGGCAGTATGAGGGGTTACGGGGCGGAGGAGCTCGGGAACCTGCCCCATACGGACCAGGTGACTTAGCGTATCCACAGGCTGCGGCTCAATAATTATAAGACAGCGCAGAGCGGCATTGGATAGCGAGCCGCAGAGAACATTCTGCCCATGCAATATGCGTGCTGCACGTGACTGGCCATCTATCCGGCCAGCAAGCACATTTGGGTTAGCATAGCCTGAATGCAGCTGAGTGCACACCACCGCATGGGGTGAAGCGCTGCAGAGCAGCTGCTTTTGGGGAGTAGAAAAAAGCCAAACTCATTCAGGCAGCGAATTTGGAGCTTAGGACCCCGAGCCAATCGTCCCGAAGGCCTTCCATGGGTGCCGCTCCTCGCCACCCCTGGCTTCACCTTTTCGGCCGCCGTTCCACGGGTTCCTTGTCCGTAAAGGCCGTGTAGTCCGCAGGGAGGCAAGCTCCGAAGCACATAGCCAGCCACTCGGTCGCGGCCCTGCCTCCTAAAAGCGTCATTATGTCTTTGATGGTAGATCCGTTGGGATGGTCTTTGCCTAAAGTAGCTATGTTTGCGATACGCCTCGGCTGCCAGTTTGCGGCGAAATGGTTAGCACTGTCAAGTGGGATGAAAGATAAGCTTAAGTAAGGCTTTTGCTGTGAACTGTAACTAGCAAACGCATTGCAGTCAATACTTTATTCGTTAAGGAAAGGTCCATGCACTTGAATTCTTCAATGTAGCCGTCAAACGTGGAATTGAGCAAGAGACATTGCGTTTTAAATATTATTGGGACAGCCGCAGTATGTTGTAAGTAAAAACTGCTAACATTATGCGTTTTAGGATACACTGTACGGCAATAATACTGACCTGCGCTTATCGTTACGCTGATTTCCGCGCCGAGCGCTGATAACGCTGAGATTCCCCAAATGAAATTTGTGGACATCTATAAATATACCTTCAGCTTATTCTTTACGAGTGGACTTGCTTACGGCGGTGCTTGGATTTGCCCTGTTTCATTTCTGCTCGCTTCTCATTCATTTTAGATTTTAGAAAAACATCGACAAGCAGCGTGTGCCCCTGATTAGTAATGTGACATTTAATGCCCAAACACATTTCGTTTATAACTGGCATTCTGGGGAGCTAAGGATGCATCCCCGAGTTAGGGTGGCCCAGCCAATTGGGGAGACAACGTTCATTGCTCCCCAATGAAACTGGGGCCGATCACTGGACTGAGCCAAAAATGTCCCTAAAAACGCTTTTTTTTAACATTTCGCCCCTTAAAGACGCCTGCACTGTGCGTATCAAGTTCAAGCCCCAATTGTCAAACCTACATGCCGTACCATAGGCACTGCGCCATTTTCGCCAAAAGGCTACATTTTTGGAATGGAATTTATTAAACATCTTAGTCGATAGCTCTAGTGCTAGGTAATGAGACATAAGCAAATCAGTGCACAGCTCTGTCAGTGGTTTGAACGTGAAGGTGCTACATTCTACCTACTACGACGGATGTTTGTTGAAAAAGCTTAATTTGGCATATGTTATGTGCTGCGCTTCATCATATTTTATCGTGTCGAGAGCCAGTGTCCTAAGCTGCGGCCTTCAAACTTGCTTGACTTTTCGCTGGCGCTCCAACTCAAGCGGAGAATTTATGCGCTTATCAAGTGACTCCTTAATTTATTATGCAAACATTGATCCCGACATTGATGACGATTAGGGGGACGGAGCCGGGGGACGTGGCCAAAGCACCAAAACCTCCAGTGGCAGGTTTAGGCTGGAGAAGACGGCTACAGAAATGCAAAGAATGGTGGATGTCAAACCCGTGATATGCCCAGAATACAACACACCAGCAACCGCCACCCCCACCGCCGGCCCAGCAGCACCGCCAACCGCTGCTGCCACAGCAGGAGCAGGAGGGTGCAGACGAGGACGGGCAGTCACCACTAGCTGCACATCTGGGCGCTGGGGACCCGTCGGATGTAACAGTGACTGGCAATGTTTGTCCATCGCAAGACCAGGGGATTTGCTCCTCAATGGTGGTGTAGAGGAAGCTTAGCCAGGGCCACAATCTATGCATTCAGTGCACTCTAATGCGAACTTTAAGCTGAACCTTCAGTGTACACAAAGGGTTACCTCCAGCTACCCCGGCGTCGGTTCCTCATCAGCAACGGGTGCGTTCTGGCAGGTCTGGGTAACCCAGCAGCATCACAGGATATTGGCACGAACTCCTGCTCCAAATTCAACGCAAATAAGCAGCAGAGTCCTAAAAGGTCAATACAAATTTGGGAATGTCTTGCTGAAGAGCTGTCACTATTTTCCTTCAGTCTTTCTTGATCTCTTGTGCAGAACCTCACTCGGCACTTGGGGCCAAGCTGTGTCGCCATGGCATGCTTCAATGCCGAGTTCACCTCTTTGGGGGGCGAACGGCATGCATACTGCACCTCAACGGTGCAATCGCTTTTATGCTTGGGTACGGTGGTAAATTTCTGGTGGTACGACATCGCGTGCTTCTGGGACCGCTTGCATACGAAGTGGCTGACGGAGCAGGGTCCAGACATGCAAGAACGTGGACGGTGCACGACTTGCCTTATCCATCCCTTCCTGGCATCGCCTGGCATCGCTTCACACACATGAAGGGGCTATTTTTTCTGCTTGGGCACTGTTGCATGCGACTGTGTCACCATGAACCAGCGCCTCCAAAGGGGTCCTCCCGAAAGTGGCATGGTTTTCACCCTTCACTGCTATTCATGCCAGAAGGCATTCGGGCATCTCCTTGTGGAAGAAGTGGGGAGAGGAACTGGCGAGCCAGTTGAGGTCTGGGACAGTGTTGTGGGGGCAAATGGAGCTGTCACCCAGTACATGGGCCTAAGCAACCGCGAGTCACACCTGGAGCATGTAGGTATTACATACTATATTTCTTATGATGGATACATTTCCTGTCGATCTTTCCATTCCGCTTGGCACGGTTGATGGACAAGTTCGCTGGAGCTAAACCAATGCGTACTGCCTATTTTGCCGCCTTTTCTGTCAGATTTATGTCAGATCTATGGCTCCGATCCCCTGGGTCCGATGGCGAGCAGGACACTGTCATGGATGCCTACAAGTAAATGCCGCCTAAGGCGGAAGTTCATACTCGAAGTATGGGCGGGGGTCTTAGCACAGGCTACGACTGCCACCATTGCAGCACAAAGGCCATCTCCGCACTCATATGCCGCGGGCGGAAGGCCAGCACGTCGAACTGCTGCATGAGGGTTTAATGCCACCAGGATAAGTTGCTTCCGTCGTGCCTCAGGGAAATGTCCAGGGACGCGTTACTGTCTGGCAGTCAGTCCACTTCCGTTGGAGTGGTGCCGAAGTGAATGCGACACTGCCGGGACCACTTGGTTTGCACGACAACGCTGACAGGCTGCTCCCAGAGGAGTATGGTGATCGGGCAACTTTGGCCCCCATGCTGCCCAGGTTAGCTGCATCGGGGGCATTTCCTGGCTGCTGCCAAGACTGCATCCGTGATAGCCGTGCATTGCGCTGCAAGCAATGCCTTGCAAGCATTGTCCTGAACCAAGTCCTGAAAGTATGCAGAGGCTAAATCCTCGCTGTACGGCAGCGGACGCGCTTCAGGAGCTGCCTGGAGAGGCTCCACTCCGCCTCCACGGGTCCTGAGCCCGCTGGAAGCCACACTTCGTCATCCGCATTAATTTCCAGGATGTTCTAGTTTATTTTGTCGAGCAAACAGTTATAAGCGCTGCTATTGTTGTCCAAGGGGTTTGGAAGCCTAGCCGCACAGCGGCTGTGGTACAGCATGTAGATTTGAACGATTGGGGCTTGATCTTGATGCGCACAGTGCAGGCGTCTATAATGGGCAGAAGTTTTTAAAGCAGCGTATTGGGGACGGTTAGGCTCAGCTTTCTGGTCGGTCCCAGAGCAATTCTGATTGGGGAGCAATTGGATCCACGAACAGGCGAGACCAGGCGAACGTTGCCTCCTCAATTGGCTAGGCTATCCATCCTTGGGAATACATCCATAGCAATTTGCATGACATACTAAGGCAAAAGGTTATGCCGTCGGTACACTTTTTACACAGATGGATGGTGATGAGTCAACTAACTCCCCTTGCTCGCACCAGAACGAGACCATCGCCCGCCGTACCGGCTCTGGTGGTGTTGCTGTGGCTGTAAGATCGAAATCCGCCAGGAATGCCTGCTCAAGCTCGTGCTGGATCTGCAGGTGTGCCATAGTGCGTGCTTGTTCGAAAATGCCCACGGCTTCCATAAACCCATTTCATGGTCCTCGCCGCGTCCTGAGCATACCCAACATAATCGATGAGAACACTGTATATGCCTCACATGTGAAATTGGAAAGCGAACACCGTGCCCCGATGACTCAGCGGTAATTTGAGTAGGAGGGAATAGGTGTAGGAGCTAGCATCTTTATTAACTGAGAATGCATAAACAAAGAGGAATTGGAGTTCTGCAGCAAAGGGCGGCGTTGCATTTGCCATATAACACAAAATCGTACGTTTGGTCGCTGGAAGTCTAATCGTAGCAGAGTTTGACTTACCCCAACGTTGCAATTACTTGTAGCCAATTGTATTGAGACAAATATGCTGTTACTTCAGGCATTAATTTTGCGAGATTTCGGGATGCCGGAGAACGTAGAGCCTCCAAACGCGTAGTCAAGGCAGTCTCACTTGTAGCACCACATACATTTTGCACATCAGTTCATGTAAATGGGCGCAGGGGCGTCTGCTCAGTCGGCGATTTTTGGGCCCCCAGACGGGACAACCGACCCAGAAGCTGAATGGCGCTCGGAAAAAGTGCGAGAGCTTGATCGATTGGGAGGTATGCGTTTGAGAGATATTTTGAGCATACAAGGCTTCGGTTGCTGCCAAGCTTTTGGCTCAATTCCCTCCGTATGTTCATTGCTAACCCCGCAGGGAACCAACGGCCTGCTCTTAAGCGCGGACAAAGCACGAAATATCGCTTGGAATGGTTAAAGGTAGGGGGCTTTCATAAGTGACCTTGCGCTGCTTGATGGGGTGCCCTGCCGTGGGCTGTCACAGTGACAGTTTGCGTGTCGGTGGCCACGCAGGAGGCCGTGCACGAACAGGGCAACCGCCTCGAAGAAGCTCTCGCGAAGGATCCCCTTGCCGGCAGGTATACAATTTGTCAGTGCCGGTGCCATGAGGCGCATGTGTCGGGCCAAACGTATGCCGTTCGGACTGTATATTCCTCCGCTGCTGCACAATGCCGCAGGCATGAAATCATGCGTCAAGAGGCGATGAAACTTGCGCGCAGTTTGAACGTGAACCGCCACCATTTCACGGTTCGTGAATGGCAGACTATGAAACACAATGACCTCAGGTATGGCTTTCAGTTCTCTGGAACGCTAAGAATTCCGCTCTCCTTTGATCTAATCTTCCTAAAGCCCATCTTAAATACGTCGGCGTCGGGCATTCCATAGGCTCTTGAAACACCGCAACGGCGGCGTGAACGGCGCGGCCATTCCAACTCCCGGAGTATGGGTCCGCAACAGTACCTTGTTACAGCACCTCCGAAACCGCACAGAGAAACGTACATTAGCCATTTTCACACGTAAAACCCTGTCGCAACCAGAGCGCCACTCGTGCATATACACCCAGCCGTCACCTCGTCCGCCGCGTGCAATCCACATTGCCGACACCTCAAACATTTCCGCTCCAACTTGGCGCACTTTTTGCATTCATGATCTGCTCGCCCCGTTTGATCATCTACCTCTTAAATGGCCCCAGGCTTCTTACCTGCTTCCTATTGGCTGACCTATTCGTGCGCTGTACGGGTTGCAAGTCACTAGTAACGCCTGACCAGGGGGAATTACACGACCCAAAAAGGTTTCGGATCTCGAGCGTCGAAGGCCTCCTGCATCACAGGCATCTACAGGGACTTCCAGGGCGTCGTGCCCTGGACCCCCGATGGACCCTTTTTGCACCTTTCCCATGCGCTCCCGCCCTCCCCACCCTCCCCTGCCTTTTCAGGGCCCAACAGGCGCGCGAGGAGCTGGAGCGCCGGCTGCAAGATCGCGACAAGCGCGACAAGTCACATGAGTCTGACCAGGACCGCCCAGCCTGGAATTCGCTGTACTGGTCTCAAAATGATTACGTCCGGAGGCCGCAACCGAAGCCGGAAGCGGTGCAGCAAGGTTCTTCGAAGCCGGGCTCTTCCCCGGGCTCTTCCCCGGGTCGCAGCAAGCCAGCGGGGGCGAGGACGGCGGAAACAGAGGCGGAGGACGAAGCGGCGGAAGCGACGGCGGCGCCAGCGCGAGCGGGGCCTATAGTACCCGTGCCAGCAGGCCTCCTCGGCGCGTTTCCTGCCGCGCCGTCCGAAACGTAAGGCCGCTGCCTTACATTTTTGCAAGCGTTTCTGTGCGCAAGGAGGAGGGAATATCGCTTGCTGTGCCTGAAAACCCACAGTGCGGGTGTATCAACTCCGGGGATTGCCTTGGGTTGTGCAATCTGTTCTCCCATAGCGCGGAAGCAAATGGCGCGGACCGAACTGAAGCCGACAGATAAATTTCGCACACCCGTATTCCGCCTGCACCTGAACCGCAGGGGAGATGATTCTGAGATGCCTCGCGTCGTGCGGCCCCTGGCGGCTTACCGGCCAGGAGGTGGGCCGGGGACGGGCCCACCTGTTTCTGAATGTGGGAGCATGCGGAGGAGGGCGTTTATTAGGTGGTGGTGGTGGGCGTGGGCGTGTGGCCCCCTTCCATGGCCGTTCCAGGATGGGCCAAGGCTGTGTGGCATTGCCCAGAATTGTGGGGACGCCGTACAGTGTCCGCCGTAAGTGTGGTACCTATCTTATACGGCATATAACGAATCCGTTTCTGATGGATCCGGATCCAGATGGCGTGGCGAGGTAAGCCCACCCTCCCTAGTTTTCTCACCGGGCTTTTGCCTCATGGAAGTGCCCCGCTGCCCCCAAACCACCGGTGTTGCTGTCGGCCCCCATCGGTGCCGCCGCCGCTGCTGTAGCCGAACCCGCGGAATGGCGGCTGCGCATTCTACGCGCCAAGCGCAAGGCCATGATGGTGATCAGCGTCGTGCTGGCGTTCCGTGGCCGCAAGTACCGCGCCCGGGGGCTTCAGCGCCTTGATTCGCTGTCGTACTTCATCGCGCAACACCTGGGCACCGACTTGGAGCGATTCGTGGAGGAGCAGGGGACATACCGGGTCACGCGGGTTGCGGCGGCCGAATTGCAGGCGCGTTGGAGGGCTGGAGGAGGGGATGAGAACCAAAGGAAAAGAAGCGCAAATATTTCAGTCGGCCCTACCCGGTGGTTTTGGGACGGATACGAGGAAGGAACATCGTTTATGGTATTGGCTATCAGTCGGTGGTGGTGATAATGAGAGTGCCTGGGGCTCATTACCCCTGCTGATTTGGTCCCCCGCGTCTCCATCTTCCTTTGAAGCGGCTTTCCTTCTTCTGGGCGCTGCCTGTGGAAAACGCAGGCGCTGGCGGAGGAGGTGTGGCGGGAGAAGAACCACCGAGATATGCCTCAGTCTCCGATGTTCGATGCCGATCCGGACGAGTCATCCGACCCTATTCCTACCGTGACCTTTGCCGGGTCATCCCGGGGCCCCCTCCCTAGCCCTGCCTTTAAGGCACCACCGTCACCGCAGCAGCAGCAGCAGCAGCGACTGCCGGCAGGCACGTCAGGCGGCGGCGGGCCGTCGTCCACGGGGCCCCCCGGAGCCGGCCGCGCCGGGTCGCCGTTGCTGCGGTCGCGGCCGATTAACCTGACGCCCACGTTGCACCACACTCAGACGGTGAGGCGGAGTGGAGGAGGTGCAGAGGGTCTGGGGGAGGCACATGTTGGCGAGCCTGAGCGCGATGTGTGACGAACTAGGCGGTAGTAGGAAGCCGCCTCCTACCTCCTCACCGACATCACGCCGCCACCCCAATCCCGACACAGGCCGGTGCTGGCGCGACGCCGGCGCTCCCCACCGCGTCCTCGTCAGGAGCTGGCGGCGCCGGCTCCTCACGGAGTGCCCTGCCGGCCGGTGCTGCGTCTGGTGGTGGCGCCGCTGCTACCGCTGGTACTGCCGGTGTGGCTGCTGGCGGCGGCGCCGGCACCGGCTCCAGCAGCCCGTTGCCCGTACTCCGCGGCCAGAGTGAGCGCAGGTCATCGGGGTTGGTGCCCCCACCGGGGCTGGAGGGCGAGAGCTCCGCCGGCACAGTCGCTGCCGGGGGCAATGCGACGGTGAGTCTTGCGGGTGGAAAGAACATTCGCTTTTCTGCGCCGGGTTCCGAGGTTGGGCCTGGGGCGGCGGGTGAGGACGACGGCACCGTCAGCACCAGCGACGCTGTACCTGCACTGTCGCCGACGGCGGCAGCGGCGACGGCGGCGTCTGGGAATGGCGGCAAGCGCTGGGAGTCGCCGCGCTTTGCTCGCCGCACAGGCGGCGAGTTCGGTGAGGTAAAAGTACGCCACTCGATTGGTCCGACAAACGCAAGTGGGATCTCCGCAACCGTCCTCCGCCGGCCTTCAGCGATAGCCATGTTGACCGATGATACGGCCACGGTAGCGCGGGCGCGATCTTGGAATGGGCCCCCGGGGGGCCAGCCGGTGCCACATGCGCGCAGCGCGGGCCCCGACAACACACCGTCACCGCCGTCACCTATGGGCCGCCAGCTGCGTAAGCACCGCGAGTCAGGGCTGGGCTTGACGGGGAGCGCATCCACCACGTCGTTGCCGCAGGCGGGCGTGGCACACCCGGCCGTCACGCGCAGCCCAACGGCGTCGGCCGATGGTTACATCCATGCACCGGCGGCGGTGACCGCGGCTGCGGCACGGAACAAAACAAGCCGCTATAACGGCGGTGGTGTGGTGCGCATCGCCAGCGCGACGCCATCTAGTGGCGGCGGCGCCGCGGCGCGCCGAGCGGGCCGTGTCCGTGGCAGCGCGCCGGGCGACGGGGACCGGTCGGTGCTGCGCTCTGTGTCGCCTTACGCAGAACGGCCGCGCAGTGTGGCGGGAGCGAGGGCGCTGCGCTGCAGCAGCACCATTCGCCGGATGGTGCATGACGGCAGCAGCGACCAGCTGTTCCTGAGGTACCAGGAGGAGGTGAGGCGGGAGGTCAAGGCAGGGCAGGCCAAGAAACAGAACGGTATACATATGGCAGAGAAAAAAAGACGTATTGGTCCGGGGCGACGCAAGAAGTGGGCCGAACATGGGGGGGTATCTGCGGCGGCGGCGGCGGCGGCGCGGCATGCGTTCCGGCGGTGAAAGGATGTAGCTCTAAGGCACGGCGCACATGGAGCAGCTCCTCCTAAAACACCCGGTGTTGTGCTTCCAGGAGCTGAGTGCCTTCCCTCGGGTTATATCTCGGCGCGCCAGAGGTATAAAGTTACTCCTCCTGCCGCGACAGGACTCCGCACCTGTCGACCACTTGTGTACACTCCTGTGCGCTACCTTACCCAGAGACATACATACACACACACGCCACAACTGTTCAACATCTGTTCAACACGTCGCTATAGACTACGGAGCTCGCTTCCGTGCAGCACCATAATTCTCTCATAAACACACCGCGCGCACGTTCCTGTCCTCGCCGTTCGCGCACGCTCAAGTTCTTTTCCCGTCTGTTCCTTGCCCTTCCTAAACCCCCTTGCTGTCCTAGGCGGCTGCCCTGGAGCGCCCACTCCGAATGATGCACCTGTTCGCCAACCGCGCCAACGCGCGGTGGGTGGAGGAGCTGGCCGGCTCCTCATCCCCGCCCGTCTCCCACTCGAATTCCTACAATACCTTAACAGCGGTGGGCGGCACAACCGCCGGTAACGCCGCCGCCGTGCCGTCGGGCCCCGGCTGGGAGCCGCCGCACGTGTACGACGGGACGCGGTTCTCCGCCTCTGTGGGCGCCGCTCAGGCTTCCGTGTTTAGGGCGGAGGTGGCGACGATGCTTCGAGCGGGGCGCATGGCGGTGCAGGTGGGCATGAGCGATGGGTGCGGTCCTGTGGACTGGAGGTGGCACTGAGGGCCTTTTGGATCTCGCCTGCTCGTGGGCTTCGGTGTAATGGAAGGATACGAGGATTGGGACGACGGTCCTCCAATGCGGATGAGGGTTGGGGGGTTGGAGCCCTAATTAGAACGAACTCGGGAAGGGTGAGGAAGGCGGGTGAGGAAGGCGGGTGAGGAAGGCGGGTGAGGAAGGCGGGATGAGGAAGGCGGGATGAGGAAGGCGGGATGAGGAAGGCGGGATGAGGAAGGCGGGATGAAGCTGCTGGTGCGAAGGGAAGGCCGGGGGTTAGGCCGGGGTGGGGTTGAACGCGGGGGCCTCCCAATCGCGTTTGGCCTTTGTTTCTTGAACGCGTCTCTTGAACGCCATGGAGGTTTTGCCGTCCCTGAACTGGATTGCCCTCTGCCTCTGCTTGGCCCGCCTGACCTTCCACCTCGCTGTCTGATACCTGCCTCCCTCCCTCCCTCCCTTTCTCACGCCCGCAGGTTCTGGCGGGAGAGGAGTACATAACGATGGGCGATGGTCAGCAGCAACAAGCGCTGTGGGACGCCGACCCGTGGGACCTCATCGCGACAACGTTTCCTGCCAAGGTAAAGGACTTCCTCCTCCTTCCTGCTGTCTTTCCTGCCGTTAGTTCGCACATTGCTTGCTGTCCCTCGTCGTAACCTGCTTAATGAGTATTAGCTTTGTCGGCAATGTGCGTCCTACGAGCGGACTTCCTACTTATTTACCACCTCCTATTCACCTCGTTTATGTCCTTTCCCTCCCCCTGGTCTTTCTGCTTGTGCTCCTCCTCCTCCTCCCCCTCGTCGTCGTCGTCGTCGTCCCAATCCCCTTCCTGCGCCTCCTCCCCCATCCTTCACTTCACTTGATACGACCAGCTGCGTCGTTGCGTCCTTTTGGACGTCAGTAGGCATTTGTTTCTTTGCCTTTTGCGTCGTCATATTATTTGCCAGCCTCCTCTTCTCCTCCCCTTCCTCCTCCTCCGCTTCTGGATACATACCTCCTATCCCTCTTGTCTTGCTCCTCCTCCAGGTTGCCGCTGCTGACCGAGTTCGTCACGTGCACATGGGCCCCCGGCTGCTGATGGCGCTGGTGGCTGCGGTGGAGGCGCTGGCGGGACCGGAGGCGGTGTCACGGCTGGTGGTAGTGCTGCACGTGAACGATGCGCAGAAGACAGAGGTGGTGCGGGAGCTGAGGTTTCGGAAGTTCTGCGGGTGAGCGGAGAGAGAGGGCGGGAGGGAGGTTGCGGAGGCTGCGGAACCCATTGGGAGGGATTGGGAAGGGTAATGAAGGGGAGGAGGTCGGCTGGTGGATGGGGATTGTGGGGGGAGGAGGTAGAAGGTGGAGGGTGGAGCATTTGCGTGTGCTCGGACTCCTGCCTCGCAGGTTACGGTTCTTGTGGCGGGTGTGTGATTTGGGACGGGTTGTAGGCGGACGAGCGTGGGTAAAGAGGAGGGGGTTTCGCGCAGTGGGCCCCGACGATTGATGGACATTATGGGGGAGGAGTGGCGGAGGCAGAAGAGGGAGGGATCACGGGTGAGGTCGGTCCTAGTGATGTGGGGTACCTTTCTCCCCATGCAAGACAAATATCGGAATTTTAATGGGGCTGGCTGAGCTTGCGGAAACCAACGGGCAGCCACCTCACCACTTGTGGAGGGCTCTGTGGAGGGCGTTGGCACCGTCGATCTCTTTCATCCTTGCCTCCTCATATGACAGCCCTCATGCACCACGTCGCCCCACGCCGATCTGACTCCCGATCCTGTCCGCGGCCACTTCACCGCATCCCTCAGGCTGCGGCCTGAGAACCTCGTCTTGGTGGTCCAGCAGCGGCGACCTGGCTACTACTGGGACCCCGTACAGACCATCTTCGTGCCCGACCCCAACTCGCCGCCCGTCTCTGCGGGGAGCGGCTACGCCCTGATGCAGCTGGTCTGGCCAGAAGAGGCGCTACGGGTTGCACGTGACACGCCAAGGACCAGCGTGGTTTCCAAGGCAGAGGCACCCTCCTGGGCGAGTGCCGGCGGCTCCGCGACCGCTGCCGCCACGGCGGCGGCGGCAGCGGCGGTGGCGGAGCCACCGCCGCTGGTGCCTCTTGGCATGTCGGTACTGGATTTCATGGCGCAGCGCGGAATCGAATGGCTGCTGACACGGCGCCTGCGGGACATCAACCTGTACAATCCGGATCTGACGTTGGATTCGGAGGTACTGTCGTACATGCTGTACTTGCACGACCACATGGGCGCGAACATAGGCCTACAGGTGGAAGTAGTGGACAGCCTGACTGCTGCCCGGGCCGCGCAGACGGGCGTTGTGATGGCGCCGCCGCGGCAGCGGCGCACCAACAGCACCGGGTCGGGTGCGGCAGCGGCAGCAGCTGCGTCAGCGCTATCGTCGTCCATGCGCCTTGGCGCGCCACTGCCTCCGCGCCGCGCCGCAACGTATACGACTGGAGGCGGCGCTGGCGCTGGCCCTGGCCCTGGCGGAGGGCCGTATCGTGCGGGCAGCGACGTGGGAGCGGTATCACAGCCGGAGGGTGGCAGCGTGGGGGCCGGCCCTGGCGGTCCATTGCACCCGCACATGGTGGTGGATGTGAAAAACAGCGACCTGGGGGTAGGTACCCCACTTTCCCTTGCGGTGCCTCGGGGCCTCTTTCCTCTCTTACCCAGCCTCGTCCTGACCGTCCGTTGCGATGTCGCATGGAGGTCTTGTTTTCTGGCCCTTAATCTCGCGCTTTGGTTGCCTTGCACCTCTACCCCTTCGCTCCCCCCGGGGCCGGCTGTCCCGCGCGCTCCTCTTCATTTCCCCTTCGCCCTTTTCCCTGCACCACCCTCACGCAGACCCCCCGCACGATCCAGCTGCTGACGGAGCTGCGCACCCAGGCCAAGGGCAAGCTGGCAGTCAGCACTCGGAGGTACCTGTGGCGAGTGGATGTCCTGCAGAGTGAGTGTGATGGTGGTGAAGGTAGTCGGTAAACGTCGTGAGGGCATCCTTCTGGGTCCTAGTCGACTTGGCACTTCACCAGTTGGCAAGTCACCAGTTGGCACCTCACCAGTTGGCATATCAGCCGTTCCAAAACATCATTCCATAGCCAAGCCAACTGACTCAAACTTCCCGAACCGTTAGTGACCCAAATCTCTTAATCGTGATGATGGCTACAAGACAACTACCGCTGTGATCCCCGATAACCAGAAGCCCATATCCGAAAAGGAGTGCGCTATCCCACCTGTACCCTCCCTTCCTGGGGATTCCATCCTCTTTTCCTCCATTCCCGCAGTAGTTGCGTTGCCCTCGTTTCCTCTTAACCCCTGATAGTTCCGTGTCGTCGTTCCTTTACTCGTTATTCCTTATACGATTTATTGTTGCGTTTCTCTCTGTCCCGTGGTAAATCCTCTTCATCCCATCAGGTCTAATCCAGCGCAGCAGCATCTTTCACCCCAGCTTGGAGGTAGCGGGGGACGTGGCGTACCTCACCTTTGACATGGCCGACCTCACGGCAGCCACTGAATGGGGCGCGCGCTGCGTGGCGGTATCTGCCGGCGGCCGGCCCATCCGCAACCTGAACACGCTGAGCGAATTGGAGGACCTGCTTATCGCTGTCCAGGCACAGGTAAGGGAGGGCGTGCGCGCGGCGACATGGCGGTGAGGAGGGTGTTCCGGAAAAGGAACTTCGCGAACCAGGATACGTCATCGAAGTGGAGAGGAAAGGGAACAAGCCTTGCTTTGCTGAAATGAAACACGTCTCAAGGGATCCGACCCGATCGAATCCATGCCCGCACCAGCAGCCGGTGTGTTGCTGGTTGCTGGTTTTTTTACTTGACCTGTATGAAACGGTGTACAGCACCGTTTGTTCCCCCCGGTTTGAAGAGTCTCTCACCTCCTCCCCGACCCCGTCCGTCTCCTCCCCTTCAGTCTGACCCTACCCGAACGTCTGCCCGACCGCATCCTGCTGTGTCCCCTTCCTTCAATTAACTGAGCCTCCTCCCGATGAATCCGCCGGTGCTCTGAGTGTGCGAGTCCCTCGTTTTTACCATGCGGATCTGGCTGATCCCGCCCTTCCCTCCTCCCAGGACGCACACGCGCCTTTCCGCCGCTTGGCTGGCAACGTCACTCCCGCGTTCGGTCTCGCGCACGGCGCCACGGACTCGCCGCATGCCCCGCACGCCATCACCCTCCACCCCGCTGTCATCGGCGGCGGTGGCGGCGGTGCTGCCGCCGGCGGCCAGGACCCTTCCGCCTCCTCGCCTACCTCCGGCGCTGGCGTTGGGCCCGTGGCTGACCTCCGCAACATCGCCCCCGGCCAGTGCATTGTCATACTAGTGGCTGAGAATGAGAGTACGAGCATGGCCGTACAGTTGGTGATGGCGCTGGTAAAGCCCGGCAGGGATCGGGTGGTTCTGGTGACGGTGGTGCCGTCGGTGCTGCAGGAGTCGGCAGGACGGCTGTTGCTGCGAAAGCACGAGATGTCGATCATGAAGACCATGGTGGACGTGTCCGCACAGTTGCTGGTGGGTTGGCGCATGACTGACCTCCTGCTTGTCTGTCCGTCTGTTTAACTGTCCGTCCCATTATCGGTGTAGCAGCTGGCGTTCCTGTCTGTACACCTGTCTGTCTGTCTGATTGTCACTGTACGATACAACACCGACACTTTTGGATATCTGCCTGCCCTTTCTGTCCCCCTCGCGTGTGGAAACCGATGAACCGCGCCAACGCTCCACCACTGCCGCCACATCCGTCTTCGAACCGCCTTGGTAATCTTGATAAAATTTCCAACCTCCATCTCTGGTAACTTTCCGCTTGCGTCTCCAACCTCCACCGTCACTTTCACTTTCACCTCCAGACGAAGAACCCCGGTAGCAATCTCATTGACCAGCTGGAAGCGTTCATTGACGACGTAGGCCCCCAGCTCGTCGTCATGGGCAGCCAGATGCTCGCCACGTCGCAGGGCCTCGCACACGGCCAAGCTGCAGCCATGTCCAGCAGCGGCGGCGCCGGCGGCGGAGGCGGCGCTGGAGCTTCCTTGGGCAGTCTGGGGGCCATCTACAGCTCCGGCGCAAGCTTCAGCGGCGGCGCGGGCGGTGGCAGCCATGGCGGTGCAGGGTCGACAGTTCTGGGTAGCATAACGGTATCAATGCTGCGCAACCTGACGCGGCCTATGCTGATTGTCAAGGTGAGGAGGATGAGATGAATGGTGGGGTGGGGTGGGAGAGAGCACGAGGAAGGAGGTGGCCAGGTGTTCAGCTGCGTGTGTGACATACCACCAGCGCCCGTTGGGGGCATCGCCACACAACCACCGTGCCACATGGTCCTGCTAACCTGCGTGGTGCTTTTTCCCTTGCTTGTAATAAGAACGCACGGAAAAACACCTTAGGGTTAATTCTTATAGGTAACTTGAATGAAATGGAGAAAGGTTGGGTGGGGGGAAGGGTTCTGAGGGGTTCACAGGAGACCCCCTTCCCCGGGTGTTCCTCTCTTCATGTTCCCTTCATGCGTGTGTCCAGCCGCGTGGAAGGAAAGGTCACTGCATCTCTCCATTATCTAGAGTCTGTGATGCAAAATGCGTACCGGTGCTCATGTTTTTCATTCCTTGTCCTGCAGGCCAATGCCAAGTTCGCTTCGCTCGTCTGGGACAAGGACAAGCTGCGCATGCTCCTAGAGGTGCACCACAGCAGCCGCAACATGTTGCGGTACGTGTGCTCCAAACTGGTGACGCCTACACGCCACGACAAGATTTTTCTCACGCGCGGTGGCGCCAGAGACGCTTCACAGATGGAAATCACGACCAGGTGGGTGTTGGGGTGGTGGTGGGATAATTCTGGATGCTTGGAGATAATTCAGGAGTGCTCACGTTACCGCGCTCCCTTCCCTTCCCCTCCCCTCCTGCCCCACGCGCGGCCTGCCGGCCTACCCAATCGCCTGCTCTCCGATGTGTTGTCCTGCGCTAACCCTGCCGAGCCTGGGGATCTCCCACCCGTCTTTCCATTCCGCATTTCTCAACAGTTTCCTCACCTTTTACTAGCGCCCCTTCACCTTCCTTGCTCGCCCGCACTCCCCGGGCAGTCGGCGGCTGCTGGAGAACTTTTCCGACATCGCGACGCAGTACAAGGTGTCGGCGGTGAAGCGCGCTCTGGAGGAGCCCTTCGAGTCGGGGGCCATCAAGTGGGCCGAGCACGACAAGGTCCACCTCATCGCCGTGCACGTGAGTGAAAGGGGGAGGGACGGGGGAAGAGGGGCGGGGTTATCACCACGTGGAGAAAAATATCCAAAATTATCAGTGCATATGCCTCCCAGGAGAGAGGGAAGCAGGGAGAGCAGCCTGCAGGGAGGGGAAATGGAAAGAGGGGGGCTTTGCAGCTTTACAAAGGAAAATGGGAGCAGGAAAAGGTTTGGGAAAGCAAGACGCTGGTCCCGTCTCTCGTATGCAACAAGCACGCGTGTTCCCCTTCCGCAGGCGCCTGCAGGCCGCGGCCTCGCCAACTCCACCTTCCAAATCCTGCGGGCAGCACGCAGCGCTGTGCTCGTGTACAAGTCCAACGACCCTAATTGAACGATATGGCGCTGGATGGGCTGTACAGCTTGCTTTTACTAATCGCTCCAATAATACCTGGCTAGCTAATCGGCTGGCTGGCTGGTTGCTCTCTTTTCCTCCCTCCCTCTTTCTCTTGGTTCTGCGAGCTTTCGGTACTTGTCTAGCGATGCCTATCTATCTACCAAACTACATATCGCATTTTCATGACCGATTCATGTTTTAGCATGTTCATCCCCTGTACATATTAAGTGCATGATTGAGGCTGTAGGAAAACCTTGAGATTCATCGGGGTTCGGGGGAACTATGTGCTCAAAGTGGAGGGAACCTTCTAGCAGCGCGAGTGAGCTAGCTCGTCATCGCCACTATGGTGCCGTACGTGCAATAAGCGGCGCGAATGTGAATGTTCGCGTCAGGGTCGGTACGAGTATGCGGACTAAGAGCTCTGACCTTGAGTTTATGTTGAACTTGGAGATCGACGGCGCGTCCTGCGTTGTGAATCGTATTTTTTGCCAGCCCTTCCTGGGCTGTGCCGTGTTTCTCTCCCTTTCTTTCCATTCTTCGTCTTCCTACACTGCTCGAGCGTGCTGACAGTTGCCTCGAGGCGAACTAATCAGCACTGTGGGCAATTGGGGGGAATATTGATTGTGTAAAGTACAGGCAAACGGGGACGGAGAAGGGGGGCAGATTTGATTCATTGTTGGAGTCATCCGTGCGCACTTCCCTGCACGTTGGTACGAAGGATAAGGATGCGGGCGCTACGCAGGTGATCTTTACTGAGTTATCACTTCGACAAATTCTGGTAAATTAACACTTGCCCCACGGATCATGTACCATGCAGGGTATGCTTGCATAATCAGTGGTTCGATATTAGTAGTTGAAGATGGTTTCGAGAAACTGCTGTGTTGGGGGTTTACACATCGCAAGGCTGTGAATGCATTCGCGGGGGGTTCAGTTCCAACATCCCCATGGCCGTAATGCGGTGGGGATGTGGGGGGCTGTTTGGGGGAGTACATACCGGGTAGAGGTGCGCGGGTAGAGGTGTGAAGAGGTATGCAGAAGCAGCCGGCGACGAATGCTACAGCTACAGCTATGAGCTGCTGGGGGATTTGCTTCAGGTTTAGCAGTCCGGGAGGCCTTTTGCTCATCGATTTTTCCTAAATAGTTCATCGTCATTGGACTGGCCTGGACTGGAGTGGAGTGATCTAGAGTGGACTAGCATGGGATCTTGGTTCTGGCGGGAAGCTTTGGAAAAGGGAGGAAATTGCTAACATTTTGGTGTGCTTCAAGCGTCCTTATGTATTCTTTTTTTCCGAAGCCGTCACCGTGGTGCGCAGCATTTGCGTGGTGTTGTGGCGGTGGTGGTGACGTGAGTGTTCCTGCTCCTCCTGAAGGGTGTTTCCGCCGCCGCAGCGGGTGCGATACGGCACATTCAAGACCTCTCATCTTATCTCTCTGCAACATTTATTGGTATGTACGTCGGACTGTGTGTGGCCCAGAGAACGGAACCAGTGGGGATTTTCGCACGGCGGTGATGTCCGTCCAGCACGACGCGGCAGATGAGGATCCGTAACTGGAGTATAGGCGTCAATAGGATGTGGGTCGTTAGTCCGTCTCCGTTTCTGGATTGTGTGGCGGAGATGGGTCCTATCTTGACGCGTCGCATTACGAGGGGTATGCACGGGGGATGCTGGTGCTAGTTGCCCGCTGCAACATGGCGGGCAAAACGCCCGCTGGAGCGGACAGCAAGGGCTGCTTCTAATCAGCAATGTCCAAGCACTACGTAGGCTGCTTTCTTATGGTTGGATGATATGCTTGGATGGGTGCTTGGGTGCTCTTTTTTCAGTGTTTGTTGGCGCACGGTAGTGTAAAATATGGTGGTAATGTGATGCGACTGAGTTGCCTGTTGAGCACTTTTGCACCGGAAATGCATTTGCCGGGAGGCGAAATAGTGCGGGAACATAAGCTTCCATTACGCACTTACCCGTGTCTCTCATGTGTTGTTGTGCATTCAGGCGAAGAAAGTACCGACGTGTATGCTCTGATATCGTAAGCTGGGCTCCCGATCGGACTCATGTAAGCAGAGCACTCCATTGCACGTATGCATGGACACTGTTTTCAGTACTGGAGACCTTTTAAATAACACTTGTGACACGGAGCTTCCTCTACAGCGATCAATGCATGCATGTATGCCACCTGTGAGACCGTAGCTCCATCCGTACCCCGTCTTGCCAAGCCGGCATCAAGAGACTTCGTGACCCTGACTTGCAGTTGGAGGAGCCCTTTCCTTACCATGCAACCATTCTATGGATTGAAAACAGGCCCACCTAGGCTCCAGGGTTGTCCAGGGCTAACCTGTGCACGCTGTGAGTGTTGGTGGAGATCCTAAAGCTCGTGTCTATGCTTATGCAAGAGTGTGTGTGTGTGTGTGTGCGCGTGTGTTTTGGAGGCCTCCGGGAAGGGGCACGAGTTGGCGGACTTGGTCAGCGCTTCATGCACCCGGGTAACGTACCCTTGTAAAACAGCGCATGTGAGAAAGTGCGAACATCCCGTGAAGAGGTTAACTAGGAAACCTTACTTATCTGCTATGACATGGTTTTTAGGAATCACCGCGCTCATGCAGCATGCGAAGTTAACGCCTGCGGCGAATATGCAAACGCTCATCCCCTACTGAGTACGCTCGCCTACCCCACCTATATGGGCATATAGGACGATCTTGTGAATTAATGCTGCTCCTGCGGGGGCTAACTGAGGCATGCGATCACAAAAGTCGCGGACGATACTATTTTGAAATATGGCACTGAGCACACCGAATGAATTCCGATTTCGGGTACATAATATTCGATATAAAACGTACGTTTTTTAACAACTAATTACCACCGTAACGACGCAAGAAGCGAAACCATAATTGCACGGCACCTGGACGAAAAGTGTCCCACCCCATCTTCAAACCCCAAAATTCCGAGGTATCTTCACAATCTGCTTTAACTTTACAGGCCTCCGTCTTGCAGTCTAATAATTACGTATTTTGCTAAATTTTGAGGATGGCAACCCTAACCAGCCGTGTAGGAGTTCCGGTGGCGGTGAGCAAGAGGCCTTTGGCGCCGGTGGCCTTGCTTGGTGGGCTGCCGGTCAGGAGCTCACAGGTTTGCAAAGCATCACATCGAATTATTGATTACCTATGGAAATGGCGTGTGAGGAAACGTCAGCTCCGATGATCGCAGGTGCTGGGTTCGCGGCTTTCGGCGGTGAAGCCAGTGGTGCCGTTCCGAGCTCGTGCACCTGTTGCCATTAAGGCGCAAGCTGCGGATGCGGCAAAGGAGCTCGATCCCCTTGAGACGTGAGCCCTATCGGAATATCGCGCCGCAACGCAACTCTCAACCGCAACGCCAACGCTTGTGCCATATGGATACTGTCACGATGATGAATTGCTATTGAACGTCACCCTGGGATTTTGATGGGTACACATAGTCTTTCGGAGGTGTCGACTGAGGTACTTAACGCTTCCCGATTACTGCTCTTTCCGACTTGACAGGGCTGTCTCTAACGTCGTTGGTGTGAAGCTGGCTCCCACCGTTGTCACACTTACCTTCATCGCCATCTGGTGCGTCGTGTGTGCTTGTAGAGGTTGAAACCCTGTCTTTGTATTGACCATTCGAAGAGTTGAAACGCAGGTATGCGCTCAACATCGGCTTCAACCTGCTCAACAAGACCATTTTCAAATACTTCCCCTACCCTTACACTGTGTCGACAATTCACGTGGTTGTCGGCTTGGTCTACTGTGTGCTTGTTTATGCCATCGGCCTTAAGGGCTGGTCTTTCGGGCGGGTAAGCGCACAGTCTAGGGCAGCACCTGTAAGATTTGAATATGCAATGTTGACGCTCCGGTCCAACTTCTTGGATGCAGCCCGTCACCAAGCAGGAGTTCAAGAACATTTTCGGGCCGGCTGCCATGCACGCTGTCGGGCATGTCGCAGCAAACATCTCGTTCGCTGCCGTGGCGATCTCGCTCACGCACACGGTGAAGACTCTGGAGCCAGCTTTTAACGTCGTCCTTTCGCAGCTTATCCTTGGCGAGTCCACGCCTGTGCCTGTGCTCTTGTCCCTTGTCCCCATCATGGTGCGTCAGGGAGGATCGGTACCGTCGCAAAGTACCGTTTCAATGTTCGGACTCTCCTTGCATGCGGAGCTGGGGATCTTCATGTCTGTCAGACTCGTAACTGAGGAATGTGGGCTGATGCAATAGTACGACCCGCAGCATGACCCACACGTTTGCGGTCCGGGATGTTAGGCCATTGGAGGTCATGCTACTTTTACCAACTTCCCAAAATCTCTTTTGGTGCACCATCGTTTTCCAGTTCGGTGTGGCCTTGGCGTCTGCGGGTGAGCTATCCTTCAACTGGACTGGCTTCCTCACAGCCATGGCCTCCAACCTGACCTTCGGCTTCCGGGCCGTCTGGTCCAAGAAGTGAGTGTGGTTGTCATCGGGCGAGAACCCGTTTGGCTTCACGACTTATGCGTGAACCTGCGCGAGCATGAGGCACGATTTCATTTCGTTCGGTGGCCAATTCTATGGTCCAACGCGCGGACCTGCCATTGCAGCGCCTGTTATTCCCTTTCTGTACTTCGCTCTACCTGTACGTGCGTACGTCCGACTGGATTCTGCATCAGGCAGAGCGCTCCGTTCTGGGCGTAGGCAATTGGTTGGTTCTGTCGCGTTCACGGCGTTGCTATGGCTTCAACCCGAAACCCAAGCACCGTGCTTTGTGAAGTTCTTTTATGCTCGTTTTGGATAAGCGGAGTCTAGTCGAACCCTAACCCTGACTTCCCCCCTCACTTTTCCCATACGTTTCACCACTAAACGGACTTCCGTGTAGGGCTATGACGAAGACCCTTGACGGCACGGCTGTTTACGCCTACACCACCCTGATCTCCGTGCTTATTTGTGTTCCGTGGGCGCTTATCGCCGAGGGTGGCACACTTATGGAGGGCTGCAAAGCCGCCATTGCGAAGGTTGGCGCAACTCGCTTCTACACGGACTTGTTCATGGTTGGCATGCTGTACCACTTGTATAACCAGGTGAGCATTTTCCAGTGTGGAACAGGGTCTGTTTAGTTTATTTCCCTCGGACGCAGCGCACGGTAGAATGTTTCTAAAGCAGAGGTGTACACACAGGATTAGGACCGAGGTCGGAGGGGCCGAACAAGTGATTTGAGGCACTGTACGGGGCCATATGTTTGATCTGGGCTTGATCGAGAGTGGTCCAGGTTTTATGAGTCAATAACTTTTTGCTGATATGGTTGGTGTTACTATCTGATAATGCCTTAGCCTTCAGGACGGTGCCACGATGCATGGCTTCGACATCACAGATTATCGCTTCACTCTTGTGCTGTGCACGTGGCCCGGGGTTAACACAAAAGCTTTGCTGAAGTCGAGGTCTGAGATTTTGTTTATGAGACCAAGCATTAGCTGTGATTGCATAGCAGATTCGGGGTACCGGGGTAAGACATCGTGTGGCGCACACTACAACAAAGCCAGTCTAGCACCATGGGTAGCAGGAATAAGGGTTGCACGGAAAAGGTTCAGAGCACTTGCTGCGCCGAATATGACCCTTTTACCTGCCATTCGTTCGGGTCGGCCATCGGGTAGAACCTACATGTGCAAGTTTTCAGGAACCTGGCATGGATCTATGGGCTGGCAACTTACCCGGACTTGAATTCCATTAGTTCAGGCCCTCCTATGGCTGGCGTTTTATCCGTCACTACACTCGCCTGCCCTTACCATGGTCTTACGATTGACCAACGGGTCCATTCCATCCCCTTGCCTTGTTTTTCCCCACCGCTACCTTCCTATCATTTGCCCGTCTGTCCCCGCGGCACCCTTGCTGCCTTTGAACATCGTCCACCTTCGCAGTTTGCCTTCAACACGCTGGAGCGCGTCAGTCCCGTGTCGCACGGCGTGTGCAACGTTGTGAAGCGCGTGGCTATTATTGGATCTTCCGTAGTCTTCTTCAACCAGGTCCTCACGACACAGGCCCTGGTGGGAACCGTCATTGCTCTGGCCGGCACGTGGCTTTACACGGACATGTCATCCAAGCACAAGCCACACAAGAAGAGTCCACCGCCAGCCCCATCTGGCGGCGCAGCACCCGCTGCCGCCTAAGTTGACGTTTTCGCGTGCCCTGGCGGCAGCGTTATTCCCGCAAATCGCGTGGCGTGAATTTGCTCGGGTAATTATGCTACAGGCGTGGGAACTAAGGATACAGATGTTTGGCAGAGGTCCAGCCGGCAGCGACATCAACGCTTCCTCACGCGGAGGCGGCGGCATTTTCTAATGCGCAGTACTGGACCTATTCTCCGTTCTGCGTTTTCCGGCAGCGCCATGTAGCCGAGGATTGCTCGGGCGTCGCTGCCCGACTGGGCACTTCGTTTGCTTTCGTCTGCTCATTCTTCTGACAAGGCGTTCTCAGGGGCCACCTGGGACTGGATCTGCCTACACATGCATGTATGATTTCGGAGCTGTGTCGAATGAATTCTGGGCTTGGACGTTCAATGCACTCTGGTATCACTCTGCATACAGAGCAGGCGCATCGGTACGCAAGTGGCCTGGGCGGGTCGGGTGCCGCAGTGGATACGCTGTTAGTGTTGGGTGGTTTTGTAGTGCTCTGGTTTCGGAAGTCCATGCCCTGAACTATGTAGGGCGTTCGGCATACGAGTTCCCCTGTTTGCGTGTTGGTATGATGGTTCTTTGGACACTGCGCGGAAGAAGGAAAACCTGACGCACCACACGTGCCCTGACCGCCTCGTGGCAAGTATGCATAGCGGCAATGAAGGAAGAAGAGCAGGATTGCGCAGCATATGGTTGTAAGCGGATATGGCCTTTACGATTGGCCGTGTCCACGGCACCAAGCGTTGTGATTGCTGGGTCGCACGTATAGATATCCTGGATGGCTGGGAACCATGATTGATACAGGCAAATCCTACCTGCTCTGGGAAGAATGCTGCAACTGATCCTCATTTCCACGAGTCGACGATCATCGCAGCACGTGCGACGTAATCGTCATGCTCGCCGGGACGCAGCCCGCGTGGCTGCGCATCAGTGGGGTGTGTGCTGTATAGGACATCGGTCACCTAAGCGTCGCAGTGTTAATTCTGTACCGCGCGCTGGCCTTAACACACGCGAACGTAGATATGAGACCTTGTCGCGACTGTCCACCTTCATAGGGTTGTTATTCAAGCCGGGCGACGTACATCGCGTTCATTGGTTGCGGTAGCTATCTGCGCTTCATTTTGTGCTGCGGACGAACCAAGTGGGTGGCAAGTTTGTGCTCAAACTAGGTGCAGGTGGTGTTAAGGTGTAGCTAGCTTTTGGTTTGCTTAATGCGTAGTCGCTTGATTTAAATTGTACGGTTTAAGGGAGGTGCTATTAGACCAATATGTCTTATAATTGTCGGGTAGAGTGTTATGAGACGTCCAAATAGCGTGATAGGACCATAACCAGCGTGAGATGATGGAATAGCTAGAGGAAGAGCAGTTGCATTGTAAAATGAATATACGGGTTTCAGTACCTACATCAGACGTTCAGATTCCCACTTCATGGTTTTCTTCATATGCACAACGTGAGGGAAATTCATATCAGATCTGATATTGCCGTACACCGGACAATCCAGCAAAGCGTGCTTCTTATCTTCAATATAGCTATCAGTGCCGCAGCAGGGACATACCCGCTCTTCCCTAGGTACATAATGCTGTCCCTTGCGTGCTCTGTTCGCCGCCAACGCCCAACATCAAAGCCTTAACTGCATAAGCTTACAATTCGCTGAACGCGGGATAAATATTGTAGGTGCTAAGGTTTTCAACTTGTTCAGCACACCGTAAGCTAATGCAGTTTCGTTCATGTTGCTGGGCTTTGGAGGCAAACAGAGCACGAAGGGGCAACTACCATGTCCCCAGGGGGCTGCGGTTTTGCCGCTGTTGTGGTACTAATAGCCGAATCGAGGACGAAAAACACGTGTTATTGGAATGCCCAGCCTATAATGATATTCGTTCTGAAGAGGTATTCGATCATCAACAGAGCATGTTGGAGGCCATGAAATGGGAACCAGTACGTCTGGTGAGGATGTTGGAACGTATGTGGGCTCACCGAAACTCAGTTCTGGGTTGATGTGCGGTGTTTCCTGTTCTCCGTGGCTTTTAGGCGTATAGATATTGCCCTTGGGCCTTCGGCTCGTATGGGTAGCACCCCCAACCATGTAACACACACACAAATGTTGTGGCATCCGGAAGTACCTCCGTCCTGCCCGCTTGCTCAGCCGCGAGACCCATCCAACGTTTTTATATTACGCCATGTGGATTCCTGGTTGTGTGTTGTCGGCTTTAGCAGAGCCTTTGTTTATAATGTTGTCGGCCTTGAGGTTGTCCGTCAGGACCTTGACGGTGCGGCCAGATAAGCCTGCGGGCCTGTCGAACGACTGCACAGCTAAGAGGATCCCGTTGAATTCAGGGTTTCAGTTGCCGCGAGTGACGCCTGGCTTGCCGTCGAGAACCGTACAGGCGCCCCAGCAACCAAGGGATGCGGCCGATTTACCAGCTGCATCGCAAAGGATTAGAGTGCACCTGGGTGGGGAGCCACAGGTGACGGCGGCCATAAAATCTGTCGAAGGAGCTCTCCCAAGACTCCAACTCCTCTCATGCGGCTGGGGACGGGGGAGGTGTGACTCCCAGGTTCTCTCCTCTCCTCGATCAGCATGCCCAGCACCCGAGTGTGCAGCCGAGACCAGGGGCCGAAAGCCCATGGCATGGAGAGCAGCTGCCCTTTTCATTGGAAGGAAGGGTCCTCACTGGGATGTGGCGCCCATCGGGGATCGAACGAATCGCTGTGTCGCACCGTCTCCCCAGCCACGAAAAAAACCCTAAAGCGGTGTCCATGAGCATCCCCAGGTAGCGGATTCGCTGTTGCACGGCGCCCAGCATCAAATTTTCCAGGTTCATAATGGAGCCAGCCAGCTGGGACACCACTGCCGTCCGTCGTGTGATCAGCTGGGCGGCATCCTGGCCATGCATGTGCCTGGTCGTCAATGTGGCCTCGTGCAATGCAATGCCAGCCCCAGGAACGCCAGGGCCGCATGACCTCCTGCATGAACTTGGTGAAACGCCCAGCAGGCAGATGCAAGACCAAAGGGCAGCTGTGTGAAGATGTAGAAGACACCCCGCCAGCAGCAGCCCAGGTACTTCCAAAAGGACCTTTCGATGTCCAAATGGTGATAAACACTTTTCAGGTCGGGAGTAAACAAATAATCGTTGGGAAGATACCAGCCGGGTACACCTTTGAGATCTTCGTGGCGGAACTCGGAGTTTGCAGACATGTCTTACACGAGAAGGCTTACATGAAAGGCGTACATCTATTACACCCAAAGTAGCATTCCGCCAAACACCACCCTATGATTCAACTCCTTCTGCCCCCCTACCCCATTCCACGTCCCTAACCACAAACCTCTCTCAACATCACAGGTTCCCACCCCACATCACAGCCCTATTTCCCTACCCTAACATACGCCACGAAACCCTAGAGTCCAAGCCAGGTCTAGCCGAAGTCCTAGTCCTAGCCACTGTCTGCTAGAGTTGCGCCTCAGCCGTGAGCCCACCGGGCAGCGTTATAGCGACCGGGCCTTGGCATGGCACCGCGTACCGTCGCAGCTCGTCTAACAGCTCGTACGACGCCACTTGATTGAACCCATCCGACCAGCTAATCTGTACCGCGTAGTTGCCCAGCGGATTAATGGCGGCTGGACGAGCATCTTGAGGGACCTCATCACGCTTGCGCTGCCCTGCAGTGCGATCACCCGTCCGGCAGGCGCGGTTGTATGAGATAATAGAGTGTTTGTTGGATAGGCAAGATGAGGTGAGTTGGGAGATGGGAGAGAGACAGAGTAGGTATCCGAGGCCATGGGCATTACTGCATTCCTGCCTTCGGTGGCCACAGACTAAGTCCAACGTGTTTTATCACCCCTGTGGTATGAACTTCCTCCATTTACCTTCATTGCTTCCTTGGATGCCAACAATTGGGAACATCGCACACTTCCCGTAACAGCCCAACCCCAACCCGGCTGCGACCGCCCCGTCAACCCCAACCCTATTCACCCGTCCACTCGTCAATCGACGTGGCGGACGTGTCGTTCTCCCGTACAACCACCGGAGGCAACAGGAACTCCGTTTCGCCGGGGAGCTGTACTGAGATGACGTCCTGAACAAGGGAACGGGAGTGGGGTGGGGAGGGGAGTGGAGGGGAGTGGAGGGGAGTGGAGGGAGGGGTGGGGTGGGAAAGACGAACCACACACGATTGAAGCTGCTGCCAGGGGGTGGGGTGGGGTGGGGTGGGGTGGGGAGCGGAGTGGAGGGGTGGGGAGTGGAGTGGACTGGAGTGGACTGGAGTGGAGTGGAGTGGAGGGAGATACAGGAAAAAAAGGAAATGCAAGGGAGTAATGATGAGGCCATCTCCAATGCCATATAGCTATGTGTAGATGGCGATTGCCGGTGCGGACGTTGGGCGTTGCCACACTTGCCTTCTGCGGGTCGTAATACACCGCCTGACGTGCGGGCCTACCAGCCATCTTGGCCACCTCGCGAACTACCGCCGCCCCCAGGTCCATGAACGCTGCTGCGGTAGCGCTTGTGGGGTCCGCCACCACCAGAGGCTGGCCACCTGGACCGAAGCAAGAAGACAGACGGAGATGGCGGCGAGGGCGGCTTTAATAAAAACAAAACAAGCCAAAGCGGATGGCTTTGTATGTCCGGAAGGCAGAATACACAAGGTCCAGCCAAGTCGTAATCATATCCCTGATCATGCACGCGGCCCGCGGCCCGCGCCGGGGCCGTCCTCACACAAAGTCCTTTCTTACGGAAAATGCACACCAAGTTCCGTTTGCAAGTGCCCTCACATCCCTAGCCCACCTTGCTCCCCGGCACTCAAAAACAAGACATAGACACCTAAAAAGCTAAACAAAATCCTATTTCTAGTATGGATTCGTGTGGAAAATTTTTTTTCTTCTCGCTCACCGTCTCCTGCCGCAGACAGGTCGGGTACAATCGGGAATCGCACCAAGTTAGGCAGTCCGAAGTCTCGCTGGATGCGCTCGCCTGCAGGGAAGCGAATGATAGGCATGTGAGGGGACTTCTCCTTGCTGCAACATTGCTATTGCTGCTGGGTTCCGGCCGGGGGGTAGTGGGGTAGTGGGGTAGGACGGCGTCCTGATGGGACGCAGCGTATGTGGCGAGGGTCGCGTGCAATCCCGGATACGGAGAACGGCAGATTTCCCGCAAGCTCCCAGCCGGCGCGGCACCGGGCTCTCCCCGCAGCTCATTAACACGCTGCACACCGCACCTGAGCCCTGGCCGAAGGGGAAGAAGCGCTTGCCGTCCGCCTCAAAGTACGACATGTTCTCCACCACTGCCACGCACGGCACCACCAATTTGGCGAACATCCGAATACCCTGTGTGTGTGTGTGTGTTTACAACGGCGTGTAACGACAGCGCCACGTCACAGCAATGTTTTTGGGTTGGGAGCTGGCAGGGCTTCGGATAAAACTGAATCCCGACACGTGGGACATCCGTACAGCCGTACACAGTCGTCCGTAAATCGCACACTGTACATTTTCCTGCTGGTCGTACCTTTGCCACGTCAATAAAGGCTAGTTTCTGTGGGGTGGTGACGATGACGGCGGCGCTGAAGGACACGGTTTGGCATAACGTCAACTGAATGTCTCCCGTGCCGGGGGGGAAGTCAACCACCAGGTAGTCAAGCTCACCTGCAGCAGCGTCAACCAATATCCACCAACAGCAACAACGTCAGCAGCAACGGTACCTATTCCAGCTTCTCCTTTATTTCGCTTCATCTCATTTCGTCACTCGCCAATATCCCTCTCACTTCCCCAGCTGCATGACTTGGGAAAGAAGTCAATACCCGGCACACCCGGCAGGCAGGCAGCAACCCCTGGAGCCGGGAGTACGTATAAGTACACACGGGAATGCGGCTCAGATCATGAAAGGACAGGAATGCATCTAGAACTTTCCCCATCGATGTTGCCTAGGTAGCCCAGTAGCCGCACACCGCAGGCCCCATTCGTGCGCCACCTTGTCCCCCCTACTCAAGCGCCCACTGCGCTCACCCCATGCAGCGGTGGTGAGCATCTGCTGGATCAGCCCCGAAACCATAGGGCCCCTCATGATGGCTGAGCCCTGGCCTGCGAATCCAAATGACACCACCTTGACCCCCTCGTACTCGGTGGGGAAGATGGCCTTGGTGGCTGGATCCATTTCCAGCACCTTTATGGGTGAGTGGGTAACAAGGGGTGGGCGCAGAACATATATACGTATGGCCCCCGGCTCTCGCGGCCCACAGTGTAATCTAAGTCATACATACATACATACATACATACATACATACATACATACATACATACATACATACGCACCTTGATCTCGGGATTGACCATGAGCGGCAGGGAGGGCCCGTACACGTCAGCATCAAAGATGCCAACCTGCGGGTTTACGGCACGCGTTGTGTACGGCATTAAGAAATCCTTTCCTTTCCTTTCCTTTCCCAACAGAGATATGAGATGATATGCGACGCACACGCGACACAAACACATGTGCGTGCAGCTGCGGTTGCGGGGGAAGCCGGAGCCGACGTAGGGCGGGAGGCCACACACGTACCTCATACCTTCGACCACACCAATGACAATTACCCCCAATACCAAAATAAAAACCAGCTCCACCACCCCCACCACCATCAGCAGCAGCATTAAAGACAGCAACATATGCTATATGAATACCCCTATCCCCCCCCAACCCCCATCCCCATCAACTCTTACCTTAGCTCCCATCTGTGCGAGTGTGTAAGCAAGGTTGACAGAGACGGTGGATTTGCCCACACCGCCCTTGCACGATGACACCGCGATGATGTGTCGTACCTTGGCCAGGCCCCCTGGCCGCCCTGACTCGGGCAGCAGGGGTTTCGGAGGCTGGGCGGTAAGCTTGATGGATACGTCACGAACCCACGGAAGCTCCTGGGGGCAAAAAGGGCCGTGTTCTGACTTAGGGTTGTCCCTTAACCGCACGCAGCTGTGAATATTGATTGTCGCTGATGCTTTTGTTTACCGCATTTTGAGTTAGTACTGGCGGTGGATTTGAAAATGTGGTAACTGTGAAGGGGTGTACTGGTAGGGGGCTTGGAAGGTGCGGGAGCTTGGGTGCGGGGAGCAGGCGGAGGGGCAGGACACGAAACGCAACCAAGAGCCGCCAGCGGGGCACCGAGACGCGACTTGGAAGCGGGCCCCTCCTGCCCCCTCTACGGACATACCACTGCGACGTGAAGGGGGGAGGGCAGCCCCAGGGAAGTTCGCACGAGCTCCGCCCTCCATCATCAGGCAGCTCATCATGAAAACCCACAGCGAGCCCCCAGCCTGGCCGCCATCACGCGACATGAACCCCCCTCAGCTCGCTAAGTACCAGATCCGTGCCCAATAGAGCTTCCTACTATAGCTCCAAAACCAAAGCATTTCTCCCCCGGATTTCCCGGGATTCAAGCCCTGACTACGGGCAGGTTTAAAACCGGCTCCTTCGCAGCTGCCGTGGTACGCTAATCTGGTAGGTACGTGAGCCCGTAACCCCCCATCAGGCCTTCCTACCTCCGCCCTTTCAGCTATTCACCGCCATTCACCCGGCCATCTGCAACACGGTACCTCAACCACTCCGCAACCACCACCACCACCACCACCACCACCACCACCACCACCACCACCACCACCACCACCACCACCACCACCACCACAACCTCCATCAATTATCCCACCCCACCCCACCCCACCCCACCTTGACGAACTGCGTGCTCTGCCTCTGGAACATCTCCTTGACTGGGCAGGCGGGCGTGGTCAGCTCCAAGGTGAATGACACGAACCCAACCGACGCGTCCACCTCCAGCTGCCGTACAAACCCACACGCCACGATGTCCTCACCGAAGTCCGGGTCGATGACGTTGCGCAGCTTGGCCAGCACCTGCTCCTCGGGGGTGAGCAGCTGGGACGGAGGCTGGTTGGGGGCGACGGGGGGGGTGGCTGCGGCCTGCACGTACGGCGTGAGGCAGGGCGGGCAGGAGGGAAGGGGGGATTAGGTGTCGACGAAAGAGATGATAGTATTCTCCTTTTCACTCCCCTAACCTCCTTTCCGCCCTTCTCTTCCCTTACTTTGTTGTGGGGTTGTCGTCGCCATCGCACGCTGAGCCCCCTAGAGCCACAGCGCCTAGAACAGTTCCTCAGTTCCTCAGAACTTACAGTGAGCACCCGCGAAGCTTACCGATGCGAAACGTGTTACGGAGCGCCGGGAAATGGCCTGCGGCCACGGCGCCAGGGCCGGTGCGTGAGGCGTCATGCAGGGCTGGGCATCACCCGAGGGCGCTAGCGTCCATGGAACGGCTGCCATGGAACGCGATTGGCCCGATGTGAGTGATTGGCGTCGGGTGTCAACCTGTATAAATGGTGGACGGCGACTGTGTGACATCGCAAATAGAGAATGGCCGTTTTAGGGTACAGCATGATGGGCAGCGCCGAACCTACCCTCACATCGCTACGTAAGGTCCGCATGCTATAGAATCCCTGGATGCTTGAAATGTTTACGTTCAGAGTAAGGTGCACCACGGATCGGTCGGATAAGTAAAAATTATGGTAGCGGTTGGAGCCCTGTGTCAGGTTCAAACCATCGTAGTAACATATACAAAATTATAAGTGTATAGTGCAACCTGCCAATGTGTGACATTGCGAGGAAGAACGCGACGATCTGCGACCGTACTAACAGTAAGCGACTCGTTCCGGCTGGATGCCTGAATCAATCGTCTCAATTGGTTGTAAAGACAATGTCCGCCATAATAGAAGCGCTAATGGCCGCTGGTCCCATGCGCCAGAGATGCTATTGAAAGCGTCTCCTTGGTCATGACCATATTACCGTGATCCCCATCTTCGGTGACCAGACTCTGCGACACAACGTTTTTTGTTTACTAACATCATTGTGGTAAACGAGCTACCTACAGCGAGGAGTTCCATGCACCGCCAACAGCGTCGCTGCAGAACGTTGCTTCACTATCGCAATTGCAGAGCGTTGCTTCTTTATGACGCTTTGGGCTCCAGCGTCATGACGCGATGTCATGCACAAGGTTGAACTCTTATAAGATGAAGTGAATGCATTTAGCAGCGTCGATCATGAGCGGCCCATGGGCCACTCCGAGAAAAATATTGCATCTCGACTAATACATACACCCAGAGCTGGGGTTGGAATTACCACTTCCTGACGTATCTAAGCTTTATGCAAAGGTTGATGCTTGCAAACGAAGTGTTAAGGATTTGTGTGTGGTAGGGGGAGTGCAGGGACGAGCAGTGTCTGACCCAGGGAATGAAAAGCGTAGACGAAGGTTTCGATCATGCTGAAAAAGAACTCCTGGGTGGGCAGCAGTCCAAGCCTTTGGGCTCAGGCGGTATAAAAAAAGATGCGTTTGGAGCTTCCAAGTTTCACCCTTTGCTTTTTCCAAGACATCCTTTGCCCTCTGCAAGCATGGAACACGCTTATGCCACGGAGTCTTGAAGACTGGGTACGCACGGGGTCAGCCGTACGAGGATTGGGATAACGATGCTAGGCGTACAACCACATACAAATGATGCACTGTTTCTCGATTCACATGATAATCATCCTTCTTTGCCTCCCGTGACTGTGCTTTTACAACGTATGGCACTGTACTCCTGTTTCTACGCACCCTTTCAAGTTTCGTGCTTTCCGACATAGACAAGATAGCAACTATGCGACGCGTGCAATCAAGCACATCGAATTCCTGGGCTGTATCCGGGCTCCAAGAGATGCAGCCTGCATCTTTAGCGCAGGTTGGACGGCAGCGGTCCTTCCTGATATTCCCACACTGCTTGCAAGACGCCGAGAACACTCCTTGTGCCAGCAGCGAGCTAAAGCTGCAACGGGCTACGTCTCTATTCTTGGGGCATGGTGTAAGTAATACAGCTGACGTTGACCGTGTATTTGGTTTCAAAAGTGGATACAACGACAAGCAGCGTGGGCAACAGCAGCAGCCAGCCTCCAAGCAACCGGTTCAAACGGATCGCGACGACATCCAAGAGCTCCAAGGTCTTTCAGGAAATCTCGGAGTCGGAGTCGCAGCGGACGAGGACGTCTCGTGCTTTTCCGATAACGCCCCGGAGCTTTCCAAACCGAAGACTTGCAACAACTCGGGACTGTCTTTTACAGTTCCTCCTGCGTATGAGGTCGTTTCCTTACCGTCGTTGTCCAGTTTTACAACGTACCTGCTCCCAGCGATAATCTGCGCAGCGCCCGATAATGACTCTCCTGTGCGTCTCGCTGCGCAACCGCAACGTTTCACATCCACAAATTTGTTGCTTCGCAGCGGTAGCAGCAGCAGCGGCGGCCCTATACCGGGACTTGGTAGCAGCAAACGTGCGCTCAAAGAATTCGCCTCTGGGGATGAGGATCGATTGCCGGCACCTGCAAACAAGATCGCTTCGCCGCGCTGCTGCCTTCTACGGCGAGTCCGACGAGTAATCCGCGATCTGTATCGGCTGGCCGAGCTGCAGTAGATTCCGCTGATGCGATAACTCAGAAGGGGAGGAGCCGTTGGGAGCGCACAGCACCTACAGCGGCGTTACTTATCTGACAAGGAATTAACTCCTTTGTGTCACAGACTTTGCGAAACAGACTCTGCGAATATACATACATACGTACAGGGCCGGCTGCTCCACGGCTGATAGGTGTTCACGCTGCTGCTATGCGCGTGATGACCCAGCCATGACCAGCCATGGTGGTATTCAAACCAGGTGCATTGGCTATCAAGTGCATTGGCTGCGTGGTAAGTTGAAGTCCACGATTTTCGGGCGCTCGTGCGCGTGTGTGTACCTTCATATGGCTAGGAGCAAGGGTGCAAAAGGCATAGAGCGAGGTGTGTCAGCATACATGCATGCACGAGGTTTTTTAGAGGTACTGCCGCCGTCATGTGCGTGCGTGGCGCATAGAGCTGTACGGATGGTGGGACGAGGTATTACTGTTTGGGATTGACTACTGCCAAACCCAAACCATGGGGCGCGATTGTTCAAAAACACACTTCGGCTTATTTCACTTGGTTGTGCTGACTACTTAGCATCCTGTCTTCATTTTTCTATACGTTTCAATCTCTTCCTTAGCAGGTTTGAATGCGGGATAGGCTGGCAAACGGCATATGTTCGATCGAAGCCATCCGACGCGCACACATCAGGACTGGCTCTTTGTTGCGCTGTTACATACACTCCTCAATGAGTGGTTCGTGATGAGTGCCTGACAATACTCACAGACTGAGACACGTACGGCGTGCCTTGTACGGACGATGCATGCTTGGATTGACGGTATGTGACAAGCAGGCATACCCCAATGATTTTACTGTGTGCCCATCTATGAATGAGCTCTGCATCAGGCATGCATACATAGCTACACCTTGAGAAGCTGTACCATATATGCCGAAGCCGAGCCGGGAAAAACTGGCTACCGGCAAGAGATCCGTCTCTGCAGGCTGGTCGGAGGCATCAGAAGGCGAGAGAGACACGGCTCGTATGTCATGGATGCTTCGACGCGGCGCTTGGGTCGCAGTGTCGCAATGGCGCGCGGGCGTGTGCGCAAACAAGCAGGTGTCGCTATGTCATTCGCTGCAGCAGCTGCGCCAACAGCAATTGTTTTGCGCATTCGGGCTTTTGCTGGTGTGGGACACATGAATTGCCATCGCAGCTCGGCTGGTGGGTGTAGGAAATAATGGCAGGCAAGTTCTCTTTGCCAAGTGAGCATTCATGTATCCATCGGACGTGTCTGCCGTACGTGTGTGTGTCTTGTCTGTCCTTGACTTGAGGAGAACCCATTGTTACTCGACATACAGCTTCGTGCTTTACTTCGGCGCAGGTTGTACGCAATAAATACTTACGGTTCCATACGGCTGCATGCATGCACGACAATGCGTGTGCTTTTGCCTAGCCTGGATTCAATACAGTATTGGTTCCCTCCATGAACCCTCCGTACTCCTTACTCCTAACGCGAACTGTTCTGGAGATAGGCACATAGGTATGTGTGGCCTTTCGTGCGTGTGATCGTACACTAGTGTTAGCTGCGCATTATTAGTGATCAGTCAAGGCATGCGTACATGGAAACGCTTGGGACGAGCCAATGCATATCCTCCTCTTGCCTTCTTCAAATTACGAAGACTAATCGCTGCTTAGTAGCAAGGCAATGCTTTAGTACGCCGCTACTGTACTGTAAACCTGCATACCTTCTCAAACAGACGTGTGCCGTAGCAGGGCGTAACAAGGATGAATGGACTGCAGTAGTGACGCGCAGGCGTCTTTTTTTCGGATCCTTCCGTCGCACATATTGTCCTTAGCACCCGTGTGTGCTTGGCTCCTCCCCTACACATGGGTGTTGGGTCGATTGCTGGTAGGCAGCCGGGGTCGTCTTGTGGGACATTGTGCACCGCCCTAGCTTTGCTTGAGCGTGTGCAGCAGCTGGAATGACGAATCGCAAGATATTTCCTTACTGTGCCTAACATGCAGGCCATGAGTGGAGTGTTGATGATGGGCGTAGCTACTTACGACGCGGCGACGACCCAGACGACTTTGGGGCCCCATAATTGTACGGGGGGGGGAGGAGTTACCGGGATGCATGTCAGCTCTGGCTGGCGACCAGCTTTAGATTGGGGGATGAGGTGTGCATGTCCACGAGCGAGGAACACATGGAGTAAGAGCTCGGCCCATGGGCTGGTCCGCTGGCCGGCCCCGGTGTGTCGTCCAACTAGGCGCTAAAGGACATGCTTGGGGTTTGCTTGGGCAGTTTTGATTGGCAGCGGCGGCGCCTTCGCGGGCGTCTGTGTGGGCATGTGGCGGTTCGTGGGGCAGGTGCTCACACTACTGTGCTCACACTACTGTGCTCACACTACTGTGCTCACACTACTGTCATCGTCGTACCCCGACAGCTGAACGTAGTGCGAGGGCCCCTGCCTGCCTGCACGTGTATGCATGCTTTCATGTCCGTGTTGCAAAGAACATTTTGTGTGCGACCCTGAAGATTGAGCCGGCGGGCTTCTATTACCTTCATTACCATGCTGTACTGTAATGCGGTCCAGCCGTTCATGAGCGATCCGCCTTTGTCGGCAGATGGGGCAGGAGAAGGTGAACGAACGACGTCCGGACATGTGGGATGATGCTGAGGAAATACTGCAGAAGTACTTTATACTGAGAGACAGCAGCGAACTTCATATTGCATGCGTGCGTGCGCTCGTGTTACATACTCATGCATGCATGGAGTGCTGTGGCTGCGGATCACGAACCTCTCGAATCATGCAGGCAGGTTAAAACGTACATTGTACACGGTTGTCGTGTATGGACATTCGTATTCATCCAAGCACCCGTAGCCCGGATACAAACTGTCAGACGTGCAAGACGCAAGGTCTTGGACTGCACGGCACAGGCATGTCTCGTGGAGCCGTCCCCGGGGTCAGGTATGGGGTTTCGGCAACACACGCCAATGGGTGTGTATGGGTTAATACAGCATGATATTATGT